AATCGCTGACATTGACGGTCAAATTCCGTCCACACTCCCCCACTCTATAGTTCACAGAATCTGGGTGTATACTTGAACTGTATGGGAATAGCCATGGATATGATATTCGAGACACCGAAGTTCAGCAATCGCTGACACTGACGGTCAAACTCCGTCCACGCTCCTCCATTCTTGCGTTCACAGAATCTGGGTGTATGCTTGAACTGTATCAGAATAGCCACGGATATGATATTCGAGTCACCGAAGTTCAGCAATCGCTGACACTGACGGTCAAACTCCGTCCACGCTCCTCCATTCTTGCGTTCACAGAATCTGGGTGTATGCTTGAACTGTATCAGAATAGCCACGGATATGATATTCGAGTCACCGAAGTTCAGCAATCGCTGACATTGACGGTCAAATTCCGTCCATGCTCCCCCATCCTATAGCTCACTGAATATGGGTGTATGCTTGAACTGTATCAGAATAGCCACGGATATGATATTCGAGTCACCGAAGTTCAGCAATCGCTGACATTGACGGTCAAATTCCGTCCACGCTCCCCCACTCTATAGTTCACAGAATCTGGGTGTATACTTGAACTGTATGGGAATAGCCATGGATATGATATTCGAGACACCGAAGTTCAGCAATCGCTGACATTGACGGTCAAATTCCGTCCACGCTCCCCCATTCTATAGTTCACAGAATCTGGGTGTATGCTTGAACTGTATGGGAATAGCCATGGATATGATATTCGAGACACCGAAGTTCAGCAATCGCTGACACTGACGGTCAAACTCCGTCCACGCTCCTCCATTCTTGCGTTCACAGAATCTGGGTGTATGCTTGAACTGTATCAGAATAGCCACGGATATGATATTCGAGTCACCGAAGTTCAGCAATCGCTGACACTGACGGTCAAACTCCGTCCACGCTCCTCCATTCTTGCGTTCACAGAATCTGGGTGTATGCTTGAACTGTATCAGAATAGCCACGGATATGATATTCGAGTCACCGAAGTTCAGCAATCGCTGACATCGACGGTCAAATTCCGTCCACACTCCCCCACTTTATAGTTCACAGAATCTGGGTGTATACTTGAACTGTATGGGAATAGCCATGGATATGATATTCGAGACACCGAAGTTCAGCAATCGCTGACACTGACGGTCAAACTCCGTCCACGCTCCTCCATTCTTGCGTTCACAGAATCTGGGTGTATGCTTGAACTGTATCAGAACAGCCACGGATGTGATATTCGAGACATCGAAGTTCAGCAATCGCTGACATTGACGGTCAAATTCCGTCCACACTCCCCCACTCTATAGTTCACAGAATCTGGGTGTATACTTGAACTGTATGGGAATAGCCATGGATATGATATTCGAGACACCGAAGTTCAGCAATCGCTGACACTGACGGTCAAACTCCGTCCACGCTCCTCCATTCTTGCGTTCACAGAATCTGGGTGTATGCTTGAACTGTATCAGAATAGCCACGGATATGATATTCGAGTCACCGAAGTTCAGCAATCGCTGACACTGACGGTCAAACTCCGTCCACGCTCCTCCATTCTTGCGTTCACAGAATCTGGGTGTATGCTTGAACTGTATCAGAATAGCCACGGATATGATATTCGAGTCACCGAAGTTCAGCAATCGCTGACATTGACGGTCAAATTCCGTCCATGCTCCCCCATCCTATAGCTCACTGAATATGGGTGTATGCTTGAACTGTATCAGAATAGCCACGGATATGATATTCGAGTCACCGAAGTTCAGCAATCGCTGACATTGACGGTCAAATTCCGTCCACGCTCCCCCACTCTATAGTTCACAGAATCTGGGTGTATACTTGAACTGTATGGGAATAGCCATGGATATGATATTCGAGACACCGAAGTTCAGCAATCGCTGACACTGACGGTCAAACTCCGTCCACGCTCCTCCATTCTTGCGTTCACAGAATCTGGGTGTATGCTTGAACTGTATCAGAATAGCCACGGATATGATATTCGAGTCACCGAAGTTCAGCAATCGCTGACACTGACGGTCAAACTCCGTCCACGCTCCTCCATTCTTGCGTTCACAGAATCTGGGTGTATGCTTGAACTGTATCAGAATAGCCACGGATATGATATTCGAGTCACCGAAGTTCAGCAATCGCTGACATCGACGGTCAAATTCCGTCCACACTCCCCCACTTTATAGTTCACAGAATCTGGGTGTATACTTGAACTGTATGGGAATAGCCATGGATATGATATTCGAGACATCGAAGTTCAGCAATCGTCGACATTGACGGTCAAACTCTGTCCACGTTCCCCCACTCTATAGTTCACAGAATCTGGGAGTATGCTTGAACTGTATCAGAATAGCCACGGATATGATATTCGAGATACCAAAGTTCAGCAATCGTTGACATTGACGGGTAAACTCTGTCCACGCTCCCCCATTCTTTAGTTCACAGAATCTGGGTGTATGCTTGAACTGTATCAGAACAGCCACGGATGTGATATTCGAGACATCGAAGTTCAGCAATCGCTGACATTGACGGTCAAATTCCGTCCACACTCCCCCACTTTATAGTTCACAGAATCTGGGTGTATACTTGAACTGTATGGGAATAGCCATGGATATGATATTCGAGACACCGAAGTTCAGCAATCGCTGACACTGACGGTCAAACTCCGTCCACGCTCCTCCATTCTTGCGTTCACAGAATCTGGGTGTATGCTTGAACTGTATCAGAACAGCCACGGATGTGATATTCGAGACATCGAAGTTCAGCAATCGCTGACATTGACGGTCAAATTCCGTCCACGCTCCCCCACTCTATAGTTCACAGAATCTGGGTGTATGCTTGAACTGTATGGGAATAGCCACGGATATGATATTCGAGACACCGAAGTTCAGCAATCGCTGACATTGACGGTCAAATTCCGTCCACGCTCCTCCATTCTATAGTTCACAGAATCTGGGTGTATGCTTGAACTGTATCAGAATAGCCACAAATATGATATTCGAGACACCGAAGTACAGCAATCGTTGACATTGACGGTCAAGCTCCGTCCACGCTCCCCAATTCTTTAGTTCACGGAACTTGGGTGTATACTTGAACTGTATCAGAACAGCCACAGATATAATATTCTAGACACCAAAGTTCATTGATCAAAGTCAATTGATAGTTAGAGCGCAACACAAAGTCTAACTCGAGAGAATCTGACACTTGAGATGACGAGGGCCATAGGTAAACTCAATATTGAGCCAACATCAGTGTGTCCACAACATACATTGATAGTTAGAGCGCTACAGAAGGTCTTACTCGGGAGAATCTGACACTCGGGATGACGAGGGCCATCGGAAAACTCAATATTGAGCCAACATCAGTGTGTCCACAACATACATTGATAGTTGGAGCGCTACAGAAGGTCTAACTCGAGATTATGCTTTAGGCGGCGCCGCAGGCGCCTCCTACTTATTATAGATTACAAGGGCGGGCGAGATTTTTTTTGGGGCCAGGCTTGGGGCCTGCTTAAGCTTAAGCCCACGGGCCATCACCTTTCTGCGCAGAATACTATTTTTCGGGCGCGCGCTAAATTCCTGGCGATCGATCGCAACGGCGAAGCGAGTGCTCATTTTGATACGACCGCAGATGGGGTGTAAGCGTTGATGCTTATTAGTTGTTTTCACCGTCGTTCCTCGCTTGGCTCCCTGTACTACTGTGGCCGTCCTCAGCTTGGAATAACTAGAACCTTGGTAACACAGTCAAATCGGAAACAAAAGCATATTGATATGAAGTAGCATTGACACGCCACACCTTCTCATAGTAGCGGTGGCAGTAGGTATACGTTCGAGCCTGTCGTGGAAAAGCCATCCTTTCCAAAGGAAGAGGAGAGAGTCCTTGCATTCTGGGATGAAATCGATGCTTTTCAAACGTCCAATAAGATGAGCCAGGGAAAACCCGAGTATGTTTTCTACGATGGTCCGCCTTTCGCGACTGGCCTGCCTCACTATGGTCACATCCTTGCCGGTAGGGCAACAGAGGGGAGGGTCCGTTGATCGATAGAGAGCCCCTAGGTACCATCAAAGATGTTGTGACGCGTTACGCCCATCAGACCGGTCATCACGTTGAGCGGAGGTTCGGATGGGATTGCCATGGCCTCCCTGTGGAGCACGAGATCGATAAAGACTATAACATAGGCTCCAAGGCCGACGTCATGAAGTGGGGTATTGCTAAGTAATAAACTCAGGAAGGGGGATGGGGAGCAGCAACGGGAGCTCTTGCTGGTAGCTACAACGAAGCGTGTCGCTCGATCGTTACGCGGTACACTAAGGAGTGGAGGCAGATCGTTACACGATTTGGTCGGTGGATCGACTTCGATAACGACTACAAAACCATGGACCGTAACTTCATGGAGAGTGTAAGTTTACACTGGGCAAGGTTGACCGCGTGGAAACGGTAGCTGCTTCTAGGTATGGTGGGTTTTCAAGCAGCTTTTTGACAAGGGCCTGGTTTATAGGGCTTTCCGCGTTATGCCTTACTCCACTGCCCTCTGCACGCCCTTGTCCAACTTCGAGGTGACGGGCTGAAGAATTCACAATGAGGAAACTGCCGTTGTCGGGTTAGGTTGCTCAAGGTTATAAGGATGTCAGTGACCCATCGATCATCGTAGCGTTCCCTCGCAAGGATAAGGAGAACTCGTAGGCTTGAAGGGCAGTCCCTTTAGGGCAGGGTCAATGCGTCTGTTGGTAGGTATTTGCTTATTTGGACTACCACACCGTGGACACTTCCTTCCAACCAGGCAATCTCTGTTAATCCCCGGTTTACGTATTTGAGGGTCATCAATAAGAAAAATGGTATTGGTCTGAGGGTATGGGAAGGTTGAGTGGCCTCATGTGTAGGTTGTGAGTACATCTTAGCAAAGGACAGGGCGGCTTGGATTTACAAATGCTTGAAGTTGAACGAGAAGACGGACGTCGAGGTCGAGGAGACTCTTCTCGGGACTGACCTTTTGGGCATCCCCTATGTCCCTCCCTTCGAGTAAGGGCCTATCAGGTGGTGGGTTGATGATGGTGATGTCAGTTTCTTTAAGAAGCATGAGCGTCCTGGCAAAACATGGACTGTCCTCTCTGCCGACTATGTTACGGCTGATAGTGGTACTGGGCTGGTCCATCAGGTGGGTTGCCGTCGGTGTGTTGTTACTTCTTGGGAGTTACTTATTTACTTCATTTTAGTCGCCTGGATTTGGTGAGGATGATTACCAGACGTGTGTTAAGAACGGTATCATATCACAAGACGGGACTGACATGAACCTTCCTCTCGATGAGTCTGGTCGATTCACGGATGAGGTCGGCTTGTAGGTTCGCAGTGGCGGTCAGGTATGGGCGTGTGTGGGCAGGTGCCACCCTACCAGGGAATGCACGTTAAGGAGGCTGATAAGCACATCAAGGAAGATCTGAAGAAACGCGGCTTATTGCTCCATAACGGCATGGAAGTAAATTGGGGTAGGGCATATGGGAGGCAAATGACTTGGTTGCTTTAGATTCATTCGTACCCTCATTGTTGGCGATCGGATACGCCCTTGATCTACCGTGCTATCGGCTCGTGGTTCATCAAGGTTGAGGAGGTCCGCGATCAGCTCCTTGCGAACAATGAGAAGTCTGCCTGGGGTAGATTCGATGTGGCGGTCTGGTGGGGATTTTTTATTATTATTAGTACCACGCCACGTTCAAGAGGGTCGATTTAGAAACTGGTTGGCTGATGCTCGTGACTGGGGTGTGTCTCGGAATAGGTAGTAGGGCGGTGTTAGGATGGTGAAGGTAGGTCCGGTTTCTCAGATACTGGGGTACTCCGATTCCTATTTGGGTTTCTGATGACTTTCAGGAGGTAGTGTGTATTGGTAGTGTAGCTGAGCTGGAGCGGTACGCTGGCCATCCCGTCCCCGACATACACAGGTGATAGCAGGTCTGTGATAGTGTGAGTTGATGAGTATGTAGGCACTTCATTGACGACATTAAGATCCCTAGCAAGACTGGCCGTGGTTACCTACATAGGGTGGATGAGGTCTTCGATTGCTGGTGAGGGTGTAGTGGAGGAATGGTTCGGGAGAGGTGGTCTATGGCGCAGGTTTGAGTCGGGCTCGATGCCTTACGCTCAAGTGCATTACCCCTTTGAAAATAAGGAGAAATTCGAGAAGAACTTCCCGGCTGATTTCGTCGCGGAGGGTCTCGATCAGACCCGTGGTTGGTTTTACACGATGACGGTCATTGCTACGCATCTCTTCGATGAGCCTGCTTTCAAGAATCTGGTTGTTAACGGACTGGTAGGCAATCTCGATTGAGTAGATAGCGGAGTAGTGGAGTATGGCAGATTCTGGCGGCCGATGGGAAGAAGATGTCAAAGCGTCTGAAGAACTACCCGGACCCGACCGAGGTGTTTGATCGTTATGGTGCTGATGCGGTGAGCTTGAGCACGACTCGTGGTCTGATTTCAGGGCGCTGGTTGTGGTTTAGGTCCGCATGTACATGTGCAACTCCCCGGTGGTGCGCGCTGAGCCTTTGAAGTTCCGCGAGGAGGGGGTTCGCGACACAGTGAAAGAGGTCTTCTTACCTCTTTATAACGCGTATAGGTTCCTGGTCCAGGAAACCTGCCGTTTTGAAAAGCAGGAAAACACCAAGTTCAGCCCTGACCGAACGGTAAGTTGTTTTTCTGCTCACCAACAATGTCGAGATTGACGCGGTCGTCTTAGTATATTCATGAGTCCAGCAACCCCACTGACCACTGGATTTACGCCGCCTCCCAGGAGCTCCTTAAGTACACCAGGACGGAGCTGGAAGCCTATAGGCTGTATAACATCGTTGGCAAGTGAGTGCTGGAATGCTGAGCTTAGGAGTTACCTTATTGCATGGAGTGACACACGACTTGAAGTAGGAGTGTATAAAAACCGACAAGAATTTACTGATTTTTGGGCGCAATTTTCTTATTGGCGTCGTGTGATTATTGAGCTCGGATGGTCCGGGTGATGGTGGAATCGTTCAGGTTGGTGTCATTCTTGGACGACCTCACCAACTGGTACATACGTATGAATCGTGACCGTATGCGCGGTGGTATCGACATGCAGAACACTCTGGAAAGTCTGAATACTCTGTACGATGTAAGCAAATGGCATCTTTTTACAGCGGAGCGAAGTTTTTTCCGTCTAGGTCCTGCTTGATCTGACGATTGTTCTGGCTCCCATCACGCCATTCATCACTGAGCTCATCTACCAGAATCTGCGATTGGCTCTTCCCGATGAGGATCCTAGGAAGGAGAGGAGTGTCCATTTCGTAGGCCCCCTTGGTGATGGTGTTGGTCCCCACGACCGAGTCGTAGGTTATGATGCCCGACCCTGACGTCCAAGGCTTGGATCCAGCGATTGTTACCGCCCTTAACCGTGTGCAGACTGTTGTGACTATGGGCCGTTTGGTAGGACAGACTACCATCAGCTGAGGGGAGTTGGCCGTCTTATTGGTCCACCATTCAGTTGCGTGACCATCGTACGGTTAGTCTCAAGACGCCTCTTCGTCGCATTCGGGTCATCGCTGAGGACCAGGCCTATCTCGATGATATCAACAGGCTTGAGAGCTACGTTAAGGATGAGCTCAATGTAGGCTGTACCCTATCTGATGGTTGGTCTATGGTTGTGCATTGTAGGTGATGAACTTGGAGACCTCCTCCGATACAAGCATGCTGGCCACTGAGGTCGCTCCCAATTTCCGGGCGCTTGGTGGCTTGGTGGGGAAGCAGATGAAAAAGGTCGTGGCTGATGTAGGGTTATGAGGTCTATTGCATATGAACTCCTCCACTGTTGTTGGTTTCAGATCAAGTCGATGACTCCAGCTCAGATTAGGGAGTTTCAGAACACCAACTCCATACAGGTGAGTTCATTCGAGAGGAAGATTGTTGTGATCGTCGTCCTTCAGATTCAGGGGTTCGATCTCACGCCTGAGCATATCACTGTGACCCACATCATCAAGGATCTCGGGGATGCTAATCTCGAGGCTACAAGTCAGGCGGATGTCACTGTGAGTGCTGGCTCATGGGTGTGCTGCTGGCAAGCGACTGATGTTAATTTAGGTCATCCTAGATTTTACCAAGGATGAGGACCTTCTCCAGTTCGCCTTGGCCAGGGAGATCACCAACAGGGTATGTACTTTGCCATGCTAGGCGTCTGTATCGTTGGATGCAGGTCCAGAAGCTCCGTAAGGAGGTAGGCTTACAGCAAGACGATCCAGTGGAGATGTGGGCCACCTCGGCTGTGAAGGAGGTAGTGTGTTAGAAGACTTCACTAGGAAGGATCGGCTGGGCTCAGGTGAATGAGGTTCTAGAGAAGAAGTCTGAGTACATTGACCGTCTGCTGAGGAGGCCCTTGATGAACGCTAAGGACCTGCAGGGTCATGAGGTTGGTCGGGATGGACGCTTGTACTACTGGCAAAGGTGATGCTAGGTAACGATAGTGTCGGAGAAGCTCGATACGGACAAGGACAACTCGGTCACGGTTACCATCACCCGTATGGGCCCTCACTTCAACATGAAGGCGTTGGAGGCTCTTAGTGGTGGCAATAAGGAGGTCCAGGAAATGCTCAAACAATATGTAGTGAAAGACTGGAGGCACTTAGGACGTCAGGGTTGTGTACAGGTGATTTCGCATTCGGCTGCCGAGCTCAACGCTGGTTTAAAGCCTATCTGTTTAAATGGTGTGTCCTATGCTTTGAAGAAGGATGTTCATTACAGTGCGAATGGCGCTGCTGGTGCTTCTTGGGGCGCTTAAAATGATTAAAAATAGCGGAGCGAAGCGCGTGGAGTGGTAGGATGTAGTATTCGTGCATAATATCGGTTACTGATCAAGGAGAGTTGAGCACTGTTACTCTCGACGGCTTTCAATTCTGAGCATTGGTTCTCTCACGTTTCTTCGACAACATTGAGTGTTTTGTTGGGTAAATCTTGATATCGAGCTGACGGTGTTTCGCAGAGTTACCTTGGTCATTGTCCTCATGGTCGCAGCTGGTGAGGTGGTTGTACGAACGAAGGTGGTGAAGTTCTTTGGGCAAGCAGTGGTCTCTTTTGTGTAATAAGGTTGGGTAGTAGTAGTAGTAGTAGTAGTAGTAGTAGTAGTAGTAGTAGTAGTAGTAGTAGTAATAGTAGTAGTGATAGTAGTAGTAATAGTAGTAGTAGTAGTAGTAGTAGTAGTAGTAGTAGTAGTAGTAGTAGGAGGAGGAGGAGTTGAGGAGTATTCGTGTAACGTGTGGTAGAGCGGACGCTGCTTGGACCCGGCAGGTACACTCTACTTGACCGTAGTTTGACGATACTGGTTGTAGACGGTGCTGCGCCGTCCAATGTGGAGAGCCTAGCTGTTGGTGAGTGACCGCCACATTGGTGGTGATAATAAGAGGAGTCTTGATGATCAGGCATGCAGGGGACGGCGAGTGATGCCTTGGACATGGACCAGCAGAATGTTGGTCTCACTATGGCCAAGTAGAGATGGAAAGCAATAACAGGAGGGCTCCACTAGAGGTCATTATGTCAGGCTGTTGTCGAAGCGCTTCGCTCCGCTGCAGATAATAGTATCCTTCAACCTTGTGGAGGCTGAGGATGAGTTGGTGAACGCAGTCCAGGTAGGTTCGGGTCAACCCTGTCGAACGTGCACTGCTAGTCTTGTGCCAGCGCGAGATCGTTTCGGAGGTAAAATGCAGAGATACTTGGAAAAGTGTTGGAGAAGTGGATAAAGATGTTTCTGAGTAGACAGTGTGGCGGCCTGGTGTGTGTTAATAGGAGGGGCAGGCTTTTAGTTATCTCTTTAGTGATGTTCACGCGTGCAGTTGATCGGCCTTGTTATACTACGCCACTGAGTCGAGAAGAGGTGATGCTGCTGCTTCTGCTGGGGATCGTACTATTCTGGTGTTAGAATAGGATGAGCTCAGAAGTTTACGTAGGAATTTGGGTAGAAGTGCACAGAAAGTGATGATAATTCTCGTAAATTTCCTCAGAATTTTCGTAGTGTCACCAGCATATGTGGTTGACCATGTACATATATTCCTACATTGCGGTGACGGTAGTGGTGTATAAGGTTTTGCGCGTTCCTCGACCGTCACTACATGGGACACAGCCTAACGTGGAGCAACGATCGTTATTAAAGAGGGCGTTGGCGGTTCTAGAGTAGGAATGGAGGGTGATCACGGATAGTGGACTGTTGGAGGTCAGGCCCGAGAGGAGAGACATTCGGCGCCGATTGAATGAAATATCACCGGTAGTTGGGGGCACGGGTTGGGCCTGGTGTGGACCCCTGTGGGCCGCCTCAGCCTACCAAGTCGTCCCCCTGTGCGGCTTCAACGTCGTCTACAACCCCGGCAGGAGCGTCTACGGCCTCGCCAGAGAGCCTTAGGCATGACACTCTTGAGGTGGGCGAATACACACATGGTTTATCTTGGCCAACGTTGGTCCATGGCACATGCATGCTAATAAGGACTGAAATTCTGAGAAATTCCAACTTCTGAGATGACAGCGAGGCAGTTTTGGGAAGCACTCCTCAGTCATCTCGGAACTCGGTTGGGAAATCACCGAGCTCTTCAGATATATATTTCAACGCTAATGTACTTGTGCCTGACAGTAGTGATGCTTAGGCCGTACATTCGACCACGTCGTCAATCCGGAGATCCTCGTCAATGCGGAAATCCCCCGAGGTTAAGACAACGAGCGACTGTCCAGCAGCAGCAGGAATTCTTATGGGGGCGGCCTCATCCAGTGTAGAGTCATGTCCTCGTCCTTTAGTCAAGCGAAGCTCGTCTAGACTGCGTTCGTCCAGTTCTCCTGGCGCGCCGTATTCTGCGTAATTGAATGTGAAAGGCTCAGCGCTGAGGTGCTGGGTCGGGAAGCTTTCGCCGCTCTCGGCGGAGGCAAACACTACTACTCCTCATGCTAAGGTGTTTCTCTCTATCCTTGCCTGTTGTTGAGCTCGGGGTGATGATCTGAGTTTGTTATCTTAGCCATTACCCCTTACCACATTGTCAATATCAAAGATTCTCTATCGGTGGGTATTAGTGGCAGTGGTGGTCCTGCATCTGGCCAGTGGTCAAGATGATGACTATGCTGACTCAACAGATGATGGTACTGAGTCGCTTGACTCCAGTTCTGATGCCGGAGTGAGCATGCCCATGGACGACACTTCGGGCACGTCGATGGGGGCCCCTGGGCCTGGGGCTATGCCCATGGCTAGTGCGTCACCTCCTAGTGCTTCGATAGCCACTGCCCCGGTCGTTTCGGCGCCCACTGCTCCGGTCATCGCGGCTGCTAGTGCTCCGACCACTGAGGAGGACATATCTTTGCAGTCGTTGGGAGCACAAGCAGACGAGCAAGGCGTTTTAGAGATTCTGAGCGAGAACGGTACGGACCCGATAACAGTGAGGAACTTGGAACCAGGTAACTAGGGGGGAGGTAGAGGGTGGAGGTGGGGCGTGTAATTGTCTTGGCAGGAGACAGCTGCAATGATGATTGTCTCCATGCCAAGTTTGAGGCTTTGGAAAGGATGCAGCTGCGGCTCAATAGCTCGCTGGAACCGGTAGGGGTGGCACTTCGGACTGTTGGACATTGGTTGGGTTTAGGTCACTGATCGAGGAATGTTGCACGCGGCCGACTCTAGGGAAAAGTTGGTGGACTTCAAAGGCCGACTGTAATAGTGTTGTTGCTCATGGTTGAGTATGCGTCTCGATCAGATTTAAAGTGGAGGACGTTATTGAAGGTAGAGGAGGTTCTGATACGGGCCTTATTGGTCAAGTGAATGAGGTCAAGCCCGCCGGGGTCTCTATCGGGAAACTGCTGGTAAGGGGCGGCCGACGCAGTAGTGGGTCCATATGTACTGTGTTGTGGTCGTTTAGGATAGTACTATGTCCAATTTATTCGATAACCTAAAGGAGCTCCAGAAGAACGGCGCGCAAGAAATAAGGCTGTCGAAGGACAAGTTCACGTCGAAGATTGATTCGGTAGGAGGGGAGGAAGATGAGGAGGAGGAGTGGTAACGACAGTAGCAGGTGCAAGAATCGGTGGATGCCATGTTGAAGCGCATTGGTAATAACATGGTGGTCAACAGCTACGGTCTGGATGACGCTATGGGGAGGAGAGTGAAGGTAGGCGGCAGAGGTGGCTCGGGCTGAGGCTTTATGATGTTATTCATTCAGGCGGCGACCAACGGGGTAGCGGCCAGTCAGCGAAGTTCAGTGAGAGATGTTGCTGTGGTCGACAGGGGCATCGCTAAGACAGGGCGTGTGGTAAGGCTCTAGGATTTAGCAATGGAGTGGTATGGGTTCTATGATTGGATTTAGGTTGATAAGAGCTCAGCTGAGATCTCAGCTGGGCTCGACGATGCTGGTGATGATATAAAGGAGATCCTCTCCAAAGGGCAAGCCGGCATGAGGACCTTCAATGTGTAAGAGACCACGGCGTAGGGCGGCGGGCGAGAGCTCATGGTCACTATTCTCAGGAATCTTATCAAGGACTTGGATCAGATGACATTGAGGGAACGAGCAGTTCTGAATCAGAAAGTGAAGGCTGCGAAGCGCGCTGGGGATATCAGAGTCGAGCAAGAGGCAAACCAAATGCAGGGGAAGTTGTCCCGGTCGAGTCAGGTAAGCATGTTGTCAAATCTTGGGTCATCATGCTACTGTCAGTTTTTCAATACTCTCACCGCCGATGCGCAGAAGAACTTCACGGCAGAGATTGCCGCTGCTGGCATTGGTCTGGAAGGTGTGGGCAAGTTGAACGATAAGGCCCTCAGTGATCTGTTCGAGAAGATGCAGCATGGCATGGGTCGGCTCTCCCAGGAGGACGCGAGGGCGGTGCTGGCCCAAAATAGGATCACTTTGGAGCTCCAGAAGGATATCGGCTTTCAAGAGGAGCTCGTCAAGCGCATGGGCTCAACTGACGCTGATGCACTGTCCAAAATTTGGGAGGCACTGGGACAGGATTCGGCGACTGCTGAGAAGGTGCTGATGATGATGGCCAAGGGTCTCGAAGGAGATGCCCGTAGTGAGGCCAACAGTATTGAGGCTGATCTGGCGGCAGTAGCATTGAAAAGCAGGGAGGGCGCTCTTGCTTTCGAGCAGGCGTTGAGTGGTGATACTACTAAGCTCCGGAACTTCATTCGCGAGCTGGAGGTGAAGTTGAAACCCGAGGTGGAGGGCGCTGGCAAGGCGCTGAGAAATTCGGAAGGAGTGGTAGAAGGAAATTTGAGGGACGTGATGTTCCGTAAGGAGGAAGCGTTGAAGAGCGTGGGTCACAGTGTTTCGGGCCGTATCGAGAAGGTTGGATACGAAAACGCTAAGACTAGGAAGGCGAACATAGAGAGAGGCAAAGAGGCTCTCAGTGGAATCATGGTAGTAACAATTAGTTCACCTCTTCTCGTGTCACGCGCCACGAAATTCTCAATTTTCAGGGGGATCTTTCGAGTGAAAAATCGAGCGACCTGAAAGAGCTTCTGGAGAGCCTGAAGGAGGACGACCAGGCCCACAATGAGCTCCTTGCCCTTATTGGAACCTCTTCGGTGGATGCTCTCAAGGACATTCGCTATCTTGGGAAGGCGATAAGAGGCTCGGACGTGGCCTTGACGAGCAACACGGTGGGGATGAACAGATTGAAGCAGCAGCTCGTGAAGCTAGCGGGCAGAGGAAATAATGCCCTGGGGTGAGAATTTCGTGGCGCGCGGTCAGGCTCACAGGGGGAGCATACACCTCGGCTGTTCAGGGCTCTGTCGACTTTGCTAACGCAAATGGCCGCGCGGAATGAAGAGGCGCTGAAGACTCAATGGGCTCGGTAAGGTCCCTCGGAGGCACCACTGGGTAGGAAGCAGTGGCCCTTGTTAGGTCCACGGTGATATCTGCTGATTCTCGGAAGGACGTGAGCGCCTTGCTGAATCGGCTGGTCGATGATGCCAAACGGAACACCACAGTAGGACCAAGTCTATATGGGGGTGATAGTAGTACACTTGTTCTCAGGCTAAAATACCCGACTTACTGCGGGCTTTCATCCAAGAGGTACGGGATGTCGAGGCCAGCAGCGCTCAGACGAAGGCGATAGTGGCGGCGTCTGATGATGATGTCCGAAGGCTAGGTACGGTCGATGGGTGTTGGAGGTGGTAGTATTGTATGGTTGGTAGGGGCCAAGCTTCAAGCCAACAGGGCGGAAATGGAGATCTCTAAGAACCGGCTCGCTCAGACTATGGGCAGCCTACTGCAGCACGTCGATGCTTCCGACTCTAAGTATTGCATACTGCTCCTTGTCTTCACCATCGTGCTTATGGTAGGTACCTGTTGGACCTGGCCGACCAGTCGACTAAGTGGAGCCGCTACACCTCGGACCAGATGAAGCACTACTTGGACACCGAGACGAAGGCATTGCTTGACCGCTCTGATATGGAGGGGGTCTCAGCCCAGAGGATGGTAGGTCGACTCACGTTGGTTACTCCTTAGCAATACGCTTGCTTAGTACGCGACGCTGAGCGATATACAGCACAAGCTCACTACTGGAGACGCTCAGCTGGATGCTCGGCTGATGTCGGAGGAATCAGAGCTAACTAAAGAGTCCGAAGCGCACAAGAAGAAAATGGTGGCGCTGGGCAAGCACTTTATAGGTAACATTTTTCTAAGTGGAAAGTGGGTACCTGGACGTGTGGCAGATACGATGGGGGAGGATTCCGAAGAGGTCAAGGACTTGCATAAGAAACTCTCGCGTGTGGTGTCGGTGAACGGCCAAGCGATCGCTGATGTTACGAGAGGCCTTCAGCATGGCCTTAGGAATATCACTGCCGCTATGGTGAGGCATGGTGTTGGAGGTATTCCCGCTGCTGGTCTCATGCGGCTCATGCAGGTTAAAAGCGCGATGGGCGTTAAGCACGACTTTCTCTACGGCCAGGAGGTGTTGAGGAAGATGGTGGAACAGCTGAGGGCGGTGCTGCGTATCCGAGAGCAGGCCGAGCACGAAAGGCGAATCAAGGAGGTACTACTGTGTGGTGCCGGCTCAGTCGCATGTTGATGCGTGTGGCTCAGCATACTAATGCGATCATGCAATTGGTGGCGTTGGCTAAACGGCAGGAAGCTGAGCGAGCTCAGACTGAGGGGAAGAGCGACAAGGTAGGACTGTGCTGGGAGGTGGTCACCTGTGAGCTCTGTGGCCTGCAGGCACAGGAACAGAATGCGAATCAAGTGATAGGAGTGGCGGATATCATCCACAGGTTGATGGTGGCAACAGGGTAAGGAACTCCTTTGTGAAGGGGCGTATGTGGTTCTCTTACAGGGCCGTGGACAACTCGGAGTTGAGCGGAACTCGAGCTGTTGAGGGCGATATGACTAACGTCACCCAACACGCCGATGCAATAGTTGGTGATCTCCGTGGTGACATCGCGAAAGGACTAGAGGTGGGCTATGAATAGTAGTGCAGAATAGTGGCAATTGCTATACCCTTCTAGGAGGCTCGGAAGGCCCACGGCAAGGGGGCGGAAGAGGTCGGCTACAACCTTAGGGGGAGTGTCGCTAATGCAGCGCGTAAATCTGGTAAGAACCTCCCACACACAGCGCTCGACGAGGCGTGCGGTGTCAGGGAACCTCGATCACGAGATGTACGACATGTCCATCGCGACTGCTCAGCAAGCTAGTAAGACGTACCAATAGACTCCCTCTCAGCCCACTGTCATTGCTTTCAGGAAGCGATGGGTCACATCTGGCCGAGAATGCTAGGGACCTCGAGTCGGCGGCAGGGACGGTTGCCATGTTTGGCCATGTCAGTGGCAACGAGCTGCGGGCTCTTTCTCACAATGCACAGTAAATTATCAATAGTTGCATTCCTGTTGAGGTGTGTCCACCTTTAGCGCCTCAAATGAGGCGATGCAACGAGAGATAGCTCGAACACATGGCGTAAATCTTGATCGTGTGTCACGCCTCGATGATGTCGTGAAGACCTTTGTCACGCTGACGGAAGGGTGGGGACGGAGAGCTCGGTGTTGGTGAGCATTTAGTAAGTGGTCAGGTTCATGAACGAGACTAAGGAAACTGTGAATGGGATACGCCACGATTTGAACGACGCTACTCGGCTGTCTTCAGAGCAGCTCTCTCACTCATCGTAAGCTTGTGACTGATCTCGTCGCCCTGTTGCCGTACCCTTGTGGATTCTTGTATTCAGGATCGGGGGGACTGAGATTGCCAAGAGTGCTACGGCCAGGGCTCATGCGGTAAGGGGTGATAATGTCAGCGATCGCTATACAGCATGTAGTGTAGATACTGCAAGCCATCGAGGACCACAGGGCCACCTCCAAGACTATATCGGGCGAACTAAGACGGAGGCTGACCGAACTCGAGGCTCTTAGTATCGAGATGGACCGGAATCAGATGTGACACATGAACGGAAAAAATAGTGGTCAGTGATTGACTCATTTCAGTGTCCAGCAGAATGGAGTCGAGGCTATGCTAGCCGATGCACGGGAGAAGGTTGTCAGGTCGCAAGGAGATATCAAGAAGAGTGTGCATGATTGGATCAGGGTATGTACATTGAAACCAATCGCGGAGACGAAATCGAATTTTCAGGATGCTACTTCTCGTTATACACAACAATTGATTGATGCGTCATGATAAGAAATGTTAGAGAAGGTCAGTTGTGCCATGCATGACTATGCGAACATAGTTGAGATGTTGTTCACAATCCGATACTGGTTGAGTTTGTACAAGTCGAGCTTCGGTAAACCTTTGATCAATAGGAGCCGTAATCAAGGGAAAAACGAAATAATAGTTTTGTGTGTGGACGTTTGAGTAACGGATCAGTGAAACTCATATCGATGTAGAACCCTACGAAGGGACCAGACGAGTATATTGCGTAGTTCCAAGTCGTTGACCCATCTGAGTCGACACGATTGCAGCAAATGGTGGCAGTCATTGTCGACTCATCGTGACACAGTGATGCATATTTTCGCTAGACTTCGAAGACTGTTTTCCAAGAAATTTTCCAAGATGTAGCGTGTGTTTGTGAGAGTTCAAAGTCCAACGCCGACAACACGGCTTAGTTAGACTCGCATCGATGCACATTGGCTCTCGAGGGATCAGTTTTATCAAGTGAACCGTTATGACTCCATCATCCCGATAAACTATCCTCGTAATACAGTAACACGAGTTGGAACCTTCAATGGAAGAAGATGACCTCTACGAGGGATGCAAACAGTCAACCGGTAACATGATGATAATGTGAGCAGAAAATATTTACTGGGAAACAGTGTAACGGCAAAAATGGAATATCTCGCCGTGTAGACTGTGCGAGTATAACTGCTATCACCATCATGTTCGAGCACTAATAATGAGAGCCACGAGCTAACCTGTTACCGGCTTTTGTGCGGTTATGACTCATATGATAAAAGTCATATCCTAGTATCAGTGATCATAAATACCTCATTGCAGCTGGCTGATACGTATGAAACGAGACAACCACTGAGATGTTTGCTGAGTGAACTTTGCAGCATCTCGTTAAGTCGAAGAAGACCGAACGAAAAGTACCTCATCGACAGACACCAGCGTTCATCTTATAAAAAAAATGTCCGTCGTAAAAGTTTGACCTCAAGGCTAAATCATGGAGATAGATGCGATAGAGCCCGCCTCACGAGGCGTACATATTCATACAGCCACAGTAGGGCACATCCGGGTCAGCGGGATCCTCGAAGATAGAGAAAGCCGCCTGGTATGACACCAATCGACAGTTACTTAGCCAGTCTGCATAATCCCAGTACTCTTGAGTGGCAGCCGAGGACTTAGCGTCGAATGCTCTCATGGCCACACAGTCAATGTATTCGCCTGGAGAAATGCGGAAGTAGTCACAGAACGCCTTGTAGTATGCCACACGATTATCTGCTTGTTTGCTCGCATGACCACATTCAAGTCCGCCATTAGTTATCATAACAGTTGCACCGAAGCCTGGGTTCCTGTTCCCAGCAAGGTCGTCGCTATTGGGTTTCCACCAGCCAGTGATAACATCGTGAATCGACGGCTTGGGAGTCTGTGGAGTCATGTCGAACCAGATGGCACTGGCAAAAGCAAGCCAACCGCCTTCATTTGTGATAACACCATCCGGGTGAGAAAGTAAATTTTCAGTATCATTATAGATGACCACTGAGAAAGGCCCATAGTTATAGTTATAGCTGATTTGCTTAGCGCCGCGACCAGAATAAGATTGGCCAGGAGAGCATGGAAACCTGTCTTCGACCCACTTAGGCGATTTCGAGCAGTAATTCCAGCCCGGATTGACCTCCCTATAATAGTAAAGGCCTTGTCGCCATTGTGGGTATTGACTACTTGGGTTATGAGCACCAACCTCTTGAACGAAATGGGCGAACATTGTACTCAGCTCTCGTATACATATCTCGTCTTTATCGCCATTGTTGGGTCCGCCGTCATCACAGAACTTCGGCCATTTCGCCACAGCTTTCAGGAAGTTTTCATAGGAGTAAGGTCCCTTACCCATGCCTTTGCCTTGATTAGCCAACGGAAAGAGGTACCCGAAGGCACTCTCGTTCACCAGACGCTTAACTCGTTGACAGTTAGGAGCATTGGAGATTTCTTGATCGCTCGGGACACCGTCCAAGCGAATGGTTCGCTTCAGCATGTCCTGAGCTACTTCAGGTAGTTGTGGGCGCTTTGAAGGGTCACACTTAGAGTGCGCGAGAACAGCGTGGACGAGGGTGAGCAGGAGAGTTCTCATTCACGAAGCTTAATCTAAACTACGATCCAGGAACTTCTTGAAGGGACGACGTAACTATAATGAACCACCCAAAACACTGGGGTATCTACCTTTAGCGCCTTCTGGACTCACTCCCTGAGGGTGATTTGCTGTGAACTCGTGGATACTTGCGGAGCGTATACCGCAACAAATGTCACAGTGACATTTGTTGCACGGACTCATGACGCGAAGTGACATTATCACTTCGCGTCACGAGTGCGTGCAAGCGTCTCAGAAGACCCAGAAAACGAGCAAACTATCAATAGTTTCCTCGGCATTCAGAGATACGCAGGAAACTACGAAAGAAGACAATAGTCGTCGGAAAGATCGAATTCTAAACAATAATAAGTGCGAGCTCTCAGTGATGGGCGAGCGGGCTCCACCCTCCGTCACGAAGCCCAAGAACTAGTAGTGCTCGAAAATCGACACTCATCTTCACCGAATGAAAAGGTGGTCTTTAAGATAGCACATCATTTACACTTTCCATCATCAAAACTTGCTGACCCCAGCACAGTAGCACCATTGGAGTACGTCACGTGAAGCCGTCAACAACATCTGTGTGGCGCGCACAAGGCCTTGTGCGCAGGTCACGTCTGGCGCAGACGGTCTGCATCTTGCGGATTCTCCCTCCATAGGATTGCGGTCCGAAATGAATCAGTTCCACTCGATATAGGCCCCACATGAAGATGCACAAAATCAGAGAAGCTTTGCGTCCATCCCAACTGCCTCAAACACTATCAACAAAGCCATCATCTAACGAAAAAACACCATAGACATGTATCCGGCCGAGTCCTCGGTCAGATGTCAGCTCATGTGCTTCCCCTTGAATATCTAGTCAACTTGTTTGAGATAAGCTTCTGGCGTCAGCCTTATTCTGATAAATGTACGAACAATGCATGTGAGAACCCTCATCACTTTCCAAGTGCCTTGTTTGTGAACGACACAGTAGCAAACTAGGTTAGACAAACCTGGTTTGTCGAGCTGGTCGAACAGCTCATCATGGACGTCTAACTTCATATATACCGTTGGAGGCTCCTCCCTCACCTTAGCCGACGCTCATAAGTTATGAGTCATAACTTTCACCCCGATAATAAGGGGCACTCCTCTGAACAAGCTCCAACAATTGTCTTATGATAGGACTCTTATTCCCCAACCCCTTCGAAGCAATATTTGTCTGAGATGAATCATTTTGGAGCATAAACCGCAACAACAGGCACTTTCGCATTGTGCGTGCGTGAGTGCGTGCGTGCGTGCGTGCGTGCTTGACGAATTATTTTGACTGAACTACCGATCGTCCGAGGGGATCAGACGGATCGAACGAGTCCTATTCGCTCCGATGTCTGCAGAGAATTTGTAAAGGTACGCCCACAGCTTCAAGGAATATGTGCGAAAACAATTTTTGACGGAAAAATGTCCAACCCGGGAATCGAACCGGGGACTAATCCCAGGGAAAGAAGATTCCCTACCCAATTACGAGGTTTACTCTTGTTCCAAGAGTCTTGTACTATACAGCGCCTCTACGAGGCTCCCCGATGTACTGTAGCCTCATCTTACCTGCTGACGATATGCTACGTTAATCGAAACCGGTCAAACACTACATAACCCCTGACTGTGAGTCCCTTGCAGGGAAAGATGCAGCGGTGAGGGGTGCACGCCACCGACACTGCCAGGTCTACTTAGCAGAGTCTGCTACGTCTAACAGGGTGTTGCCTATCTGGTACCAGATGGTTTCCCCATGGAAGGAAGCTGGTATGCCTCGGTTGAGGAAGCTCTCACCCCCTTCCTCGTGGCGAGCTTGGATGCAACAAGAGCTGCCAATTCTTCGTTGATGGTGTAGTTCCAGCAGTCCGGGGCGTCAGTCACTCTGCAGTTTGCCACTCAGTAACTCAGAACCAGGCTTTGAGAGCCTTGCTGTTGCACGTTTGCTACTAACAACCCGAGTCTGATAGAGCGGCAAATGCTACCTCGCAACTGAATATCGATGACCACTCCCCTTACGCCCCAAGTTGAGGACCTCAACTCTCTGTTGAACTGGGCCTTGATGTCTGCATCGGGGGCCTTCGTGACGAAGTGATTTCGTCTAGCTTACGGATCGACCAAGCCGATGCCCGAAGCTCGTGTGGTCTCCTGACCTACCCGCCTGAGGTTGGACAAGCTGGTCCGTGCTTATCTAGCTCAAATCCAAAACATCCTACTCATGTTCAATGACTCAAAGTTATGGGTTGTGATCGACAGGACCAGGCCAAACGGTCTGTGCCAGTCTCGATACTCCTGGAATTTTGTGAGTGAACATATCGATGACAAAAGCTCCATCTCACACTCGGACAATCACCAACCTGCAGCATAAAGAGAACTTTAAACCACACTTCTTCTACCTTTGCATGAGGCGTGATCGATGGACAAGCTACTTCACTTAGGGATATGATCGAATGAGTGCAACTCACTGATGATTGCATTTCAACAGGTGATTCGGTGAGCGTATACCTGCCTCTCCCTACACTGGGCAACACAATAGCAAAGGATTGGTTGGATAATAAAAATTACCACTCCAAGGTAGGGTTCGCTTAACTCTACTACTATTACCAAACTCTACTGCCAACAAACTTTGCTGTGCATAAGGTTACAGCGATGGATGTATGTTCGCCAGAATTTTGGCACGAGAAAGTACATCCCTCACTCTAATGGCGGACAGAGTCGAGCTTACTCTTGCTTGTTGGCGAAATCGATACCCCTCTGCACATCAACCTTCAGCTTAGTAATGACCTCCTCAAGTCTGCCGGCCTCGTGGTCGCTCAAACCCTCGATGGGATGAACCTTCGAGACACCCTCAGGTCCGAAATCGCACAAGTAGGAGAAGAACTGAACATCTCCATAGGGTTCGTTGAAGAAAACGGAAGCGGACGTCTTCTCACCCTGCATGCCACGAATGACAACATCGGCGAACTTCGCAGCGGCATAAGCCATGGCAAGAGTGGCAGATCCAGCACCAGCCTTGGCGTTAACGACATCAGTACCGGCGTTCTGAACGTGGTTGTCCAGAGCAGTGAGGGTAGCCTCATCGAAGTCAACCTTGGGAGTGGAGTGAGAGAACCAAGGCATGATGGTCACACCAGCATGGCCACCGATGACGGGGATAGTTACCTTGTTGACATCAGCCTTCAACTCCTTGGCGACGAAGGTCTCGGCCCTGATGGTATCCAAGAGGGACACACCGAGGAGCTTCTTAGGGTTGAAGACACCGGCCTGCTTGTAAACCTCAGCACAAGCGGGAACGATGGAGTTTACGGGGTTGGTGACGATGCACAGAGTAGCCTTAGGGGCATACTTGGCGCAGTTCTTGGCAAGACCAGCGGCGATACCAGCATTGACCGAGAAGAGATCATCTCTGGTCATACCAGGTTTACGAGGAACACCGGCGGTGATGATAACGAGGTCACTGCCGGTAAGGCAAGCCTCGATCTCCTCCTCACCAGCGTAGCCCTTTACCTCAGCGGGAGTGTTAATGTGACTCAAATCCTCAGCAACACCAGCGCAAGGAGTACGAGCCTGCTTGATATCGTAGAGAGATAACTCAGAAATGAACGGATTGAGCTTCAAGAGCAGAGCGAGAGGCTGTCCGATACCACCACAAGCACCGAGAAGAGCGACTTTGAATGATGACATACTTGTAAAAGAAACAAATACTGTTAAATAGATGACTACACTATATGCTCAAGTTTCATACGACACGGTTCAGCCTAGCGCTGTAGATCTTGTGCCAATAGACAATGGTAGCTAGTGCTATCATAAACAATAGGTATGATCATCCGCACAATGTTCATAGAGTTCAGCGAAGACGTACGAAGGAATGACTGTCAGAACGAGAACGGTTCTATGCGAAAGGTATGTTCGCCCAGGTGCGACACGATGATTCCATACTTCTGAGGGGATCATAAGGCGTACGACACCGCTGGGCGAGAGAAAGACCAGAAATGCTGACATCGTTACACGCATGTAACACTGCAATGGAGAACATGGAGGTGCTGAGGCAGACCCCCTTTCCATGATTGATATTTCGGTGAATTTCAACGGTAGCGGATGTACGTTCATTCGCTATTCACGAAAACCTGTATGGTGATACTTGTGAAACATCGAATCTCATATTATCCATCTAACCGTCGGAAATCCATCACAGTTTGAGAGGAACCAACTGTGTATAGCAGTGATCGAACCTTTAGGAGATCTTCCCACCTCCATAGTAGTCTTTTGAGGCCAAGCTTCCTCTCTGTAACGCGTCGAAAGAGATGATTTAGACACTCCGATCGATGCTTACCTAGTTAGACGCCTTTACCCAAACTTGGTCCCTCATAGAACACGACAATGCCAAACTCTGATACTCTTCTCAACAACGAGCACTCGCGATAGGATTGACTCTTGAGAGTCACTCACTACAAGGGAATATTCAGAAATGACGAAGAACTGGAGGTCCTACTGCTTGTTGGCGAAATCAATACCCCTCTGAACATCAACCTTCAGCTTGGTGATGACCTCCTCAAGTCTGCCGGCCTCGTGCTGACTCAAACCCTCAATGGGATACACCTTGGAGACGCCCTCAGGTCCGAAATCGCACAAGTAAGAGAAGAACTGAACATCTCCATAGGGCTCGTTGAAGAAAACGGAAGCAGAAGCCTTCTCGCCGTGCATGCCACGAATGACAACATCAGCGAACTCGGCAGCGGCATAAGCCATGGCAAGAGTGGCAGATCCAGCACCAGCCTTGGCAGTAACGACATCGGTACCGGCGTTCTGGACGTGGTTGTCCAAAGCAGTGAGGGTAGCCTCATCGAAGTCAACCTTGGGAGTAGAGTGAGAGAACCAAGGCATGATGGTCACACCAGCATGACCACCGATGACGGGGATAGTCACCTTGTTGACATCAGCCTTCAACTCCTTGGCAACGAAGGTCTCGGCCCTGACGGTATCCAAGAGGGAAACACCGAGGAGCTTCTTAGGGTTGAAGACACCGGCCTGCTTGTAGACCTCAGCACAAGCGGGAACGATGGAGTTCACGGGGTTGGTGACGATGCACAGAGTAGCCTTAGGGGCATACTTGGCGCAGTTCTTTGCAAGACCAGCGGCGATACCAGCATTGACCGAGAAGAGATCATCTCTGGTCATGCCAGGCTTACGAGGAACACCGGCGGTGATGATAACGAGGTCACTGCCAGTCAGGCAAGCCTCGATCTCCTCCTCACCAGCGTAACCCTTAACCTCAGCGGGAGTGTTGATGTGACTCAAATCCTCAGCAACACCAGCGCAAGGAGTACGGGCCTGCTTGATATCGTAGAGAGACAACTCAGAGATCTTCTGGTTAAGCTTCAAGAGCAGAGCGAGAGGCTGTCCGATACCACCGCAAGCACCGAGAAGAGCGACTTTGAATGATGACATGATTGTAAGAAAAACACCTGCTATTAAGTATATGATTACAGGATGTTCTCAAGTTCCATAAGACACGGATCAGCTTAGCGCTGAATATCTTGTGCCAGTAGACAATAGCTGTTATTGGTATCATACGCGATACGTAACATCATCACAACTTCCTTAGAGCTCAGCATAGCTGTGCGAAAATGCGACTATCAGGCGAGGGACGGCTGCATGCAAAAGGTATATTAACTATCTGCGACCCCTTATATAGTTTTGGATGAGTTGAAGAACGATTGGATAACTGACCATTCAACTGACGCATTCACTTCTCTCGTTCTTGATGCATAACAATACACTGTCGATTTCGCCACGATTTTTCTATGATCAATGTGTTATCATAGTTCCTCCTACGTTTTTGAAGCCATAGAGAGGCTTTTCCTAATGCGAGTCCGAGACCACATCGGTCTTGCACGAAGACCACATCGGTCAGACCACATCTCTGGTCACGCATAAGATGTGTGAGCCTGCTCTATATATCGTAGAATGACAACTCTGAGATCTGCTGGTTGAGCTTGAAGAGAAGAGCGAGCGGCTGCACGATACCACCGCGAGCACCGAGAAAAGCGAGCGACCTTGAATAATGACATGTTTTCGAAAGATTAATGACCAATGATTGCTTATATAACGACGATGACCAATCGTCACTGACTACAGATAGTGGCTCCCCGAGGCTCGCCGGCTAGAACGACTGAGCTGCACTAGTTCTAAGGACGAACACAGGAGCTGACAAAAAGTGAACGATCCAAAAATTCTCAAAGCTTATGAATTGTATTTTCGCAGGAAATGTTGCAACCGATTCGAACAGTGAAAATATGTTTGTTATTCACCATACTCTAGCATAAAAGCGCGCGACATCGCTGAACGGGAAAGAATTATTCCTGAAAGATATCAGAAAGTGTTACACGCATTCCCGTCGGAGCTTCAACAACTGATGACATATCCATACACTGGTCTTCGGATCTTCAACAAGTCCAACCCTCTGATCGTCAATATGTTGGTAACATATACTCTTCCATGGGCAGTTGTCGCAGCTCTTCTGGCACCCGCTTAATTTACAATTCACATCACTAGCCTAGCTCTTGTGGTGAAGTCTACAGGCCTTCCCCAAGTAACTAGTTTGGATGATACGGGATACATCTTATCTTCCCGTGATCCTGCGAAACGGATCTTCCCATCGCATTGTCCTCCGGAACGTATCGCGTAGAGGGTATCTTAAGGCGGCACACTTCACAACATTTGGAGTCACTCAACTTGAAATCAATTCACAGAACACAAGAACAGTAGATTACGGAACACGTCTTGAAAATGTGCCGTCTGTGCTCAATTGGCCCCTGAGTGCAGGCACTCGTTACAGGGTAGTACTCAAATAATCACAAAGTAGGCATTCTACTGCTTGTTGGCGAAGTCAATACCCCTCTGAACATCAACCTTCAGCTTGGTGATGACCTCCTCAAGTCTGCCGGCCTCGTGCTGACTCAAACCCTCAATAGGGTAGACCTTGGAGACACCCTCAGGTCCGAAGTCGCACAAGTAAGAGAAGAACTGAACATCTCCATAGGGCTCGTTGAAGAAGACGGAAGCGGAAGCCTTCTCGCCCTTCATGCCACGAATGACAACATCAGCGAACTCAGCAGCGGCATAAGCCATGGCAAGAGTGGCAGATCCAGCACCAGCCTTGGCGTTAACAACATCGGTACCGGCGTTCTGAACGTGGTTGTCCAAAGCAGTGAGAGTAGCCTCATCGAAGTCAACCTTAGGAGTGGAGTGAGAGAACCAAGGCATGATGGTCACACCAGCATGACCACCGATGACGGGGATAGTCACCTCGTTGACATCAGCCTTCAACTCCTTGGCGACGAAGGTTTCGGCCCTGACGGTATCCAAGAGGGAAACACCGAGCAGCTTCTTAGGGTTGAAGACACCGGCCTGCTTGTAGACCTCAGCACAAGCGGGAACGATAGAGTTCACGGGGTTGGTGACGATGCACAGAGTAGCCTTAGGGGCATACTTGGCGCAGTTCTTGGCAAGACCAGCGGCGATACCGGCGTTGATCGAGAAGAGATCATCCCTGGTCATACCAGGCTTACGAGGGACACCGGCGGTGATGATGACGATATCGCTGCCGGTAAGGCAAGCCTCGATCTCCTCCTCACCAGCGTAACCCTTAACCTCAGCGGGAGTGTTGATGTGACTCAAATCCTCAGCAACACCAGCGCAAGGAGTACGGGCCTGCTTGATATCGTAGAGAGACAACTCAGAGATCTTCTGGTTGAGCTTCAAGAGAAGAGCGAGAGGCTGTCCGATACCACCGCAAGCACCGAGAAGAGCGACCTTGATAGACATGATGTTGTTGTTGATGACTGAACCCACAGAAGGGAATGATGGACAGTTCACTTCCAACAAAACGCCATCCTACAGCTAATTTTTAGCTCAGCGCAGAATGGGCTTCGAACTCCGACAGCGCATGATTTGAAGTGAGACTTGCACGATGATCTCACGACACAATACTCTTCGACTCATAACTCATGTGTCGGGAATGCGATATCTTCCCATTCTGTTACGAGTTCTAATGCCTCAACTAGTGACAACTAAGAACTTCCTGTTGATCAGCATGTTGATGTTGCAGTATATTGTATATCTCGGAATGGCATAGTTGCCCCGCTCGAGATGTTGAATGTATATGGTATATCTCGGAATGGCATAGTTGCCCCGCTCGAGATGTTGAATGTATATGGTATATCTTGGGATGGCATAGTTGCCCCGCTCGAGATGTTGAATGTATATGGTATATCTTGGGATGGCATAGTTGTCCTGCCCGGAGATGTTGAATGTATATGGTATATCTTGGGATGGCATAGTTGCCCCGCTCGAGATGGTGACTGTGTATGGTATATCTCGGAATCGCATAGTTTCCCCGCCCAGAGATGTTGACTGTACATTGTATATTTTGGGATGGCATAGTTGCCCGGCTCCAGATGTTGAATGTATATGGTATGTCCCGCTCGAGATGTTGAATGTATATGGTATGTCCCGCTCGAGATGTTGAATGTATATGGTATGCCTCGGAATGGCATAGTTGCCTCGCCCAGAGATGTTGAATGTATACGGTATATATTGGGATGGCATAGTTGCCCCGTTCGAGATGTTGACTGTATATTGTATATTTCGGGATGGCATAGTTGCCCCGTTCGAGATGTTGAATGTATATGATATATCTTAAGATGACATAGCCGCCTCGCCAAGAGATGTTGATTTTATACGATATATCTCGGAATGGCATAGTTGCCCCGGCCGGATATATTATTCGTAAAAATGGTGAATGATGTGTTTAAAAATTGTGATGCAGCCACTACAGCCACCTTCACTATATCTGCCCACTGGTACTACTCCTACCGCTACATCTAATATCAAGGCAAATCATCAAAGTAATTCATCCCACACTCTATTACGTTTCCCTTCAGTTCGGTCGGACCAACAGAGATGGCCGTATCCATGATCCTTCATAGTAAGGCACGAGCTGGCATGATTCTACTTGTTCAAACAAAATGCAGGAACTGTCAAAAACTATTCGTTATTGATTTCCGTAGAACGAAATCATTTGAGGATACTGGTATCAGGTTAGCGGATGCTAGCTATCATGGGAAGCAGATCAGATCCGGCCTCCGATCGTTATGAGAGCCGCGGATTAAGTTAATCCGATTAACACTATGTGTTGACTATACTGGGAAGTTGATAATACCCCAAGTTCACAGCACTTGAGATGCAACGAGGTAACAATCCTAGGATAGACAGCCTTACATCAGACCCACGTGAAGGGGTGATACTAAACGTCAATAGGCACTACAAATCGACCAAATTCGTATCCCACTGCTCGACAGCATCGAGGGAGCTGACTTAAAATTTCGCCTCAATACCGAGTACGACACAGAGTATCACCCAACACGCAAAGAAGTTTACTGAAGCTCGTTAGAAGGAGACCAAACGCCAAAAGCACTTGCGACGACGGCAAATTGAGACCGCTCTCACTCAGTTGAATGGGATGTAGGAAGTATGCAATAAACCGAAATCCCCGCCCTAAAGGAATAACGATAGTTGACGCAAACAGCGACGTGAAATGTTTGCTCGAAAGTCGTAACACCGTTAATAAAGACTCACTTTAATTGGAATTGATTCACACAACACGACAATAACAAGTTACGGAACACGTCTTGAAAATGTACCGTCTGTGCTCAAATGACCCCTAAGTGCAGGCACTCGTTACAGGGTAGTACTCAAATAATCACAAAGTAGGCATTCTACTGCTTGTTGGCGAAGTCAATACCCCTCTGAACATCAACCTTCAGCTTGGTGATGACCTCCTCAAGTCTGCCGGCCTCGTGCTGACTCAAACCCTCGATGGGGTAGACCTTGGAAACACCCTCAGGTCCGAAGTCGCACAAGTAGGAGAAGAACTGAACATCTCCATAGGGCTCGTTGAAGAAGACGGAAGCGGAAGCCTTCTCGCCCTTCATGCCACGAATGACAACATCAGCGAACTCGGCAGCGGCATAAGCCATGGCAAGAGTGGCAGATCCAGCACCAGCCTTGGCATTGACGACATCAGTACCGGCGTTCTGAACGTGGTTGTCCAGAGCAGTGAGGGTAGCCTCATCGAAGTCAACCTTGGGAGTGGAGTGAGAGAACCAAGGCATGATGGTCACACCAGCATGGCCACCGATGACGGGGATAGTCACCTTGTTGACATCAGCCTTCAACTCCTTGGCGACGAAGGTCTCGGCCCTGACGGTATCCAAGAGGGAAACACCGAGGAGCTTCTTAGGGTTGAAGACACCGGCCTGCTTGTAGACCTCAGCACAAGCGGGAACGATGGAGTTCACGGGGTTGGTGACGATGCACAGAGTAGCCTTAGGGGCATACTTGGCGCAGTTCTTGGCAAGACCAGCGGCGATACCGGCGTTGATCGAGAAGAGATCATCCCTAGTCATACCAGGCTTACGAGGAACACCGGCGGTGATGATGACGATATCGCTGCCGGTAAGGCAAGCCTCGATCTCCTCCTCACCAGCGTAACCCTTAACCTCAGCGGGAGTGTTGATGTGACTCAAATCCTCAGCAACACCAGCGCAAGGAGTACGGGCCTGCTTGATATCGTAGAGAGCCAACTCAGAGATCTTCTGGTTGAGCTTCAAGAGAAGAGCGAGAGGCTGTCCGATACCACCGCAAGCACCGAGAAGAGCGACCTTGATAGACATGATGTTGTTGTTGATTGAATTCCCAAAGTGGAATGATGGAGTGCTAACTTCAAGCAGGGCGCCAGCTTGCAGCTAATCTATAGCTCAGCGCAGGATGGGCTTCGGGACATCGGTTTCACGCAACTTCGACGGCGCATGATTCGAAGTGAGACTTGCTTGGACAAAATGATCTCAAGTACGAGATGGAACGGATCCGTAGGCCAATGCGAAGCATATGATTACTCTTCGAATCATAACTCTCATGTCGGAAGTGCGAGATTTCCTCGTTCCGACATGGATTCTTACGCCTCAACTAGCGCGAACTAAAAACTTCCCAATGCTAAGCAAGAATCATACGAAAAACAGAGCTCAAGGCGACGAGCAGTTTCATTAAAGTTATTCACTGACCGGCATGAATCACCACGCTCGTAGTCATCGGCTACACACTCGGAGGGAGACATCGAGATGTCATCGACGGAGTTTCACAACGAGATCGATGTAGCTCGAATGCAACTCTCAGAAACCCAAGTCAGCGTAGCCAGATTTCGTAATGGAGAATGCGGAAGTCAAGTGACGGACCAAGGACGAGCTCAACCGGGTCCTCGCAGGGATAGTCCAGTTGGTGGGGAGCTCGTCAAACGCCGAAGCTGCTGTAGTTGAGTCTATTTTTCTTCATTTGAGCTCACACCTCGAGCATAGAGCCTACCGTTTTACAAGCTCTGAGGCTACCCACCTCCTGCACTTGTCCCTCCTCTTTCGTCAGGCTGAACCGCAGCCAATCAGCTACTGCATCTTGAATGGCAATGAATGGCATAGGTGCCCCGGCCAAAGATATTGATTATATATGGTATATCTTGGGTTGACACAGTTGCCCCACCCAGAGATGCCGATTGTATGGGATATATCTTAAGATGGCATAGTTGCCCCGCCCATAGATGTTGATTGCATGTGGTATATCTTGGAATGGCATAGTTTCCCCGCGCAGAGATATTGAATGTATACGGTATATCTTGGGATGGCATAGTTGCCCCGCCCAGAGATGCCGATTGTATGAGATATATCTTAGGATGGCATACCTCAGCTATGATAGTCGTCCTGCCCGGAGATGTTTATTGTATATGGTATTTCTTAGGATGGCATAGTTGCCCCGCCCAGAGATGTTGATTGCGTATGGTTTATCTCGGAATGGCATAGTTGCCCCGGCCGGATATATTATTCGTAAAAATGGTGAATGATGTGTTTAAAAATTGTGATGCAGCCACTACAGCCACCATCACTATATCTGCCCACTGGTACTACTCCTACCGCTACATCTAATATTAAGGCAAATCATCAAAGTAATTCATCCCACACTCTATTACGTTTCCCTTCAGTTCGGTCGGACCAACAGAGATGGCCGTATCCATGATCCTTCATAGTAAGGCACGAGCTGGCATGATCCCACTCGTTCACACAACATCTACGCCATTGAAATGAACTCAAGAGTTTCTCCGACTCACGAAACTGACTTGGTAGCACAAGATTGTACTTGGTAAACAGCGAGACGCATTTCAGGGAAAAGTTGTGTGAAATGCTCCTCCTCCGGCGGCAATTCAGTCATACCCGGTTGAAGCCGCTCCTTCGCCTCCAGCCCAAGTGAGGAGAAATTATCGAGAAGATCCAAATCCATGGACTCATACCGTCCAAGCCTGTGGCCATAATAGACCTGCGTCCTAGGATGGGCCAACTGTTTGATCGCTCTCGGAAATATTCTAGTGAGTATAGGAAGGTATACTAATTCAGTGCCAAAAATGAAGTCCCATTCAACTTCTCGAAGTTCTGACGGGACCTCATTCCAATCACATGTCCGACATTTGACGTTACCTGAACGCCATCATTGGAATGGACCAGTCAAAAAATGTCTGTTGGGAGTCGTCAAGTATATTCGAAGTATCGAATGCACAGGTCACAGCAATACATTTTGACTACCATAACGTGAATACTACTGTACGGAGCACAATAAAATATCAAAGTTCGCAGTTATGATTGAAATGTATTCCCACACAGCAAGGAGTACCCTCTACCAGAAATTGCGTTTGTGCCAGTCGCAATACCCATTACCCAAAGGAACTCCACGATCCATATTGAGTTGAACATTATGCTCCAGCCATTCCAAGCCTCCTCCTTCTTCTTGCTCAGTCAATACAACTTCTACTGCTTGGGGCAAGAGGGATGCTACCTTAGGATATCATAACAGCAGTGGGATAGCACGAAAAATACTATTGACACCACACTCTGTGATAGATATTTCAATCGGGACGTTCAACTCGTCAAATCGTTACTTCACTTCAAGTTTCAACAAGTACTAAAATTGTTCCATTTCATCGAAAACTTTTCCGCAACTCCAAAATGAGAATCTTTCATGAAATAAGATCAACACAATCCCGTTTGCTTGCACTCGACTATTCCCTCTCCTCAGACAAGCTCACATTCATCCCCAGCCATCCGCATCCCGAGCCGAGTTCCAACACGCGACCTTGCTTCAGCGAAAATAGATCAGTCTTGTCCTGAGAATGCAGTAACTGTCAGTAGCTCTTTGTGATCGATTCCCAGCGAGTAGTTCGTTGACCGATCCTGGCATTACCTCGAGGAACGCTAACATGTCATGAGAAGCAGACCAGACCCGGCCTCCAGTCGTCGTAAGGGCCGCGGATTCACACTGAATGTCGACCATACTAGAAAAGTACTGATGGCCGTATCCCATACCACTCCATTTGCAACAACGCAATAATACTAGGGTGGACACCATGAGATCAGATCAAGACAAGGGCATGCCAGGAGATATCAACAAGCACTACGGTTCCATCAAATATGTAGCCCACTGTTCGATAGAGTCAAGGGCACTGACTTCAAACTTTGCCTCATTATTGAATACGACACAGAAGATCATCCAACACGCGAGCAGGGCTAGGCTGAAGCTTGTTAGAAGAAGGCCGAGCACGATCACTAGAAGGCAGTTGCGTAGAGGGCTACGGCCTGTGTCGTCGACTGCGGTAGGAATCGAAGCCTGCTTCAGCGCGGTTGAGTGTGGTGTAGGGAGTAGGAAATGAGTCGATATCACTGTCATGAGAGAGAAGGATAGTAGCTGAGGCAGACGACAATGCTTGTGATACCACTACTGCTGCAGGAACTAAGCTCAAGAAACCTAATTGTCTGTTGTTTTTGTGAATATACACACATTCTCACCGGGCTCAAACAACCACGTCTCAGGGACAAGCAGTGGAGTTCCAAGCAGTTGTACAAAGGAGTTTGTGAAAAGAAATGACCGAGCAAACCTCATGCCCCTCAAACACTCACGTGAACGCCTCAAATAACCAACTGCGACACCCAACATTCGAGCGATCGGCGATCGCGCAACTGACCCGATCAAGGTCAGGACGGTTTGTTGCGCTCATGCACAGTGTAACTCAGGGAGAACGAGAGGAACTGGAGGTTAGCAGGACCATGCTCCACGATCCACGTGTCACCAGCTCGCCAAACTTGTTAGATCTACTTCTCGGCTACCGAATCTAGATGCACCGGACTCAAAGACACGCGAGCGCAATTTCGAGACAGAAAAAATGACAGATGCCGGGATCGAACGCGCGATCCTTCACCTGGTGCATTCGGGACATCATTCTACAGTTTTTCAAATCTTGCGAAACCTCCGATCGATGCTAGTCCACTGTGCTGATGCCGTCCCTTAGAGCCTCTCCAATGTAGTACGATTCTGCCCACGCCTATCCCGTGGCCCGTATTCCCCTAGAGCCGTCCAATTAAGATAGACCAGCAGATCTTCATGAAACTGCGGAGATGGCTCAGGCAATGGAGACGAAGAAAATGAGATTGACGTTGTCCTAATCCTGAGAGGTAGTTTTTGACTCTATTTGTAGTTGAAGCTCTATACTCAGGCTTGAAAGGGAAGGATGGAACACTGCTCATCGACATTCGGAATACCCTGTCCCATGAGAAGCAACTCTTGCCTGTGACTGTGGTCGTTCTTTATTTTACAGATTCAGCCCTGTTTACGACTCATTTTCGTGGTTTCTATGAGCTCATATATGTTGGACGAGTACAATTCAATCGTGGAAACAACGGCTTTTACTGCATTTCGGGTCAGAAATAGGTCAGTTTTTGTACCCAATTCGCAAACTCTCCCTGAAGGTCTGTGAAACTAAGTAGCCTTACGACCATTCGCGTGTTTTCTAAGAGTCCAGAGCGGGTTTTTTATATAAGTTGTTGAGTCCACGATGATAGAGGAATGTTCCATGAATACGGCAGAGTCGTGTTGGAGTGCGTGAAAACATGGGGGAAAAGGTCGCTTTTAGTGGTGTCTTCATACAGTAGCTTCTTCCGGAATGGACAACTACCATGTACTCCATCTGATAGGAGAAGGATGCTTTGGTAAAGTATTCAAAGGAAGGCGGAAGTAGCAAAGGGCATGTCGGTTGGTTAAGGAATGTCTATTGAGCTGTCATAACGCATAGAGGAGTTAGGCTGTGACTGATTTCGCTGTTTCCTTTTTATCTCTCTCATTTTCATTGGTACTGAGCAACATGGTTATTATTAGAAGTGCATCAAATTTAATGGGAGTTGAGAAGTTTTCTATGTATAGCTGAGATTGAGGTTCGCCTGTCGCTCAACGAGAAATCGTCGGCGTGCGTGAAGAAAGATATCCTCAGGTACACTGGGCGTGTGGTAGCGCTCAAATTCATAGCGAAGAGGGGGAAGTCGGAGAAGGACTTGAAGAACCTACGCCAGGAAATAGCGATATTGCAGCAGCTCAATCACGACCATATAATTATGATGGATGAGTATTTCGAGACGAGTACTATCTCTCTCTAATTTCCGAGGATTTGGGTGTCTTATGGTAGGTACTGATTTTGTAGTGGTCACAGAATTTGCCCACGGGGAGCTGTTTGAGATATTTCAAGTGAGTTCAATGGGGAATAGGCGTACACCTGTATGGGAGCCTTAGGATGACAAGAAGCTCCCTGAGAGCCAAGTACGGCGCATAGCCCAGCAGCTCGTCAAGGCTCTGCACTATTTGCATAGCAATAGGGTCATACATAGGTAGCATACCACTCCCCGTTGAAGCTCGTCATCATTCTTGGGTGTAGGGATATGAAGCCTCAGAATATTCTAGTAGGAGCAAACAATGTAGTGAAGCTATGTGACTTCGGCTTCGCCCGAGCCATGAGCTACAACACGATAGTATTAACCAGTATTAAGGGTACTCCCTTGTAAGTTTATCTGTGGGGGAGTTCATTTCCTACTGGTGAGGCGTGAGGTACATGGCGCCAGAGGTCGTCCAGGAGCAGCCTTACAACCACACTGCGGATCTATGGTCACTAGGTAGAGCATTTTAGGTTCTCCTGTGCAATTAGGTGTGATTGATTTTAGGTGTGATTCTGTATGAGCTATTTGTGGGTACTCCCCCTTTTTATACCAATTCATTGTACAGTTTGATCCATCTCATCATCAAAGACCCCGTCAAGTATCCTAGTAACATGTCGCCCGAGTTCAAATCCTTCCTACAGGTCATTTCAACATCCCTAAGACTCTTCCATATTCTTTCCTTCTCAGGGCCTTCTAGTTAAGAACCCTTCAAAGCGTCTGTCCTGGCCAGCCTTATTGGAGCATCCCTTCGTACGTCGCGAGTTGTCTACGAGTATTCTGAACGCTGTCGTTTAGGTTCGACCTACTTCTACCCCTGAAAAGCCGTTGACCCTAGAGGTGCCCCTTAGCAGTGGTGGTAGTAGTAGCAATGGCGGGACCACGCCAGCTGGGGCCATCTTGAGCCGATTGGACAGCTCTGGGTAGGGCCCCTAGTCGTGCATGCCCTCATGGATGGAGCTCAGAGGAAGCCAGCGCGGAGGTAACGGAGGAGATACGACGCCAGGCTCTATTGGAGTCGTCAAGCCAATAAGCTTGCGGATACCCAGTACTTCTCCTATAGCTAGGGAACGGGTACCTCACTGTGTAGTCGACTACTGCTGGTTTGTGATGTGTGGCAGACCGTGTCGGCTCCGGCGTTACCCTCTAATAATTGGTTCGAGGTTATCAGTAAGGCTGTGGTCGACCCCAGGATGCTCCCGAATGACCCATCGTTCGCAGCGACGGTAGTGCATTAGGTCGGCCGAGTTCTATGATATGCTCGTTGCAGTGTCTCGACTTGCTGGAGAAATATGCGCAACGGTGTGGTACTCGAACTTCAGAGGGGAACAGTGGTAGTAAATAATAGATTCCGATGCCTCGGATCGAACTCGGGACCTATAGATGTAGTATAAACGGTCAGGTGCGAGCCTCAAGGCTCTATTTTCCCTCTCCTCTCCTGCACCTTCATTGAGCTCGTTGCTCCAATTCTTGGCCAATTTCCTCGTATACGTAACCCAAGCCGGCTCGGCCAATAATCTGATGCTGTCCAAGCTGTTCGCCCCAGACAGCAGCTTGCCGTGCTCGACTATGGCTATCGTGGAGCGCTGCTGTAGACCTGTCGTGTTCGACGCCCTTGCAGTGTTTTTACGATAGGCATCGGCCCATTATCGTTGCGGTCAGAGTCAGAGCTCGAGTCAGTGTTGTCGGATGGTCTGCGAGTGTTGGGACTGTGGCTAAGGTGATTCCGATCAAGAGGAGTGCCTCATGTGTACCTGTTGGGTAGATTCATCGCGGCTGCTGGTGCGACCAGTGCGGGGGTGGATGAGTGTGGTACTGATCTTATCTTTGGGGAGGGCGATGATGCATTCAATGCTGATCGATTCTTGAGGATCGTACCTGAAGTAATTGTTGGAACTGTGAGGGAATGTCATGCTTTTTATGAATATTATAATAGTACCTATGTTCATGTAGACTATGAATATGGTCGTATTACTGGACTTGCCATGTGCTTCTATTCACATTAAATCTATGAGGCAGTTCTCTTTTCTCTTCTCGTCGTGTGAGTGTATTGTACTCAGTGTAGTTGACTGCATATAGCCAGACAGGAAGTATTTTTTGAATTTTCAGTAAAATTGTGTTTTTCAAGATACTCTGTGTTACTCTGGATAGCACATCGCCATGCAGGCCAGGTCCAGGGGCTATAAACGTATCCAAGTGCTGTGGGGTAGGATGACAGTCCCTAGTGGGTCTTCACAAGACGAATCGTGTAGGTCCTATTCGCGACTCTGGCACAGCAGACAGTCGCCTGGTCCACAGTTGAGTGGATGACCGAAGCAGCCGAACAGTTACCCAAGGTAGTAGTAGAGTCGACTCAGTGTGGTATGCAGTAGTATTGTGTAGGCAGTCGAGGCATTGCAGAGATGGGATAAGGAAGGAGAGTCCTCCTCATTGTCGTTGGCAGTAGGGGGGATATATTCGGAGACGTTGCTTCATTCGCTCAATACCATTCCTTTCCCACTTCTAAGAACGGCTGCGTATCGACTCCTCTTATGTTATGGATGCTAGAATTATGATACCGTAACATGGACACATCGTTATCGCATAGGGCCTCTCATCAACATTCTACACCTATCAATTCCCTGGTCAAAGCTTGAGGCTTTTCACTCTGTTAAGGTACAAGCTCTCGCCAGCAGTCTTGCTAGATCGGGGCATAGCAGTGCTGGCCAGAAGCTGGCGCGGGCTATACTGCAAGCCTTCGCGAGTTTACTGCACAACTCCTACAGTAACGGGTCGTGACCATGGGTCCATGCTAACCCATCTTAGGTCCTGTAGACTCGGCTGAGTATTCGTCCACCACCATGGCTTTGGCTTTCACAGACGGCCCGCCTCAGCAGCGTACTGCGGGCTATTACGATAGTCCTACTCAAACGCCTGAGGTGGTGGCTAGACAGATTGGGGAAGTCTGGAGAAGGAAGGTGAGGTTGTGGAAGGAGTCTGCGTTACCATTCAGATTTTCTTAGGTCTTGAAGGCACTGGAAGAACAGTGCCGGAGGGAAGCGGGTATGGGTCTAGTTCAGGTTGGTTTCTACAGAACTGTATTGATAACGATAGCCTTCTGTTATAGCTTCTTGTTGAGAAGTGCCGTGCGAACCAGTCGCCACTACGATATGATACCAACGCGCTCAAACTCCTAGTTGAACTGAGCCGTGCTACGGACATCGCAGCTGCCGAAGAGATGCTCGCAGTATTAGATGAAGATGGTAGGAGGACATAGTGGGAAGGGTCGAGAGTGAGAGGCTCTTCATAAGGTGGAGCACAGCAACACCTGTTATACGAGGCCCTAGCTCTCGCCACTGCCAACCGGTGTTCTGTCCTGAAGAGTGATGGTAGTCCCCCATGGGCCCTCTAGGGCGGCAGTATCTCCTGCTAGGTGATGGCATCCTATCAATAGGCCTGGTATTCACCATGGTGAGCTCTACGCTGGCCACGAGGGGGAGGGGTGGTCGTAGTAGTCTAACACAGAAGGAGAGAGTGTACGGCCAGGGCTGGGGACGTCGTTATGCTAGCTGTCTTGTTTCAGTGAGGAATTCTTGGACAGGGCGGTGGCTGCTGCTCGGAGTGCTAAGGACTGTCAGCAAACTCTGTCCCTTCCCGCGTTATTCGTAAGTGTTGCAAGTGTTACTTGGGAAGATCAATTGGTGTTGTAGATGTTTCTGGCGTATCTGCTATCAGTAGTGGTGTCACTCACCACGGCGTCGGACCTGCCCAGGTCGGAGATCAAGGCTATGCTGTTGTCCTCTGGTATTGTAGAAGCGTTCGTTTATGAGCTGTGCTACATCGGGTAGGGCTGGACTCACGATTAACTGAAGGAGTGGTATGGATCGGGCAGGTCCTCATTGATGCCCAGGAGTAGCAATCCACACGTGGCTAAGGTGGCTGAGCTGGTCCGGAAAATAGAGGGGGTTCATATAGGAGGGTACACCACAGGGTCGGCGATGGACTCTGTGATGCGGTAGCTGAAGGCCTCCCCTTGGTGAGATCCACGACCCAGATTGATCAGGCTTTTGCTGTGCCTCGAGCCGGGCCGACAGGAGCAGGAAGTGAGGGCGGTTGTCTGCCGAGTTCTGCACTGGGACCCTAGTGCTACTCGATATGCATGTAACTTCCTACATCTACTGTCACCAACAAGGCACGGCCTAGCGGCGGTTATAACGCTACTGTGAGAGGTCATGGGAGGTTTCATACACGAATGGCATAAATCTTAGGCACGACTATAGGGAAGTTCTGGAGCCCAGAATATTCCTGAGGACATTTCTGGTACTTGCTCGTGGGCTACGCACGATACGGCCGAAAGGAGATGCGGAGATTTCCACACGGTACGGAGTTGGCGTATTTCTTCGCTGTGGCGGAGGGTCATTTTTAGGCTACTACTCGATACAGCGGTGGCGGCGTCAGGAGCGCTGTCAGATGATAGGAGTGGCAACCTCACTAATGAGTTCATCGAGGCCCGGGTTATCGCCTGCCTGGTGGGGAAGTGGGGTCTAGTCTCCCTACTTACGTTGTGTGTTTCAGTGCCAACTGCTGTCGGAATTTTCCGATATCCCTACAGAGGCTGTGACGTTGTTCTCATGCTTGGTCCTTCATCACAACTCTCTGGCAGGCCAGTTCGTGGCTGCGGCCGGTTTGCAGCTGTTCAAGGTGAGTGGGGCTTCTATCATACGATCAATGGGCGTCGGGCTGATGTGTTTTCATTTTTCTCTCAGAAATTTGCCGTTTTGTCAAGTCCTGAGGATCAAGCCTTAGTGGATGCTCTGTTGGTGACACTAATGGCTCTGTCATCACAGTTAGTGTCACCTTTGTGGTCGTAGGTCGTATCCCACATAGCCCGTCAGAGTAAAGACTTTTATTCGGCGATTGAGAAGATGTCTCCATACGAGGCACTCCGTGACAACTGCGCTCATGCTTCACCTGAGGTGACAGCCATGGGACTTCGAATCGACTATGATTTCAAAACAGGTCCGAGCTAAGACCTGCAACGCAATCGGTAACATGGCCCGGCATTCTGACTTCTTCTATAGAGCCTTCAAAGAGTGAGTTCAGGGAGTCACTGCCTCTGTCCTTGCCGAGCTGCAGGCACGACCTGGTTGCGGCCCTACTACCCTTGTGTTCGGACCCGGACCCAACAGTGCGGAAGTTCGCGTCCTTCGCTCTGGGCAACTCAGCCTTCCACAGTGCTGGCTTGTATCACCACTTGAAGCAAGCACTGCCGTACTTGGTAGAACTACTGAGTGAGTTCAATGCCAATTGGTAAGTTGTTCTTTCCCATGGTCACAACGCAGATACAGAAGAGGACGAGAAGACTCGAGCCAACGCGGCGGGGGCGCTCGGCAATCTAGTGCGGAATAGCAATGAACTGGTCCTTCCTATGATCGAGATGGGGGTAAGCGTAGCTGTTTAGCATTTTCGTGAGTTGGCTATTCATAGGCCCTCGAAGGTCTTCTTAGTGTAGTAGAGCGAAGACTACTAGCGTCTCCATTGCAGTCGGGGCCGGCCGACTCCTCAGTGAAGATATCCCTCTTCTCCCTCGGGAATCTGGCGGTCCATCGACACTGTAAAGATTCCCTAGTACGACAGCATTACTACTTTTCATGTCCCACGGTTTGCTGGTTTCAGTCTCGGCTCCATTGCGCTGCAATATGCCGTCGCGTGAACGACCGTTGCAGTGCAGTTGGGAGCCCGGCGGAGGATCCGGTCACTGTACGGTATTCGAATCGTCTCATGAGTAAGCTGACGGCGCCGCCGTTGAACCCAGTAGGATCTCCGCAACGCCGATGATTATTGTCTTGTCTAATTTGATGAGGGCCTCTGTGATGAACTTAATTCGCTCATCTTGAACATGCGAATTTACGTTTCACATATTGGCTCATTGCTCGATCGGTGTTGAGTTTTTTCATGGCCACATAGCGGACATGATCTGAATCTTAGTCTGCATGGTGCTAGATTCCCTAGGATACCATTCAGACATAGTTGTGGACGGTAGAGGGAGTGACACGGCGAGAGAGAGTCGTGATTCTATGCAGTTAAGGCCTGGCCTTTCATCCTTCCAATGTCGGCCGCTGATCAATACTCCATCATCAAGACTAAGGGGATCCAGCATCCCCAGCCAGTCAGGCCTGCTCGATATCGTCGGGGAAAGGTGAGCGTGCAGGCGATCAATGAAATGATTCCGTATTCTCTCTATAGATGCCCGAGTTTGCCGTCCACGAGATGGAGGATCAGGAGGAGGCTGAGCAGCGAGACAGGCAAGAGGTAAGACCGTAACTGTGGAGCAGGTCCAAGCAAGGTCCGACCCACTAGGTAAAGGAGGAAGAGGTGACTTCAACGCGACGACCCCAGCCGGTAGCTCCTCGGGTCGTATCACGTACAGAGGAGTCCGATAGTGAGGAGAGCGGCTCGGAATCAGATGATGATGGGCCTGGCAGGGCTGAGCTCCTGGCGCGCGCGGTAGACCGGGTTTTTTAGCGAATTCGATGGATGGATTTTTGTATTAGCGGAAGTTGGCAGCTGAGCGTGCGAAGCATCAGGCGGCTGTGGTGACGACAGGTGAGATCAGCCGGAATAATTTCATGGCGCGTGACGGATGCTAGTTGGATATTCGTCATTCATGAGTAGGTGGCGGTGACGAGGATGATGAGGACTCCGATAACGAGGGTAATCGAGCGGCCCTTATCGCCAGATCGGTGAGCAGCGTGGGAAGGAGGCACATGTTCAGTTACACGTGCTAATGACTATTATGAAGGTTTATACACTCCTACCATCGTGTGAAAACATTCATAGTGTAACTCCTGAGCTCAGAAGGGTAAATTCACATAGTCCAACACTTTCAGTATTTTATTCTCCAAGTTTAGAGCTCCATACCGAACTGTCCGATAATCTCTGTCTTTTTCCTCAGAGGCATGCTGTTGAGGAGAGAGTGAAGGAAGAGGAGGAAGCTGCAGCTGCAGCGAGTAAGCTTGTTCCATGATAGAAAACAGTGGCGGAGGTCGATGGCATTGATCAATTACTGACATATGGAGCCCTTGTATAGTACTTCCGTCCTTCAGAACGCGATGGGGCAACTTCGGAAGATGATGAGGACGTGGAGCTAGAGGAAGAGGAAGAAGAGGAGGAATCAAGCGAGAGTGAATCGAGCAGTGATAGTGACGAAGACGAGGGGCCTCTGCTCGCCGGGCCACGGTTCAAGCCAGTGAGTTCATCTGTGCGGTGGAATAGGTCTGTGTGCATGTTAATCGTCTTAGGTATTCGTACGGAAAGGAGAGCGGCACAATACGGCGAAGGTTGGTAATCAGATGCAATATTTGGAGAAGTGAGCCGGCAGGCATTCCTGTGTAATAAGTAGTCGTTGTGGTAGATACAACGAAACTGCCGAAGATGCTGAGAGGAAGAAGCACGAGAAGGAGGATGCTATCGTGGCCGCTATCTCAGGTAATCTTGGTGATGTGTATTATTGTGATGCACTGGATGATGGTTATTACTACTGTGAAGAGGCAAGATGACATGAGCCCGGATGTGTTGCTTGCTCAACGAACTAAACAAACAACGAACGGGCATCCGATTCGAGCAATAGGTTGTCCCGTAATCGGTCTAACATTTCGCGAGTTCATTAGTGTGAAGTCCGAGTATTCTATGTAATGTAACTATCCAACAGGTGTATCGGAAGACATTGCGGACGACCAGATGGGTGATGACGAGGAGGAGGACACAGCGGTCGTGCCAGAGCTAGGGGAGGTAAGTCGCCCCGATGGGCCGCTGTATTGATGAAGTATGCGTGTAGGACTTCACTCCGGCGACGCACCAAGAGTGGGTATTGCGTATGCTCGAACGCCGATATGCTGTTGACAAGGCAGCCAGAGAGAGGAGGGAGGAGGAGGCTGAGATACTGAGAAGGCGCGAGCTGACGGATGAGCAGAGAGCCAAGGTGAGGGGCGAGGCAGTGACATTTTGGTGAAGTGATTATTCTGTTTAGGAGGACGCGGAAATTGCGAAGAAGTACCCGCAGCGAGAACACTCTAAGAATTTCGTGTTTATGCAGAAGTAGTTGTGCTCTTACTGTCATCATTGTTGCCATCGTCCTATGACTAGATATTATCACCAGGGTGCCTACTACCAGGATCTGAGGAATGAGGGCAAGGAGGAACTCTACTTGCGAGATTATCAGGCTCCGGTGAGTCTGTGGCGGTTAGTTTGAATGCAGTCACTCCCCTGCATAGATTGAAGCTGATGGATTTGTCCAACGAATGGCTGAAGAACAAGACACTGCTGGTGACGAGGCCTCGACTCGTCTCTTGAAGGGACAGATGCTTCGACGAGGCCAGTACGGCAAGATTGGTCAAACCAAGGTGGGCTCTCCTGACGGTTTTGTTGTTGTCAATGTGGTTATTACTTTTTAGTACACGCATCTTTCGGCGGAGGATACGACGCAGTTTGATGCGCCTTGGAGTGTACGGGCGGCTCAAGAGGGTAAGGGGCCGACACCGGGCAGCTTTGAAGCGGAGGCCCGTGAGAGTGTTCGGAAGGTGCAGGAGCGAATGCGTTCGAAAATGGCGGGTAAGCTGGCAGATCCCGTTGGTCGGAATGTAGGATGTCGTCATGGCAGGTTTCAAGAACAAAGATACGTTTGAGCTCCCCCACCATCGTAAGAAGCAACGTACCTCTAAGTGATAGTAACGTATATTCATTACAATGTTCAGTAGCATTAACAACAATGGTTTCAAAATTGTCATCATGTTTGTTTTCGGGCGAGCGAAATCTTCACTGCGCTTTCGGTGTCCATAGATCAGCCAGCCTCGCAGTCTGCAGCTACGCACAAGCTGTTCAGCGTTGTCCCGTGTTGAGCAAAGCCACTTCTAAATGTGGCAGGATAAGAGTGGAGAATTGTTATGGATGGAAATTGTCATTCACTTTTGTTTCAGTTTGTCAATTTTCCCTGTCTCTGTTGCTTATGGCGATTAGAGGGTTAACCATTATGGTAGGCCTCCTTTGTGGGGCCTCTGCTGCTGCCGGTGAAATCCGCGAGGTTATTTCCCGTGGTGGTGGTTTCGGTAGTCTCGACAAGGACGTCTCCGTCCAGGAGGCAGTAGTGGTCAAAGTCGATGGCAAGTTCGACGTCATACCGATGGCACGCGACACGCCCCTGGCTGTTGCTTCTGGTCTCTACACCGACACCTTGTTCGAGCTGGGGTGGGATCAGATCCAGTTGGACTCGGGGTCCGACTACTATTCCGACCTCGACAGGATGTACGCCTTGGGTTACTTGGAATCTTATTTCCTCCATGACCGTATTTATGACTTCTGGACTAACTATAAGCATAATGATGTCGACAAGGCCCCTGAGGGCGTCAGAGAGTGGTTCGAGGATCAGCGTGCCTACGTTAAGATCATGACTGAGACTAGCGAGGACCCCTTCTGGAAGCGTATGGCTTACGTCCAGGCCCAGACTCAGGGTTACATCGACGGTTACCAACGCTATCACTCCAAGGGTAAGGAGATCGATCCTCTGGATATGTATATTCTCCAGTCCTGGGGTGATCTTGGTGATGTTGCCGCCGCTTTCAATGACGCCAAGTCTTTGGAGGGAGCTCGTGTTCTTAGCGAGACTACTCCCGAATCTACGGCACCATTTGTCGCTGGTCCCGGCACGTTGGATGAGGGAAGCTGTACTGGTCTTATTCGCCTATTGCCTAATGGCGAGATTACTGTTGCTCATAACACTTGGCGCCTCTATGAGGGTTTCATCCGTGTTTTTAAGAGGATAACCTATCCCAATAAGCTCACTGTTACTATGAGTAGCACTCCTGGCCTTATCCATAGTAAGGATGACTTCTATGTCCAAGAGAACGGCAACCTGATCGCTATGGAGACCACTAACGCTATGCACGATAAGAAGATCTCGGCCACGATTGCTACTGATCCCGAAGCTCGTCATGTTGCCCTCTCCTGGCAGCAGGTTACTTCTGCTGTGATTTTCTCTACTACCAGTGAGGAGTTCGTTCATACTATGGCGGACAAGTATAACTCTGGTACGTATAACAATCAGTGGATGGTCGTCGATGTCGCTAAACACCGTGCTGGCGAGCGCGAGGGTGTTGCTATGATTGCTGAACTGTCTGTTGGTTATACTCACTTGGGTGATGTCAGCAGTGTGCTGTATAAGAAGGGATACTGGAAGTCTTACAATATTCCCTATTTCCCAGATGTTTTCGAGCAAATGGGATATAACGACTCTGATCCTCAGAGTAGCTATCACCAGGCTAGTCGCAGTCTTATTAGTGACCGTGATGCGCCCAAGCTCTCCAACGTGGCTGATGTGATGCTATTTTCCCGCTACAACGAGTATCTCACTGATCCTCTTTCTCATGAGTGCTCTCGTCTCACTATCGCCTCTCGGTATGATCTGAGTGACGAGGCCAAGTGTGGTGCTGGTGCTGGTCCCAGAGCCTTCGGTGCTATCGATGCTAAGATTGTTAACTCTGGTGATATGAAGACTGTCCACGCTGTTTCCGGTCCCACCAACGATCCTGATAACGGCATCCCTGTTTTCCAGTGGAGCACTTCTGTTGTTGATGACCAAATCATGCACGTTGGTATGCCTGATCGCTATGATTTCCCTTGGGTGCGTTTCAATTCTCACTCATGGGATACCGAGGCTCTGACTGATGCCGATAAGCAGTGTGCTGATAATGATGATGCCCGCATCGTGGCTGTACAAGTTGAGAAGTCTGGAAAGACTCTACTTATCTAGTTTAATCGTATAGAGACCTTTTTGTGGTCTTTTTTTTCTGTTTGCCATCTATTGTAAATGATGGTTGCTTATGACGTTTATCGTGGGATTTGGCCGTTGTAGACCACCTTATCACCTCAAGCCTTGTAGTCGTTCAAACTGATGTAGTTGTACGATAGAAACAACGCTTTCCGTTCCATCGCTCGAGCGTGGAGATTTTACAAGTTGAGCTATTGAGTGTCAATTCAGATTTTTCTAGGAAGACCCTTCGGCAAATTCCTATATTATCCACGCGCGAGTATGGAGAATAGCTCTTACTGTACTAGTCAGGGATCCCCCTCGTGAACCTCTGATATGCGAGTTTGGGAGACAATGGAATCAAAACACGGAGCCCGTACTTAGGGTTTGTGATTCGTTGCTTTCGGCACTGCCGAAAGCCACCGCCAGTTGTCGAATCGGCAAGTTCAAGGTGATCTCCGTCGTTGGCCTTCTAACGTAGACCTAGGTCAAAAAGGAAAAATTCGCTCAGTACAATGACACGAGCTAGCTCGTGCTCTTCGCTGAGCCCAGTATACCCTGCAAGTATGTACATGGAACGGACCAGTACTCGAACGCCCGAAACTTGTGAATCTCCACAATCGGGACATGAGCTGAACGTCTCTGACTGGCTTTCACCTACGGAAAAACTGCAATGCTGTTCCTTCTCCGATATAAAAGCGAAGGTCCGCACTAAAGTTCACTGCCTTCAGACATTGAAAAGCGATTATGTTCGCTTTGCATCCAGGTTTCTGAGCACTGTGTTACGCAAGCAGGTGGCATTTGATCACACGATAATCAATTGTCAATGCTCATGGGGAAATTGTATCTGGAATGCTTGCTATCGTTAGGGTTCCCTGAACACAGTCATTTTGTCGGCGATTTATGATCCCAGCTTACTCCCGTGAAGACGAGCCCTCCCATGACCTACACTCTCTCTAGCGCCTTCCTCACCTGATGCTCACCCCATGTCCGTACGAGTTAGGCAAAACACGACTGCTACGTACTGTTGAATTTTCGAGCTTTACCCATGGGGAACAGCTTGTCGGTGTTCACGAAGCGGCTAATAGTCCACGCCAAGCGGTCTTGAGGGTCAATACGCTGGTGTATGGGGAAGGGCGCAGTCGCAATCATGTGCTGAGATACAAAATATCACGGAGTGGTAGGGACATGGTAGGCTATGTTCACTTGTCTTTGACGATTCTCTGTGGGTGGTGGTACAGCAAACGGGTCCTCAACCACTTGAGGTGTCGGTTGGCGAATAGTAGGAGGGGATGGTTTTGCAGGCTTGGCTTTGACTGCCCGCATTACGCCCGGGAGCTCCTCTGTCTCGGCCAACTGTGTTGCCTAGTTAGAGATGAGTCGAGTCTCACGATGTCCAATTCGAAGGGATAATTGACTCACTGTCATATGACGTTTGGCACTTCTCTCACCCAGTGGATCGCAGTCGTTTTTCGCCTGCATCATCCGGGCACTCCTCACCTTGGCTACCCTCAACTTCGCCGCTCGTCTCAACTTTCTGATTGAAGACCAAAGGTAGCAGCACACGACCCCTCAGAAGTGAACCCACCTAATTTCTGCAATGAGAGATTTTTTTATCTCTGTTTCGGGTTTCTTTTCCACCACTGGTTCAGCGTACGCCATTGCGAGTGCCCTCGCTCTGGCTCTCCGAGCCTGATGTACGTCTCCAATATGATGCCACCACTTTCGAAGGACCTACCCGTCCACTACAAGATCTACAAGCGCAGAAAAGAATGAGGAGCGGGAAGAGGGCAGCGGCGGCTCCGATGAGGACGGGAGAATCCAGATTAGACCAGGACCACCCCGACTTGTTCATCCGATACCATGTCTCGAAGGACGAGACCTGATGAGATGGGCGCTCGAAGCAAGCGAGTCGTTGCACGACTGCTACGTTGAGAATGCCCGCTTGCATTATAGTGCCACCCGAGATGTCACCGTTCTCTACCCAGCACAGCTTCCAGAACCTGTGTAAGTTCGGGCTGAGGCCGTTCAACTTCACCGGAACTGCTCACAATGGAGGTCGGGTGAACAGGAGGAGGGTATCACTAGGATCACTAGTGTTAGAGAAGGCATAGTCACGACCACCGTTGGTCGCTGGGTAAGACACACCTGTTGATGACTGCAGTGGGTTTTGCTCGGACGCTTGCCAACGAGAATTCGTAGCAAAGAGGGAAAGGAAAGGATATCGCACATGTTACCATCAATTCCAATAGGAGCTCGCTGAGCACTCCCCGAGGGAAGATCTTCACACCCGTCTTCTTGACCGAGCAACGCAATGAGGACGTCTCCGTTCTCCATACCACTCCTGATGCAACATGTGTGAGATCAGAGACTCGGGCATGCACACTTACCCCTGTAGGTTGGTGATGATGCATGGCAGTCTTTCATAGCAATTCTTAACCTGATGCGGTTGAGGCCCAGCTATCGTTAGAGTGCCAACATCGACTATGTAGTGGTAGGTGCCTGTGAAGCTCAGAGCACTCCAGCATAAATGATACAGACCCGCTGGTGCTGTGACTGGCTCGGTTCCCCTGACGATGATAGTCGACTATGAGCAAACACGTTGGCTTTGACTCTACCATGAGTAGTAGGTGCCTTCCTCCGTAGTGGCGACTCCTACCGCGCCGTTGGGAAAACCTGTGATGCCCTTGGCCTCACCAGTAGCACAACTTGCCGTCACTTTCATCTGAACCACCACCGCCACTCGAAGATTCGTGTGGCACATTGTGTACCCTGTCTGTGGCGGCGAGACCGAAGCCTTCCACTGGGCCGATAGTGCAGGGGTTGTTCGGAAAACAGAAAAAGGCTTGACTCAGCACTTTGGGCGATCTAACCTAAAACAGGGAAAATCACACTTGACGTGAACGAGGAGTTGTTTTACTAGAAGTACAGCAGCTAGGGAGTTGAAGTTCGCGGATCCCGTCGAAGTGGGGTCCAGGACCTGATCACGTCGATTCAAATCCTCTCTGTGAGGCCAAGCACTCGCCTCGTATTGCGGATCCACACATGAGCCCGACGTCGCTGGTCTGCTGCAAAGACACAGGAAATATTGCCCGCCTGAATGGGGACGTACTCGACCGATCAGGATCACTCCCCGCCTCACCGGGCAGAGTTAAGATGTTCGCTGTGTCTGAAACGGTCGAGCCTGGGGGCTCAGCGAACTCGAAGTCTCTGCCGTTAGCGCTTGGCAAGGACACTCCCTGGTTCGGCACACCATCACCTACGCATCCTCATCCCTAGTGACCACCACTGATATCGTGTTACTCACCCACAGTTCGAAACGCCGGCCCACAACCACGACTTGTTATTGCGATTCTATCACTGATGAACAGTTTGCCGAGGAGATTGCGAATCACACATTTTTCAAACGCGATACAGGAGACCATCTGCAACCTAGTAGGAGGCAGCGACAATGCGCCGTACACTTGTAGAACGCCTGAGTCGAGAGCAATACCCTCAGGGAAGCATAGACACCTTACCGAGATGGACATTGAAGTGTTCCTGCTTAATACAGGGCAAACCACCACCACACCAACAGAGGGAGTAATCACCAGCAACTAGCGGCCAGACCGGCTCCTCCTCGCCCCAGGTGTATCTGGGCAATGGTCGATCTATGAAAGAGCCGTTGCCCCTACGTTCCTTCCAGTTGAGTAGCTGAGCTTCTGCCGTCACCTGGGAAACCAGGTACTGATATTCGCTCAACAACAGGGCCCGTGATGAGGTCGGCAGAGAGGGGCGCGTCAACCCCCGCCATACCGGCTCGTGAGTACCACACCTGGTGAATCTCTGGGAAGTCGTTCCCGGCGTCGTACCAGAGTAGATCGCTCGCAAGGGAGTCCAGTGTTCGCCCATATGCTTGCAACACTTCATCGTGTACGTCCATGTCGCCAACTGAGCAATCTGTAGTAGCAGAGACGATCACTCTGTCGTCCCCTCGAAGACCGAGACCTCCGACATCTCGAATGTTGCAAGGCGCTCCAAACTTGCACGTAAACGTTCGACCAGTGATGGGGCCTATGACCCGGACCGAGCCGACGGTTCCCAGGAAGTTGACGCCGATGATTCGCGACTGGCAGTCGGAGGCCTCATTCGCGGTACACCAACACAAGGAGTAGGAACCTCCTTGAGCGAAGATAGGGCTGGCCCAAGAGAAGGTCTGTGCCGGATAAGTAGTGGAAAGATAGAGAGGTAGTGTTATCGCCGAATCGGGAAAACCCGGCGCCCCAGGATAGTCCCGCTCTGAGGTCGGTCGCCAAGACGAACATGAACCTGGTATTGCTGCTAGACGATCGTATTCAGCGATACCACTGATCCCTGTGAGAGTGATAGAACAGTTCCTGCCTGCTGTACAGTAATAGACCCCTGTATCTGAGGCCGGCGACTATCATAGTGCGTCTGTGAGCACAACAAAGAAGATGATCCAGTCTGTGGCGCTCCGTCGGGGGGATTGCGTCGTCTTACCATTGATCACGGAGACTCCCCGAATATACAGGATCCCTAGGTACAGCGAGTAATCCCTCATTTGGGTACAGGTCTCGGTGCTCTAAGGTAACGAAGATAGAGATGCAGGACGACAGAGGGGGCGATCTCACTGATGATGGGTCATCCGGGCACCAGCACAGGTCGTAGACGCCACCGGGTGCAGTCACAACGAGCTCTTTTGGCTCCTCTCCAGAGACCTCCTCTTCATACCTGTATTCTATCCCATACCAGAGAGCATTGCCCCGTGATGTGGACAAGGAATGGTATGCTCGATGATTCCTCACGTAGTTATGCAAATGCTTACCAGGTGAAGTTGGTGCCGTCGGCGGTCCTAGCGAAACCCTCGAGACCCACAACGCTTTCGGATCGATCCTGGCATGCTTCGTAGCTCACGAAGAGGCCGGCATGATATCTAGAGAGTTCACTGCTGTTCAGGATACATGTCGACTGCAATACTCATAGCAGCTGAGTTCAATGATGCAGCACCATTGCAATACTCATCTACATATGTCTGATACAACTGCCACAGCTCATGTGATGATAGGCAACAAATGTTTCAGTTTGACGAGCGTTCTAACCAAAGCTGCGCATCTGTCGAAATTATTCAGACCAAACGAAGGAAAATTATCAGTGAGAAAGAGAAGGAATGATGCCTACGGGCTCTCCTCTGCATCTCCGCAGTGTAGTTCATCCACGTAGCACCACGGGCCGCGGGGATCCAGGGCCTAGAAGCACATGGTCATCGATGAGGGCAGATGGGGGCTCCTACTAGTGACGTTGCGGTACTCTGAGGGTCTACTTTGAGCACCGACATGCAGAGGGATCCTGTTGTGCCGATCACAGGATCAAGTACACCATTGCATTCACACACCTGAGAGTCGGGGATGAGGACATGCATGGTGAAACTGGAGAACTCACGCGGCATGCGCTTCCGAAGCTCCTCACGACGAGGCCGTCACCAGGCTTGAGGTCAAAGCCTGTAAAGCCAGAGATGGTACAGGGGCCACCAGCAGAGCACTCCACAGACTTCCACAGGGGAGTAGGTCCCTGAGGTTCAACCATGTGAGAGAATCGATGATCTCAGCGGGAGGGAATATGATGATGGAGCTCAGGAGTTCCCACCTTCGTGTGGACAGTCTGTCGGCGGCCCCACATAGCATCGTCATCGATTGTATAGATCAAAGCATTCTCGCCCATGACGGGATCCGCAGTGGAGCAGTAGATATCGTGTAGAGTGCCTGAGAGACTCCAGCTCGAATAGCGATCGCTCTCCTTGATCGCTCAGTTTACCTGGCCTCAGGCTTGGTAGTCTGAGAGTAGTTTGACCACCAAGGGGTAGTGTTACTATCGCATTCACGCCTTCGAGTTGGACGGTCTCGACAGAGGGGCTCTCTGGCCGCACTTGGGAGAGACCTAAAGGAAGAAACTATGGATCGCCAAGATTATGCTGGATAAGTGGAATTTGTCATTTTAGTATGTCCATCTGATAGGAGAGTACATATATGGAAACTAAGACCAAAACGAACTGTGGTAAAAACTGTACTAGTTTTCTTGGAGTAGATGACGATGCAGTCCACTCAAAGGAGGCCGTACCATCCTGCCCATCTCCACTGCTGGCATCGAGTATCCAAGGTAGAGCTACGCAAGATATGTTTGCTGCCCTGAAATACTCTAACAATCGGGATTGAATCTAAGGTGACACTACCGGTCAACATTCACGAATAGGTCTATGGATGCATAGTTGCTTTCGATGCGCGCCATTTCCAGCGCGGGATACGGCGTCCACGTGGAGTTATTGGGCCTACGGTAAAAGGAAATCATGAAAAACCATAGAAATTTTTCGGAAATTCTCTATTCTTTCCATGATTTTGCCTAGAAATGATAATAAATTTCTTGATTTATTGGTGATGATTTTTCTTTGAAAACATCCATTTTTCAAAGGTGATAAGACGGCAATAGGCTCACAAAGGATCTTCCTCAGCATCACAGTAGATCTCGTAGGTACCGGCTGAATCAATAGTGAACCGGTCGTCGTCGATGAGATCGACTTCAACTTGAATACGAGGGATCAGTATCTGGTCAAGAAGATAAACACCGATACAGCCAATGCTGCTTACTCGAGAGAAGACTCCTCCGCTCCGTATTGCTGTCCTGTCAGGCATTCTACGACTAGCCGACTCTGTGAGGGAGTCGATTGCAATGCACCAAACCATGGCTGAGGACAGGAACAATTCATACTAGGCTCGTAATGGAGTGTTATGCTTATCGTTACCTGGACCCGTTACAGAAACTCCCGCAACAAGCTTCAAGGCGTCGACAGTTGCACGCAGTTCCTCAGTGGTAGAGAGCGACAGCATGAGAGATGCCGCATCGTCCTCGGCCAGCGTTCGAACCTTATCACATAGTGGCGATCAGTGTTGTAATATATGTTCGCTTCCCTCAGCCAAGTTCAGGAGTTTCCTCACTCATCATGAGAGTTCACATAATGAGATTCTCCTAAAACTTTCTCGGAATTTCCCTATTGTCACCAACACATGTAGTTGATCATGTGCATATTTTTCCACACTGATAGAAAAACCGAACGTAGGTTAATACTGAGTCAGAACCCCTAGACCTGATGCCCTCTGACAGCACAGCTGGAAAGCTTTGATTATCCTATATGGAAGGACGATGTCAAACAGGCCCTACCTCGCGCCGAGTAGCGTCTATGGCCTCGTCAGGCGATACACCCGAGCCACTGGCAGATATGGTCATACACCAGAAGGAGTAGGCGGTGTCAGGTTGGGCGCCTACATCGAGGAAATGGAAACGTTACCAGTCACGACGACGAGACATACCTTCCCGTATGTCTATAGAAATGTCGTTAGTGAGCCTACTGCCTGTGGGCACAACTAGGGCGGAGATCTGAATTCGACCTCAGTCGGTTGCTCTGGCGCTTCCCCTGTGATGGGATCGTATGGTCTGTTCAGCGACACGTTGAGCAGGATGCTACATCTGTGAGGTCCCTCACCTGGCCATACAATAGGCTTTGCCCTCAAGGTTCAATCGGATGGTCATAAAGATTCTCGATGCCGTCACGAAGCCCCCACGTATGCTCGCCACGGGGTAAGTTTGGATACCACAATCGAAGCATCCCGTCGTAGTTATCTGTCAATGATATAAGCCCACGAATAATCAGTTTGGAGCTGCTCTCCGCGCTACCTCGGCCATTCGAGTGGTTATGTCGTCTAAGGGTGTGGTGGAGCCGTCAGGCCCATGAACTGTGCAGTAGACTTCGTAGTCAGTTCCCGCCGACAGACCGTCTTGAATGTCTATCGTCTGCAACTTCTCTGTAACCACCCGTATTTGGTGGAAAATGACGGAGGTGGGATCCAAAGCCGAGACCAAAGCTGGCGGATTGTCGCTGCTCTCAAGCAACTGGCAGTTGGCTTGGTCGACTTCACCCGGGGTGGCCGTTCCCTCTATCCAGAAAGCGATTCTCCCGCAGTTCAATGTGTCCCGGCACTCTTGTCTGCACCCTTCGATATCAGTGGTGGTTGTGAACTCAATATGAGCTGAAGTTGTTGAAGGGATGTTGCTGTTCACATCAGAGTCATCCGCATCTACCCAGGTCTCGTCGGTGAGCTCAGTGACGTTTATGTAGTAGTCCGACTTCTCAATTTCTTTAGAAGTAGGAGTTCGCAAACGGTAGAGCGTGTTGATCGGAAGACAGTAAACTCTAGCTCCTACGGTAGTGATATTTATGTCCAAAGTTATCCAGCTTGATCCCGCCCTAACTGCTTGGATGCGGTAGTCGGGCGCTAGGGTGGAGGCAGTCTGGCCACTGCCATCCATCCCTTCGGCCAAGTCGGTTGTGTCCACAGTGTATCGACAATAGACTGTTCTGTTGGTCACAGGATCATCTGTCCACAACCATTGTGCATTGACGGCGGCCCATGCCTTATTCCTATCCCTCCAAGGACAGCAGTCGCTCTCTATGGGGTACTCGACTGCCATGGGCCAACTAGCGTCATTGTAGCTTTGGGCGAACCATGAATTCGCGAATTGACTTGTACACCGCCAATGCTCGGCAGTACTGATGACGAAATTAGGTAAGGCCAGGATCCAGGCGCCATAACTCGGGTAGATGAGCACCGTGTGGCCAGTGTCCACCTCGACCCCTTCTGTTGGCTTGTTGTTTGTCGCTCGAATGGCGATCACATCGCCATCCACGAGGTCAGAGGCCAATCTGAAAACTTCAACGCCCGAATTCACGCCCTGTATTTCGTAGTTGGTGTTGAGATAGTAGATGTCCAGTGTCGGGTCCGTGGGAGCTAGATCGCCGTTAATGTAAATATCGACATCTGTGTCCCCCTCGGCAAAAGCTCTAATAGGGATACTGACCTGTTGCAGGGAAAGCCTGATAAGTTGGGCTAATAACGCCGCTAGAAACATGTCAAAATGCATAAGTAAAAAAGGGAGAAACTTGAGATACAACTAAAATGAAATCTTAATGATCAAGCTATGACGAAATCCACATTACACTGCAAGCTGGAGTGAACAATGCAGTCACCGAAATCGAACTTATACTACTCAAGTGCGGCGGCGAAATTCCCACAAGTTTCGGGTATTCCAAGGCTCTAGCCACGCCAAGATGGCATTCAACAGCAACGCATAAGAACAAGGCATGTGATAATCGACACTGCGCGGTCCATGGGACAGTTCACAGCTCATCTTCATTTCCATTTATGGTGACGCCCGATTGGGTCCGACCAGGATCATATATCTTCTCGAATAGCTTAGCAGCAGTTGCAGCTCGAACACGGAAATCTTCAGTGCCCGGATCGGCCCTGTCGCCGAGGACCAAATCGGCCACTCGCCTTCTTGTCACGATAACATGCCATTGCCATAAACCGTCGTGGATCTCCTCTATCGTAGCAATACCATCACCATTCATGTCCCAATAGGCGATCGAATCCTCTGCTCTCAGCTCCAGTAGCGATGCAATAGACTCGTCAGCAAGGCTAGCCCCCTTGCTGAAGGCCAGCCTGGCGTCAGGGTTACGTCCCGGCTGTCGAAAGTGTTCGGCCGCTGGACTTGTCTTCAACCAGTGCAAAAGTTCTATTGAGCTCAGCTGATCGTCATTGTTGCGGTCTACTGCTTTGATTATCTCCCTGGCTTTCTGACCAGCAGCTTTACCACCATCGAGCTTCTGGTCCGTCCACCTTCCCCCTACACCGAGCGTTACTGTGGGAGCCCAACGATCCCACAGGCAATCGCCAAACTCCGTTGACAGAGACAGCCGTGGTAGGAGGTTTCGTATGTAACGAGCCGACATTGGTATCGGTATATTGAACGTGACGCTTGTCGTGCACGTGTTGTCGGACACACTGAGCGTCTCATGCATCATCCCTGGCGGAAACAGAATACCTTCTCCTGGCCCGAGGGTGTATTCATAGTCCGGCTCGAATGCCCTGGTCGGATCTCTCCTGATACCACCATCGAACTCGTCGAACATTTGCGCTATGGAATCGACCTTAGGCATGGTCATCAATTTCCACTGTTTAAAACCGTTCAGTTGTACTGACATTACGTTGACGCAATAAGCATCGTTATGCGCTAGCGTGCCGGCTCGAGGTGGCTGCAGCCAAAATTCCATACTGTCAGCTGCATGTTGTTCAAGTGCCTGATGCCTTTCTGCCAACCACGGGAGGTTCTCCATAGCAATTCCCGAGGGAAACAGGATACGCTGAACTGACTCTTTCATATCTCTCGTCACACGATCCTTCACATGCCACACATAAGGTGCCGCTGTCGCCTGGTCGCCGATACGCCCGGGCTTCTTTTCAGCCCAGCCGGGTTCCCCCAGAGCGACCCTTTTATCGTAGCTCTGGTATTGCTTCGACATTTCACCCTCAGGCCATCTCCTGGCGAAGTCTCGGCAACTCTCATTCACTAATGCCCAGCCCAGACCGGCTGTCTTGAACACTGCTGGTTGACCCTTCCTGACGAGATCCACGAAGTCCTCAACAGACACCTTGTTGTTAAACACAGGCAACTCCTTTACTAGGAAATCTCGCGGTTGCACTTCGTCGAACGGATCAGAAGGCCGATGCCCTCCCCCACCGTTCGCCAGAGTGAAGAAAGCTACAGTGAGAAGGAGTAGCATTCACAAGCTGCTGAAAAAGTCTCCCCTCACACGTTCAACACAACATGCCAGAAATCACACACTCTACGATGGAGGAAGACAGCATGCCTTCACTATCATATCTTGCATCCATATACCGTCACTATACCTGTCACACGATAAGTCGTAAAAGACCCTGAAAGCATCTCCCCCTCACAATCGAGTGTTTCCTTCTCCACCTGCACACAAGTAAGACCATCAGTTTTGAGATCCCACCAACACGTGGCTGCAGTGCTCAGCGGCGCCCCGTTCTTCTGCATGATCACACACGTAACTTGACACCATACACACGTTAGTGCATCTGCATCAACACCCTGTTCCCATACCAATGTATTTGAACGGTTTATCGAGCTTTGCTAATTCCTTCAAACACGAATCCAACAGCTGATTGCACCTACCCAAATCAGTGCAAGAAGCCCCACATAGCGACTGTACCATGCGTTAACTTTCTCCTTAGAATAGATGGCATTCTGAAGAGTATGGTCCATAGCATGCTTCACGATTTCTTGAACGTTTTCCGACATATACTCTTCCTATCAACAACTCCGAATCTTAAAGCCCAAGGCTGTCGAGCTTACCTCTCCTTCCTCGTCAGCCATGTTAGTCTCGCTTAGAGAGAGTCTTAAAAATGCACTGAGAAATGTGCCGAAACTCCCACTCTGAATTCACCACACAACCACATAGGTCAACTCTCGAGACTTTCTATTCAGTTGCCAAACACCTTATCCGTAATGGGCGCCAGAGTGCGCCTTTGTTCAGCAATACACACATCGCGATTCAGACAGAAACAGGGTCAACCACATCACACACCCTCAGAGCTTAGCAGTAAGCTCAGGAACGATCTTATAAAGGTCACCAACCAACCCGTAGTCCGCGACCTGACATCGACACCATTCGACCCTAGCTGATGCCTAAAACAAAACCTACGTGGAAGATCGGAGCCTCAGCATCCTTATTGATAGCAACAATGCATTTGGAATCCTTAATACCCGCAGTATGCTGGATGGCACCAGAAATGCCAATTGCGATATATCTGACCGGAATGTAAATTAGAGCCTTCCATCATTCAAGTCAACCTACAGCTGTGGCGCTACAACTTTCCCGGTCTGCCCGATCTGCAAGTCGTTGCTACAGTACCCGGCATCCACAGCAGCTCGTGTGGCCCCCACTGAAACAGTACCAACTCCTCTACCAATCAGGACCGAGTGACGTACATGCAGCACCGAGTTTTTCAGCGAGAGGGTCCAGCACACTGTCGAAGGTCTTCTCATCTTTCAAAGCCCGACCGCCTAAGAGCACGGTGTCACCACGACTTTGAGATTTCAACACTACCAGCCACCACAACTTGGGCAGTTTGCAGCATGGGTTTCTCGGTAGACTTATCGGCTTCACTTAAGAATTTCTAAATAAAAGCGACAAGTCGACATCTCGGCCATTCACAATCAACCGCTGAATCTTTACAATGCTAGAGGTAGCCGCATCTATCTCCGTCTTGATAATCTCAGCAGCAGTCGTGGCGGCATCCTGGGGAGCCTCAGCAGGCTCGAATGCAGTTGGACGAAAGATAAGCACCTAAACATAACTCTTCTCGAGCAGCACTTGAGTTCATCCCAATGCTACTACCTTCACGGGATCCGTAGACTTGACAGTAGCAACAACATTGCCAGCATACATCGGCCTCTTAAAAGTGTCGTTCGAAAGCACCTTGATGACCTACACAAAGCAAAGGTAAACAACTCTCTCGAGTATTAACACATCTATTCTTACATCTGTGATAGGCTGTGTGTCCAAGACAGCAGCTGCGCGCGGTAGGGAATCTCTCATAACACTACTGTTACCTTGAATAGGAACTACCTCCCTCAAACACTAGGAAGAACGTACCAGCGACCACATAAGAGGCCCCCATCTCCTTCGACAGTTTCACAACAGCATTTGCGAAAGTATCCGCTGCAGGGTGCTCCAAAGCGGCATCGTCGGGATTACAGTGATACACCTACACCTCCAGAGACTCGCCATAAACCACGGCTCTCCAGCTGACCTTCTTAACCCCCGGTAGTCGAGCTGCAGCCTCAGCGGCTTCTCGGGGACCTACGAACAAATCGACAACATCTCCCTCTCACATAATGCCTACCTCCAGCAATCATAACAGAGAGCTCCTCATGCAACTGACTAGCTGCTGCAGCTGCACATAGGGAAGACTAAGGCGGCCGATGACCATAAGGCGAGGTGTAGCCTCTGAGATTTACCTTTTCCAGCTTGCCTCCTCTTTGTTCAGCAACGAGAAGCGTAGAAAACAGCCTCCGAACGGTCGAACATCCACAAACCCCTCGAGCTATTGTACTCCCACTTACTACACTCGATACTCTAGCGGCTGATGATAACATGACTTGCGTAAAAACTCGGTAAAAAATATCCTTCGAAAAGCTCATACCACTCCTTCCCCGAATCATCCCAACCATACCCCCTCAACTACGATCAAATAATAACATAGACCAGCTTTCCTCGTGAATCACATCCAGCATGGACCAACTCTCAACAATCGAGGAAACACTTACGCTTCCTCAGGCTTCTCCCCAACCCTTCTCACAGTGACTTGTGCATTACTACTATCAGAAGATCCTCGACCAGCTCGAACACGTTTGAGCGCCATCCGGACAGACCTCTCCATCGCTGCTACCTCTGCCTTAGCTTTCTCAATAACCTATCACACCTTGCAACGAGCCTGCCCACTGCCCCTCCTACCTCTCGCGACGCTCGGCCTAGTCCGAACGACATATCTCGGCAGACAGTGACCTACAATACAACCTTCAACGCGAGAGCCACCGCTGAGGTGAAGTACCTTAGAGCCGTCAATACGAGCAGCCTTTCCCAGTGGGTCGAGAACAGAAACTCCTCCAATAGAGTGCTTTGCGATAAAGGCACCAAAGCGTTCCTTGTCGGCTACTCCCGACACGTTTCGTTGAAACTCAGCGGCCAACACCCGCTCCTGCGGAAAACATAATGCCATCGCCTACCCTGGTCAGAATTGGAATCTATGTTTGGTGAGCTCAGAAGTTTTCACATATGAAGTATACAAAAACAAAAAAAAACCGAAAAAAATTCTCAGAATTTTCATATTCTCAGCATTACATATAATCAACCATGAACAAATTTTCCCATCCCAGTACGGATACCCACCCGAGCTCTCTCCGCAACTTCCGCGGCTTTCACCTTCGCTTCATACTGCATCTTCTTCCGCAAAGCTTCCTCTGAAGCCTACATCCTGCATTCACACACCACAACGCCCATCACTTCGCATCCTGCCCAGTTCCACTGCTTGCAGTTGATCCCAAGCCTTCTTTTCCTCTAACTCGCGAGTTCTAAAAACCTCATATCTGTTCAACACCATCAGCATCAACCTCACAAACTGCCAACCTCTTTAGCTCACGGATTCAGGCCCTGTTCGAGAAGCTCCTTCTTTTCCTCCTCAAATTCACTCAATTTTTTCAGCTCCTCCGCATACCTCTGGTCATTACGTCGCTTTATACGTGCCTTACTCGCCAATAAGGATCGCCTCAGGCTCAGCACCCTAGCCTGGGCCTGCTCTCCCATCTAACACACATGCTACCCTTAACAATAACGCTACGCCTCCTAAGCTCACCTGACGCCGTATCTCATCATTTTCTGCTTCTTTCGCTCTCACAGCCTGCTGCCTATCGAACAACCGCTTCCTGACAGCGACTTGAGCCTTCCTCACTTCAGCCGCTACAGTAAACTAAGAACAACTCCATGAGCAGCATTGCGATGAAAAGACTTCACATTTCGCTCCGCTTCCAGCCTCTGTTGAGCCTCTTCCTCCTCAAACTTCGTTCGCTCACGTTGAACATCTCGGTGTGCTCTTTTCAGCTCATCCTTGCACACATACAGACCAACTACACACCCCCATCACCACCACCTGCAATTTCCTAGCTGCTACAGCTGCCGTCATCGAAGCCTCCATACTGCCGAGTTCTGACTGCTCCCTCGTCGCCAATGCTGAGCTCTCCAAGCGATGAACTTCTAACAACGCCAAGTCTCGAAGGTACTCCTGAAAGTCCCATCAGCAACCTTCAACATCACCTGACGAGTGAGTCTACATGCTCAGTGACGAGCCTCCACGCCGACTCCACACGGCTCTGCTGCTCCCCGACCTCTTGCGGCTTACTGAGCTCACTTCTAGACAGTTTACTCAGCTTATTCTCTTCCATCTCGAGAATTTTCCGTGCCTCTTCTATTCTCACCGACTTCACCTTCACAACGTAACGTAAGCTCTCGAGCTCCCGCACCAACGCTCTATCTCTTCTCCGCTCGCCTAACAAGCATAGAACTGTGAATATCTACACTGTGCGTAAAGTCTAATACAAACTTCCATCATCATCAAACTAACCGCTATCACGATATGGCTTGGATATCATTCAACGTCATGATTAATAACATCAGCTGTAGCCCGCGATGAAAACCGCAGTAATTGCTAGGGAAGACGAACTACACTACTACGTGTAGATGAGAGCTAATGATCAGGCATTCCAACCTCTGAAATTATGGTGAATGACACCCGCACGAATCTAAAGGCGTAGTACTCAATAAACTCACTTCGTTTATGGACTACTAAGCTGCTCCCATCTTCTGCCGCCTCTTCAGCGTCCAGCTCTGGGCTCACAGTCGTGGTATCGCATTGCATGAAAATGAATCACTGTTAATGATGAAGTCATGCAAGAAAATTGATACCACTCTCTGGTCGCAAAGAAAAAACATAGCCTGCCTCCAACAAGCACAATGCATGCGAAGAAACGAACATCTGTGTAATAGCAGAAAATGGAGGATTGACGTGGTGATATACAGCCGAGCACAGCCCCTAAGCTGCCTTCTTAGTCACCTTGTCGGGTCTCTTCGAGCTACTATCACCCTCAGGGGGCTCCACAAGGACGAACTCTTCATACATCGACACAGCAGGGTTGAACGACAAGCCTCCAGAACCATGGCAATCTTCCGAACACGTGTACCTTAAATTGCAAGTCGGCCTAAAGTAGGCAAAAACTGCAGACTCACATCGCGGCTATACCCCACTCCATCTCGTTTTCGTGACCATCAAACCAACCAGAGAGGTAAAACAAAGAAGGCAGCAGCTCGCATTCAAAGACACGTGGAGCTCCACAGGCACTAAGAGAACGAGTAAAAGCATCACCCTCAGGGACCTCCGCAACACCTGCATGGTGACACCCGTCGAGGCGTCGCTTTCTTCCCCAACTCCTCCTCTGCAAATTTACCAGCCCACAAAGGCGACCCGTTATAGTCGTACCGCAACACCTGAAAAAAAGACAAGCAGTGGTGAAAAATACTTTCGCTTTCCTCAGCTGAGCTTGAGAGTTTCCTCACAAAATATTCACGTCAACATACGAATTCGTGTGGAAATGTGCACGAATCAATGAGAATTTCCCAAAAATTTCCCCAGAATTTTCATCTTGTCACCAACATATGTGGTTGACCATGTGCATATTTTCCCGAACTGCATCGTAGTGACGACTATTCCCACCTGGCCGGGTAATCGATCGAGTCGCTCTCGGAACTTCATAAAGTTCACACTCCGCTCGTCCTCGTCGAGACCAGCAAAATCATCGTCGGCTATAACTGCACCATGGCTCTCCTTAACTACAGCCGTTGACGTAGGGTCAGGGTTGCCCGAGTCTAGATATGCCTGGTACCTGCGACCCAGCACCATGAGAATCCAACAACGAGTCGTGAATGCCTCACAGCTCTTTCTCTTTTGTCATACTAGTTTCCCACTTGGCAGGCTCCGGTACTACGTACAGCTGAACGCACGATGACACTTAGCGTGTAACCACGTCGTACTCACCTGATAAGCCGGTGTGAGGGTAATAGTAGTCTCCTCCTTAGGTTTCACAGGTACTCCAAGCACATTGCAAGAGCGATCAGCAGAGGGTGATGATGATGACGAGCCGCCGCCGCCACCTGAAGCCTTCCCACTACAGTTGTGCAAGCGGTCCGTTTTTAAAACCTCCTCTAATCTCAGTTCCAAAGAGAGAGCCGCCTGAGAGTTCCACACCATCCAAGGCATTTGCCAAGTCGCTGAGGTCGAAAGCATCAGCACCAGCCGGCTTCTCCGTCGTAGCCATAAAGTTGAATTTCTCAACGGTCACAGGGCGACTAGCATTGGAACCTGAGCGTCTCTATGGTAGAGCAACTCCAACATGCATCCAACACTACTGTTAGCACTAGTAACAGGCTTCATAGTGCGGAAGCAGCGCCATCCCTTGCCTTGGCGACAACACGCCGTAGACGGGCAAACAAAGACGTGTAGGAACCCTGAGAAAGGAATATGCATACAGTGCCAAGTCATAGTGAATTCGCTATAGATCTTTCTGATCATATGGCAAGACCAGAATACAAGAAATTAACTTGTTCATACCACACATTCGTCCTAATGCGCCTTCATGCTACCGAAAGCACCATCGACACCTATCCCTTTCCTTACTGTAGGTATTGGGATCATAGTCGGAGAAGATTTGCGCAACGAATACCATCTCTTTCCCACATTGGTGACACCGTGGGTAGTGCTCGTGTAACCACGTATTCGGTATAACGTGAGGGTAACCACCCGCGCGGGAAACCTACCATGAGAATCATACCTAGATCTCCATCGCTTGTTGCAACCCTCCACCAGTGAGCTCCAAACAAACTACACTGGAGCCAATGTCAGCTGTTGACTTACCGTCACGTCCCTCGCGAGTTCATCTGGCAACTCCGACTCGGCAAAAACGCCAAGAAATACCCCAGACATTACCAAGTGACCAGGACAGCTAGGCTTCATGCGCCCAATGGAGTTGAGGAAATGCAAGAGCAAGCAAGATTTGCAAGATTTGCGAGATTTGTAAACGTACTCGAGCGAGGAGACGCACGGGGCTCGTATGTGTTACCAATAGTAGAGAACTAGTATCCTTGGCAATTTCGTGGCGCGTGGCAAGATATCATGGTCTTCTCTGAAATTCAGAATCTATTCTTGAATATAATTTTACACGTAAAATGAGACCTGGAGCGCATTATTGAAGAATCCATTACAATCTGACAATCTCCTTCCTAATATCATCAAGGAGTAATTTGAAACTATCAGTAAATATCTGAAGTGTCAGTCAGACTGCATGAAAACCGCATGAACAGCGCAGGTTGCCCTACGATATGCTCATTGGCCATTACGGACTCGTTAGTCGTGTTGGGGGAGTTGTCGAGATCATCGTTCAACACAACCATAGGAGAGAAATCAAACCTTAATCTTGCTTAATTGATCATGCTGCTACGAGTTAGTATAGAGCAAAACGGTCGGGCGGGCGACGACCAAAGATATGAGGATAACGATCACCTTGGGCTTGGATTGTTGCCTAACAGTTCCCTAAGGGAGTCTCCTTCGAATCAGTTCATCCTTGGATGACGGTCCTCACTTGGATAACAGTTCGGGTTTCTGGTTTTCTTGGGATCAGTTCTGCCTTGGATGATGGCCTTCACGGTGAAGGCTTCACCTGGATAAGAGTTCGGGTTTCGGGTTGCCCTGTCGGGTTTCGGGTGGGGTTTCGGGTGTCCAAATTGGAGGTTCCATATCGACAGGATAGTTCCTTGCTGAAGTCAAGGTGGAGTTGATGATGTGGTCACTTTCAGGGACCCACCCGGCTTTGAGAAATAACGTTCCCCCGGGTTCGATAACAATGAGAAAAATGTCCCTAATGTGATGATGACATTTACATGGGAAACTGATTGAAGAATGTGTTTCTGGCCATCCGTGGAAAATTCAAAATGAGTTCCTCCCGGGAACATTATAGGTTCCTGGATGATTCCCTGCACCCTCTAGCAGTGGCCAGTGTACCCTCTATGGAGACTCGGCTGAGCGATATGGCGGGCCATTCTGTCAGGTACCCTCGCGAAGGGTGTTCGAGTCGAAAAAACATGCGTATGATTAACGACGTCAAAACTTGAGTGCCTCTGTTGGAAACTCTTCGCTTTTGCGTTTATGTGTACTGTGGGCGAGACAAGCGATTTGGTGGAGACCCTTCGGGCGGCTCTCTTTCCGGGGTGAACCTTACTAGATGGCCTGAAGCTAGTGGGAAAGGTTGCCACTGCTCCACGGCGCCGCTGAGGACAGTGTTCAGGTCAGCCTGCCTCTGCCGGTGATCCACTATTGACTTGTTGACGAGAGCTTCAACGCTGCCATTGGAAGGTCTCAGTATTACGGGAACTCATTTGGCACATGAAGATTCTCGAATTCTCTTCTGGGGAGGTATGCTGCTGTCTTGGCCACACATTGCTGCGACCAGTTCAATTACGATCAACACACTCCGAATCTCCAGCTGTTGGCCGATGTGATTCCCATCGCCTGGCGGGGGTGAGACTGTCAATGTCATGATGGTCTTCGATCAACAGCGAGTCCGTCGATGAGCACACTGTCAGAGGAGAGAAGAAATATGAACTTTTCCTGGTGATGGTCTTTGGGAACGTTCCTCGGACTGTCCTGGCTTACGGCGACCGCTACTTTGCCTTTTGCAATATGGAGGACCTGTATGGCGATTGCTCTCGTGATGGATGCTCTATTGGCTGGTGTGCTGGCCGAGTATTGTACTGTAAGCTGAATACCGTAAAAGCTGCGCGGCTCTGACATGTTTTCGCCGATGGGGAATTAGTGTGGCTTTGCGAGGTTGATTATCGTGCTGGAACGCACTGGCACCACGGAAGGCGACTTTTGATAGGGCCTATGCATCTCGGACCATACAGTTCTTGTCCTAGTTGAATAAGCAATACAGCATGTTGAGAGGAACACTACTGCGGGGCCATGGGCTTCCTCACGATATGAGACTTTGGCTCACCTGCCAATGATGTTATACTTTCACTTCCTGGACCGCTTTCGCGTTTGTCAATCTGCGCTGATCCCCTGGAAGAGTGTGAGGATTCGGCCGGGAACTCCGAGGATACCCTGAGCTTACTTGATTCCCGAGCACTAAGACGCTGCAGTTCTTCAGTTGATTTTAGCCTCTATAGTCGTAGCAGCTATTAGTACCACTATGAAGTCACTTGGCAATACAGTAAGCGCTCTGTGGGAATTGCAGACTACTTCCACTTTGGTAGATCCTCATCATCCTCGTTGGCTCATCCCTAACTGCAGCCGAGAAGCTCGAGTCCTCATTCAGCACAGAACCGCGGGCTGCGTCCATTGTGGGCAGCGAGCTTCAAATAGAGGATCAAAGTGCAAGTGTGGACGGCCAGGACGATATACTCCCGCCATACAAGCTTATCATCACCACTAATCCTGGTATGGGTTTCCTATGAGTATCATCAACGCACCGGTTGACGCAGATTCCGGTGGTGGTCGTCGCCTCTCGAGCCTTGAGGACCACGTTAGACGATTGAACAACGGAGTGAGAGGAAATGCCGGATGCCTTGGGGGTTCATTTATGGTCTTCTGTAGACGTTAAGCTCGCAGTTCACCACACTCCTGAATAGTATAAAGTCAACTAAAGTACTCGAGAAGATGTCTTTGGAGTTGGTCACTCTGCGCGATACCAGTGAGAGCCTTGTTCGTGGTCAAGCACCGACTCCCCTCGATAGGTTCCTATACGCTGGCCCAGGTTTGTGATTTGTTCATGGAAATACAGCGTGAAGTGTAAGGCGTATGGCTTAGCGTTGAATCGTCCCATTACCACGACTCAGGCATGGAGACGACGATGGACTTCTGTGCGGTCCTGATGAAATCGTTTACGGTGAGCTCCTGGCACGAATTGATGTGGTAGAGATATCCCTTTTCAGCTGACTCGACGGTTCCCAATGACCCGTCTTATATCCTACAGTATCAGCACCCACTCGTGAATATGCCCCAGGCTTGGGACGTTACTACTGGGGACCGCTCTCTGGTGGTGGCACTCATCGATTCGGGGATCGACTATAGTCATCCCGACCTTGCCAACAACATCTGGACAAACCCTGGCGAGATCCCTAATGATGGTGAAAATGAGAGTCTCGGCATTCGAGCACGAATTCCTATTGCAGGCATTGACAACGACAGCAACGGCTACATCGATGATGTCAACGTTGGGACTTCCATCAGAATGACGCGAACCCTATGGACACCTACGGTCATGGCACTCATGTTGGGGGCATTCTAGCGGCCGAAGGTGAAGCTGTATCGCTCTATGGAGAGTACTTGAATAGTATCTCAGGAAACAACAACAGAGGAGTCGCTGGGGTCGCTTGGAAGCTCTCTGTTGTACCACTGAGGTTCCTTAATGAGAAGGGCCAGGGGTATCTCAGCAATGCCCTGGAAGCCATCGACTACGCCATTTTGATGAACATCAGAATGAGTGAGTAACCATTCGAGTGTGATAGTGACCTCACTCACGGTTCAGGCGTGAACAGTTGGAGCTGCACAGGATGCAGTGTTCCCACTCTCGAGACGGCTGTGCAGCGAGCTGGTGAGGAAGTGTTGATGGTCATCACATTGGAGGAATCCATTCTCAGGCCAGGCTGGACACTTGTTCATCACTAGTGCCGGCAATAAGAAGAACAACAATGATGCCGTGAGTCCTATACGCTTGGTGTTCAAGACTTATTCGTGTTACTCAGACTCCCACCATCCCGTGTGGCTTCAACCTGGACAATATCATCTGTGTCGCCGCTACTGACGCCAATGACGTTCTCTTGTGGGTCTCACTATCATCCTCTGCTGGCCCCTTCACGTTCCTTCCTATTCAGGACCAATAGCAACTATGGTGCTACAACGGTAGATCTCGCCGCCCCTGGTGGGTCCATCTACTCTACTAAACCGTGAGTGGAAGGCTGACTGTGAATCGCCAGCACTACGGCATCGGATTTTCAAAGACGTTGTTCAGGTCCAATACGTATGCCTATATGTCCGGTACGTCGATGGCCGTGCCTATGGTGGCGGGAGCAGCCGCTCTGATGTTCGTGGCAAGGCCGCTCGCCACAGCAGCTCAGATCAAGTGGATACTAGTCACTACCGAGTTGGTGTGCATTTGGCCCTTGTAGGCTTCGATCCTCAACACCGTTGAGAGCGTGGCTGGTTTGCAAGGGAAGTGTGTCACTGGTGGTCGGCTGGATGTAGCCGCCGCACTCAGTGATATCACCAGTACGTCGACTTGATGTATCTCTTTTACCAGCGATTGTATTAGGCACAGTGTCGGCATCCTCCATCACGACTACCACCATCTCGCGTACGACTGAGGAGGCATTCTATTGAGACTGGTACCCATTTTGTTCAGCCTGTGAGCAAGCCGCTTACGACGCCTGTGCCGCTCTGGACAACGGAAGCTGGTGCCAATTCGGAGTAACTGTATCGACGTGTCAAGGAGCCTTCTCCCTTCAGTGCCCTTGTGGGCAGGTGAACACCTCTCATACTTAGTTGGCTAGCATTCGTTCGCTCTCAGAACCGTCGGGCCCTCGGCTACCCTGAGCGTGAAGCCGATCTGCATGTTTAACTGTATCGTTCTTTTCCGGGACTGCATGGCTTTAATATTTATATCACTAAACTCATTTTGTGAATCACCTGTGTCTGAATTCATAATCATTATCCAAATTCAACTTTCCAATTGGGCTTGTAGTAGTGCCCTCCAATCGACTCAATATCGAATCGCTTACAAGTTTGACCCAATCGTTCATCTGTCTGTAGTACCTGTGCTTGAAGGTGTTCTCGTGTTGAGTTTTATCTCACAGCAATGATGTTATGAGTCAAAGCTGTTCAGTGATTCAATCCTACGCGGGGGCATGTCGCAACGCGGTTCGTTTCAGAAACATCGCAGTGTAAGAATGGGTTCTTGGAACGTCTAGGTAGTCGGTTTCCGCGATACCATTCCCGTGATACGTATGTGCCCCGTGATACGTATGTCTGTCAAAGCCGATATCAGGACCGATTGGGTCTCTTCATCTAATCGCCTTGCCTGGCGACTGTCACTGGTATGTTCCTTGAACTCCGTATTGCAGTATGGTGGTGCACTACCTATCTGGATCACTTTACCCTTGTGCAGTGATGTGCACTGCTTGTGCACATGACGAGCAGTGTTTATGTGTATTGTTTTCCTTGATCACTCCAAGACAGCAATTAAATCGATGACACATCTTGCATCGATTTTCCACTCATGCAGTTGAAATTGATGTCGATGTAAGCCGTCACGCGACAAGTCTGCCCATTGGAAGCGTTTAAATCGACCTCCTCCACTTCGAATAGTAGTGGGTCTTGATGACAGCTATCGTTAGACTTAGACTTGACATTCTTCTTGGTCGTAACACTGTCATGATATTTGTCGCGACATGCGTGCGCGTGTCACGCATGACCTGCACAGCGCGGTACGCTTACGTGTCATACGGACTCCCTGCGTTCCGTAATACAGAATTTGTATGGTGCGCGCTTGGACAACCTGAACTCAGACTCTCGATCTGCGACCCTAAGCGAGGGTTCAGATGTTAGGAATCTACTGGTTGAGCATGTAGACTCGGGCTTCACGCACTATACCACTACTGCTGTCTCCTTGTGCGTCCCTTGCGAACATCCTCTTGATGCAACGGTGAGCGAAGCGAGACTGTCAAGTCTTGTCTGTTGTTTATCCGATATCGGTATAGCATTGCTTTCAATATGCATGGCAGAATCGAACAGCGCTCAGACTGATGACGCTCGGGTGCCAAGTAAGAGTTAGATCGCACGAGTAGCGAGATCGATTATAGTATTGAACATTGACGATAGAAGTAAACAAGTATTAAATACAGAAACTACCGAGGGTTCACCTTCTCATTACTCGGGAACCCCATAGACACTGAGATTAGGACAGGCATACATGAAACTGGCGGCCGCCAAATGGAGATTCACTGCGAAACATGATTCACGTATGCAGACCCACACATGGTTTAACCATGATGGTTACACGAGACGATGGAAGCCCAACCGCACTTCAACCACCGAAATGTAACCAGTCCAAGTCCCCCCAACGTCAAGAGAAGGGCGGGAAGGGAAGACGTTTAATCAACACACATAAGATGGAGAACATATCCCAATCACGCTGCGATTAGCTTACTAGCCAACCGCAAGTAGTGCAGAACGCACAAGTAATTGGCGCACGCCATTGGCACACATTTGTTCAATTCTGTCTTCCAAGAGAATACCTCAGCTGAGTGTTTCCCCCCCCAAGATATCCTAGTGTATTTCTCTACGACATCTCAATATCATATGACCGATCAACAGCACGCATACGTCCCAACAATTGGAGGAGCACGCATGAACAACAACATGGCACGCATACGATCCACTGCGATGCCTCCTAATCCTCAATATAGTAGAACGTGAAATCTGGTGAATCGAAAGTTTGAGAAGTCTTTCTGCCTCGCATTGGTTACATCCGTCTAGTTACACAACATCGTCACACAAGTTGGAACTGCCAAGTTGTGTAGGCATCGCCGGTCGACTGTGCTGTGGCATGGAACGGGCCAGGTTAACTGGATTGTAATTTATATCCCTGGTATGCAATGATATTAGAGAATTGTTTATGGTAGCTTACTTGACCGAATCCATGCTTTGCCACCTTTTTCGGCTCATACTCGTCGGTGTTGCCCTATCCCACGTCGGTGTTGTCCTATCCCACGTCGGTGTTGCCCTATCCCGCGAGCCCACTGGTTCATATACCGCGACCAGGACTGAACCTGGTTATCTGAATTTGACGTATACATTCCCATCCTATAGACTTAAAGTGTTCATTGAGTTCTCCTGTGCGTCGGGCATGACACCTATTAGGGGGATCTTCCCTCTCATTAAGGAATCCGATGTGCTCTACAAAATAGGTTTCACGGATCCTGAGAACGGGTTCATAACTCCTGAATGTCTCGCCTTCATAACGAGCTTTAGGAGCGCATGCCCGGCGTATAAGGCTCTCAAGCATGGGGATTTCTATGATATACAATATGATGTTAAGCACGACCGCCCTACTGTTCGGGTCCACGGTATCGCGTTTGAGCTCGTACACAAGGAAGCTCCTCATTAGTTGATGGAAATCCGACGGTAGAACCCTCAGGGTATCAGGCGCTTTGGCTTACCACTATTCAGACATTTCTGGGTCGTCCATTTTACAATTATTATGCGAGTACGTTGAATAACCTTGGATGGCTGCCATTTGATGGCCCGTCCCCATTTCTGGGAGCATTTTTAGGCAATACGGTGACGTCGACTCCTCGAGTGTTATAGTCATCGTAGTTGTTTTATGGAGTCTTGATGAATATTGATGATACTTCGCAGCTCGTTCATCTGTACCATCTTTCTCTCTCGCCTATGCTCCCGTATTCCGGTCTTACGACCGGTACGATTGTTTGTTTACCATACCTCCTTAACATTTAGGTCCTGTGAGATCCATTAAGCCTCCGATTGTGTAGGACATCTTCTTGTTGTGTGGAACACTCTCTAGCTCGACGCTAGTATGCTAGAAGCGCTATTAGAGGGTACGGTTTGGATAAGTCATAATCCATCAACACTTGAGTGTGTTGAGTTGTCCTTCGAGTGACTTCCTGGCTCGGTGATTTGTCGCTTTTTCGACAAACATGACATTGATCGCTCCGGTGGTGCGCATAGGTTAAGTGCACAACGCTTAGTACACGTTCCCCCGTTGCGGGGTTATTAAACGGATTATCGGTTTATAATGTTGATAGTAGCTCTATTATAGTTAGTATCATTATCATTTCCTAATGGTTAATTCCGTAGATAACGACACTCTTGAGTTAGCGCTGGGAAGACTCGACCTTGAGCCAAGTGAAACCGCAGTCTCAAAGTTCGGGATAGCCTCGGGTTACACCAGTTAGGAGCTTCTATCGGAGTCTGAACTCATCCTGGAGATAAAATCGGGCTTCTGTCTCGTCACATTAACTGAGACCGTCGATAAACACAAGGAGGAATATCATATTGCGAATACAAGCGCTAACTAATTACTTCAGTGGTAGGTCTTCGTCACGAAGGGGCGGAGCTCGCTTAGTCCGCATGTTTTGATTGAAGAGTGGACAAATAAAGATCGCATGGTCATTTCAGCCATAGATCTCGAATCTCACACCAAACTCTACCCTGAAATAAGTCCCCGGTTCGATCTCAGGGTGAGACATTTTCCGTCGAAAATTGTTTTCTCATATATTCCTAGAAGCGGTGGGCATACTCGAGTTTTTCGATTTTTCTGCAAACCTCGCAGCAAAGAGGACTCGTTTGATCCGTCTGATGCGCTCCGACACTTGGTAGTCGGGTCAGAATAATTCATCGCGCACGCACAAACGCGCAACGCGGAGGTGCCTGTTGTTGCGTATATGCTCCTCTAGCTTCCCTCGCTCAGCAATTTCAGTGGTTCCATGTTTGTGTGATGGCAAAACGGTGATGAAAAAACATGGCAAAACATGTTCGTGATGGCAAAACAGTTTATTGATTTAGTCCCACGCGGCGGCATGCAGAATGTCATGACGAGAGATCACAAATCGCAACACGGTTTGCTTCAGAAATACCACGCTGCGAGAGTGGGTCGTTGGGAACGTCTAAATAGCCTATTTTTGCGATACGTATGTGCCCCGTGATACGTATGGCTGTCAAAACCGATATCAGGACCGATTGGATCTCTTTACCTAATCGTTTTGTCTGGTGATTGTCACTGATATGTTCCTTGAAGTCCGCATTGCAGTATGGTGATGCACTGCTTACAATGATCACTTCACCATTGTACAGTAATGTGCACTGCTTGAGCACATCACGAGCAGTGTTCATGTGGATTGCTATACTTGCTCACTCCAAGACAGCTCAGCAACTGAATCGATGACAGATCTTTCATGGATTTTCCACTCATGCACTTGAAATTAATGTCGATATAAACCGCCACGCGATGAGTCTGCCCAGTGGAAGCACTTGCATCGACCTCCTCCACTTCGAATAGTAGTAGGTATTGATGACAGTAAACCCAAGAAGAATTCATTCGACTATTTACTTGAGCGTAATGTCACTCGAATTTACAGCAGTGCTCCTCTTTCAGGAGTCAATGAATCGGAGATGCATGGGAAGCTTACCCCGTCTTTCTCGCTCGTCTCTTGAAAGGGCACGGAACTGGTCCCGCCCCAGGATCGGCCTGTTACGAACGTCGTAGCTCTCTTTCGTAACAGTGCATAAATACGCGACAAGACGTTGATCTTTTTTCATATCGCCTTTTTCCTGCAGTTCTCTATATGCGGCTTTGACCATCGCTATGCATCGATCGTTTGTTTGGTTCGTGTCTGCTAACTCGGATTTCAACGGTTCCATGTTTGTGTTCACGGATAGTCTCGGGATCGGCTGTCGATAGCCACCAGTTACGGCATCGTCTCTGAAATGAGGTTGCATTAACATCCATGAGGGAATCATGGGTCCAGCTTGAAAGATCACAGCCTTTGCTCACCTACCGTTTGAATAAGGTGTGACTACTGCTCTTCTTATTCACACAGTCTAGTTTCTCAATACTGATACCGTTGTCGTACTTGAAGTAGGCAAGATACTCGGGAGCCTTGGTGATCAGCTTCTTGACAATAGAGACGGGCATCTTCTCCTTTACCAAGCAGTTGTAAGATTGTTCTCCCGCTGGTGCTGGTACCTGGTAGGATAATCAGCAGGAGTGAATTCAACGAATCAGATGTGAAATTAAGAATCGATCGTGACCATAGGAGTGGAAACCGATCCTAAGATGGAGTTCAATGAAGATAGAGAACTTACCACTTCAATGGTACCGTAAACCAGTCTCATATAATGAGAGATGCCCAGCGATAGAATGCATACGCTTCTCATAATCGTGGTAGGTAGTGATGGCAGGGTGATTTGGTCGTCATGAAGTTGCGCGGTTGAGGTAGCGCTCGCCATTCTGATCGATACAGAACTTCACCATTAACATGAAGTTCGTCGTATCTTGGCCACTGCTAGGTTACCGATCACTATTGTTTCAACTGCGTTGTCTCGATGAACTCTCTTCATTGCGAACTCAACCACTTCTGATTTGCACGGCGTTGCTGGTCTGTTTTTGATACCACATCGACTCGTTTTTGATACACAATAGGAATGAGCGAATTCGTTGCCATTCTGTTGGTTGACGAGTAGTTGTTCTTCGCCTCTAACCATGGCAACAACTAAGCCCGACAAACGAGTGGATGACGACCTCGAAGGCGAGGATGAACTTACGCAGCAGGAGCGACAGAAGGGAGTCTATCAGCGTCAGGGCACTTATAGGGAAAAGGCCTTGCATAGAGTAAGGCTGCTCCATCCCTGGGGTGACAGGCACGAAGTACTGTTGTCGTTCAGGTCCTGTCACCACAGCGTGCTGATCCCTTTTCGGCTTCGACACCTGCTGCTGATTTGACTACTTATTCGGATGTGGCACAACAGGCTACTCTTCAGAAGGAGAGGGCTGAGGTAGTAATCATCGTCAGTAGTGGGTGATGAGGGAGTCGGTAATCGGATCGACTCTCGGCCACAAATCGGGGGTTTCTGTATCGCATTCTTCGAGTACCGGTTTTTGAGAAATTGATGGGCCGCATTTTTGCTCTATATTGCTTCGGAAGTACTTAGAAGAGGTTCTGCGTTGGTTCCCTGCAGTGGTGATGGTCACTCGGGTTTGTGATTGACTTAGGTGTTGAGGCAAATCCAGGCGCAGAAGAAGGAAGGTGAAAACGGTGTTGGCGTCAAGCGGAAGGATGAGGACAGGGACGAAGATTATAAAAAAGAGGGGTCCAAGAAGCGCCGCAGTGGTAATACTACTGGCTACTTGATTTTACTAAGCTGAATTCCTCATAGACGACGGTATCAAGGAAGCCGACGACGATCGGTGGGAGACCCCTGTAGGTGGGTCGGGCGAGTGGGGGGAGACGCCGGCTGTTGGGTCCTTTGGTGGTCCTGAGCCTACTATGAAGACAAAGAGGAAGCGTACGACTCGCATGGTTGGGGAAAGCGAATAGTTGTGGCGGCTTGTTAGGTGTATCGCGCTTCTCGGATGCTCCCTCTGGTGGGGAGACTCCTGATGGGAGTGGAAGTATGGGGGAGACTCCAGTGACTAGGAGTAGATGGGATGATGCTGTGGGTCGCACGCCTGGTAACGACGTGTAGCCAGGTGTCGAAATTCGATGGTGGTGATCTCAGTTGGGGCGGGAGCAACTCCTGGAGCTACCCCTTTGGTGGCTGCGACACCGGGCACGACGCCACTGTTTCAGCCGGGCATGGAGACGCCTATGGGCCTCACACCTCAGTTTCAGGCGGCTGGGTAGGATAGTAGAGGGGGTATGTGGTCATTGTGGAGGAGTTGGCGTAGGTATGGTATGACTCGACTGGACGCAGAACTGGATGTGAGGAATAGGTAGGAAGGCGGAGATGCACCAGAGGACCTGAGGACCTGAGGACCTGAGGACATGGGTCTGGGTATAGATACATGACGGACGATGAGATCGATGCACTACTGCCGTTGACTGGATATGAAATCGTGAAGCCACCAGAAGGGTGATAAGGGATGTGCGTGGGGTTAGTGAAGGACTCTGGGTGTGCTCAGATATGAGGCGCAGCAACAGGCTCATAGGATAAGCGTTAATCAGGCGGCGACTCCACTGGGGGAGACCACGGGGTTCTCGAGTAAGGACGGATTGGTGTGCAGAGTAGTTGCCTTTATCGTTCTGTTCAGTGCCATCTGGAGGGGCTACACCTGCGATGATGGCCGGGCTGGACGCCTCAACTGCGGGCCTCAGTGATGCTGGTACGGGACTTGTCCACCCCAAGTGAGTTTATTGAGGACGGTTGACGAGGTATAGGGCGTATGTGTAGATATGGAGGAGCTGGAGACCTGCCGGACCTGCGGCCTGAGGATGTACAGCACTTCTCGGCTCTGATACAGGTAGGACCGTGTCGCTGGTGTTTGAGAGTACTAGAAGAAGTACTACTGCGACCATTGGGTCGCAATGGTTTACGATGACGGTGTTGTTTGGTAGGGTGGAGAGACAGATGATAATCTGAGCCCAGAAGAGGCTAAGGAGAGGAAGGTCATGGCGTTGTTGTTGAAAGTCAAAAACGGTAGGTTGGGCCGTGTGGGGTAGCCCCTGGGTTAATGGTGATGTGTGGATAGGCACACCACAGATGCGTAAGATGGCAATGAGGGAGATCACAGAACGTGCGAAGCAGTTTGGACCGGACGCCTTGTTCAACCAGATCCTCCCGTTGCTCATGAGTACCACCTTGGAGGACCAAGAACGACATCTGTTGGTGAAGGTGAGGAGTCGTGGACCGGCTTGGGCTCAGATGAGTTTAGGTCATCGATCGTGTTCTCCACAAGCTGGACGATATGGTCCGCCCCTACGTCCATAAGATTCTGGTCGTCATAGAGCCGCTATTGATTGATGAGGATTACTTTGCTCGAGTGGAGGGACGGGAGATCATCTCGAATCTATCTAAAGTAGAGCGGTTTGTGTGGGGGTACGTTGTTGGTGTTTATGCCTCTCCTCAGGCAGCTGGCTTGGCCACGATGATCGCCACTATGAGACCAGATATAGACCACCCTGATGAGTAGGTGTCTGGGGTGGTCCTTCTGTGGGTTCACAGCATTGTACGTGTAGGTACGTCCGTAATACGACCGCTAGGGCGTTCGCGGTGGTGGCCAGTGCCCTTGGTGTGCCGCAGATTATGCTGTTCTTAAAGGCAGTGTGTCAGAGTAAGAAGAGTTGGCAGGCCAGACACACTGGCATTAAAATCGTACTACTGGGATGTGGGTGGTCGTGTTGACGGCAGTTGGTGGTGGCATTCAGGTACAGCAGATAGCCCTATTGATGGGGTGTGGGGTACTGCCATACTTGAAGCAGTTGGTAGACATAGTACAGTTCGGATTGGGGGATGAGCAGCAGAAGGTGCGAGTTGACTATGGGGGATGAGGGAGGGCTGTGAACGTGGTGTGTAGGTTCGTACGATAACAGCGTTGGCTTTGGCGGCCTTGGCTGAGGCCTCGTTCCCCTATGGTATTGAGTGCTTTGATAGTGTCCTTAGGCCACTGTGGCGGGTAGGTTCTCGTGGCTTTATTTCGACTTGGTTCATTTCGCTCTCCTCAGCTGACTCTAGGAGTTTCCTCACTAATTATAGGAGTTTATATGCAAAGTAGAGTGGAATTGTACAGGAATCAACCAAAATTTTCGAAAATTTCCTCAGAATTTTCATATTGTCACGAACATATGTGGTTGACCATGTGCATATTCCCCCCTACACACTGTTGGTGGTTGCACTTGTTGTTTTCAGGGTATATGTGAGCACCGTGGTAAGGGGCTTGCGGCGTTTCTGAAGGCTATAGGGTGAGCAGTGACTTGTGGAATGGTCAGGAGTAGATCTGCTATAGGTACATCATACCTCTGATGGACGCCGAACATGCCAACTACTACACTCGGGAGGTTATGATTATCTTGGTACGAGAGTTCTCTACTCCTGATGAGGAAATGAAGAAAATCGTAGGTTATTGCTCGGTCGTGGTGGTGGTTACTGTAGTAGGGTAGGTGCTGAAAGTCGTGAAGCAGTGTGTGGCCACTGAGGGTGTGGAGGCGGCGTATGTTCGAGAGGATATCCTCCCACCGTTCTTCAGGAACTTTTGGGTGGTTCGTATGGCAGCTGATCGAAGTGAGTGGGCGTAGTGTTGGAAATTTATGGGGTACGTGTGGTGGTGGTGGTGTTGTAGGGAACTATAGACAGTTGGTGGACACGACTGTGGAGCTGGCGAGAAAAGTCGGCGGAGCGGAGATTGTTCAGAGAGTTGCTGAAGATTTGAAGGATAATAATGAGGCGTAGTGATCGGGTGGTGATGGTTGGGTGTGAGGAACCTATAATGTTCCCGGGGGGGGGGAACTCATTTTGAATTTTCTACATGGACAGGAACACATTCTTCAATCAGTTTCCCATGTAAATGTCATAATTATCAAACCCTGAGGAACGTTATTTCTCAAAGCTAAATGGATGTGTGGTTGGGTGTGAGCATTGATGTGGCAGGTATCGGCGAATGGTGATGGAAACCATCGAGAAGATCGTGGACGAGATGGGCGTCCAGGATGTGGACTCGCGTCTTGAAGAACAGGTAGGTGGTTGGTGGGCTTAGCGGAGCGAAGGCGGATTGATGTTGATATTTTTAGATTGTCGATGGTATGTTGTATGCCTTTCAAGAGCAATCTTCGGATGATACGGAGACTATGCTCAATGGCTTTGGCACTATCGTCAACTGCTTGGGGGTACCGCGGGCGTTCTGGAGTGATCGAGGTTTGTATGGCTATTGCTATAGGTGCGTATTAAGCCGTACTTGCCGCAGATCGCTGGTATCATTCGATGGAGGCTAAACACGCCTAGTGCTAGGGTAAGGAAGCCTGTCTTGTTTGGGGGGTAGGTAGTGGTATGGAGTGAGGTACGCCAACAAGCGGCCGATTTGATAGCACGCATCGCTGGAGTTATGAAGTTATGCGGCGAGGAACAGATGCTGGGACACTTCGGCCTGTTCCTATATGAGTATCTCGGTGAGGAGTATCCTGAGGTGAGCTTTTGTTTTGGGGGAGGTCTAGTTTTGATGGTGGAGTGGTATTAAATGTCATAAATGCTTTGAAAACGACTTGGGTGCATCTGGGTATTGTAAGTGCTGAAAGCAGACTTAGTCGTACGATCCACTGAGATTCATGCTGTGTTGCGCCGATTCGTATCCTCCTAGCGAATGCGAACTCCATCAGAACATGATGGTGTCAGGTGCTGGGGTCGATCCTGGGTGCGTTGAAGGCTATCGTGAACGTGATCGGTATGACCAAGATGTCGCCGCCAATCAAGGATCTGTTACCCCGGCTAACACCAATCCTCAAGAATCGTCACGAGAAAGTAGAGGAGAACTGTGAGTCTCTATTACCTCTCAGTCTCTATGCGTGATAATGTGGTCTTCAGGCATCGACCTGATCGGCCGAATCGCCGACCGTGGCGCTGATCTGGCCCCACCAAGGGAATGGAATCGAATCTGTTTCGACCTGTTGGAGCTCCTCAAAGCGCAGAAGAAGGGCATCCGGCGAGCTGCAGTGAATACCTTTGGGTGAGCTAGATGTGTTTGGTGGCGAGGTGGGGGAAGGCGGTCGCTGGTAGATACATTGCTAAGGCGATTGGCCCACACGATGTGATTGCAACTTTGCTCAATAATCTCAAGGTTCAAGAGCGACAGTTGAGGGTGTGCAGTAAGTAGTGGGAATTTCGTGGCGCGCGGTAGTTTTGTGTGGATGTCAGCAACTGTGGCTATTGGCATCGTCGCTGAGACTTGTGGACCCTTCACTGTGTTGCCTGCTATTATGAACGAGTACAAGGTGCCTGAGCTACACGTGCAGAATGGCATTCTCAAGAGTTTATCATTCATGTTCGAGTAAGATCCACTGAGATTGGGTTCGCATTGGGTGTTTTATCATTCGCTTAGTCGAAAAACGTGTTGGTGACTACACGAAAATTCTAGAAATTTTTGGAATTTCTTTTTTGTTTTTGTGCACTTCTACGCTGTATATGAAGATCTATGACTAGTGAGGATATGAGCCTGAGCTCAGTTGAGGTAAGCGAACATATACACCAACACTGAGCACTTGTCGATCGATGCGATGGTCGCATTAGAATGATTAGTCTGTATGCAACTAGAAGGGTAACAGGTCTACTGTGTACCAGGTATATCGGCGAGATGGGTAAGGACTATGTCCACGCGGTGACGCCCCTGTTCGAGGATGCACTTATTGATAGAGATCTAGTTCATCGCCAGACTGCTACCTGGGCCGTTAAGCATATGGCATTAGGTGATTGCTCACTGTACATGTGGGGCGGGTTGTATTGCTGTTGGTATTGCAGGCGTACATGCGCTGGGCCAAGAGGAGTGTTTGGAACATTTGATGAATTATATTTTCCCCAATATCTTCGAGACGGCCCCTCATATGATACAGGTGCAGCTCTCTCGGGGTGGTAGTTGGATATGTAGTTCTCGTTTATAGGCGTTCTTTGATGCTATGGATGCTATGCGAGTTAGCATTGGTCCTTGCCGGGTCTTACAGTAGGTTTCAACGTAGCCTTTGGTTGTGCCTAGTGATGTTACATATTCAGGTATGTAGTGCAAGGGCTTTGGCATCCAGCCCGAAGAGTGAGGGAGTGCTACTGGCGGGTGTACAACTCTCTGTATATTGGCGCTGAGGATGCACTGGTAGTATTGAAGGCGATAGTTGGTCGGGACGGTGTAAATCGTAGGTTGCGTTCTATCCCCGAGTTCCCTTGACGTGGGATGGTCAGGATGAAGAGCAGGACCATCCGGAAGTACCCAGGCTTGGACCGTAAGCTGGTGAGGAGGCAGGGGTTCGGGTTTATGCTGTAGTAGGTACAACAATCGATATTGGCGGACTGAGATGGATTTGATCATTTGATGAGGGAAAATCGTCACCGCGCCAAAAAATTGCGGAATGGCTTTACGTTACAGTCGAACGTTGTTTACTATTCGAGTTTCGATGAGGGAGTGAGTAGTTGTGTAGCGTTTCTCTTTCAAGGGGGGGGGGGGGGTGAAACTGATAGTATTAGTATTTTCACTAGGGATGACAGCAACGTCCTCGTGGACGGAGGTGAATCTGTCAAAATGGGCGATCAAGTACTTGATAGACTCTGGCAATTGGGAGTGTGTAAACTTCCCTGAGAGGGAAGGCGAAACGACTCCTACTATGAAGTGTTAGCTTCGAGGGTGGCGGTCGCCTGGATGATGTTGATATTAGGATTTTGAAGGTGCATGTAAGGGAATGCGATGTGAGTGCAACGGTAAGTCAAAAGGGTGTCACCGTCATTTACGAGATTCGCCTTACTGCTGATATCAAGGTGAGTCGCAGTTGAGTGTTTGAGTTTCATGTAGTGGTCAGGTTACACTTCCGATAGATAAAGGAAGGTCAATGTGTGAGGCTAAAGGGGAGATCAGTGTTCCGTCGGTGAGGGTATCACCTGTGCTGATGAAGCAACTGGTGGCCTCAGATTGACTCAGTGGATGCTGAGGACGAGTTCCGTGATGCGAAGGTTAACTTTATACCGTCGATGAATGTCCAGCCGGGGGCGGGCGAGGTCGGTTTGGTCGGTTTTGTGAGGTGTATTGGTGTTGGTCGTTCAGAATTTGAGAGCGTTAGTGTGCTCACTATTGGAACGGTGTAAAAGAGATGTGCCTGGTGTGGTACGGAGGGTGTTACTGCAGTTTGATCGGCGCGTTAAGGGAGAGGCATCCACCGCTTTACTGTCAGGACGATCCATCTAAATGTTCAGTTTCTATTCATGACCCTTGCGTTTTTCGTGGCTAAAGGTGCTGTCAATACTTGAGGGGGAGGGGTGGCTGGCAGCCTGCCAGTGGCGAGTCTAATATCGATACCAGATATTATGATGAAGGATAGACCTCTATTGATATCAAGTTGTGATAGGGGATAGACCTTAGTGACGATCTCCCATGTCCACAGGAATATTTCCGACCCAATGAATATCATAGCCCAGGCGTTAATAGATATTAATAATACTCTGTCGTATTCCTCAGTGATAGAGTATGCTGGTGCTGTTCCCGACGGCAGCGTTCAACTGTATAATATCAGTGAGGCACACGTCGTACACGTACCTCGTTATGGTGTCATTGGTATCAGCTCGTGGGGCTGTCACTACTTTGCTCTGCCACTTCATATCGTCGTCATCAGTGGAAACTTCCTAGTGTGGTGGGTGAAACCATGAGGGGGTATTGTTAGAATTGCGTAATACTCTAATGCCTGCTGTCTCTCCGATGCCAAAGCCGACCCCATTAGAGGAGCTTGGCAGCAGTCCCATGACCATGCAAAGCGCCCCGCAGATAGCTGTGACTCCTCATAGGGCCAATCTCACCATTAATCCTCGTCAATTCCAAGCGTTCGATGCCAAGGGCCCGTGGGCGTCCATGTTGCAGGTGCCCGTGACGGTGCCTGGTGGCACTTATAACCCCTTCCATTGTTAGGCTCGTGGTGGGAACCCTACCCCTACGTCATCGGGGGCTTTCCCTGCTGGCTCATGTCAACCCCCCAGAGGACAATTCGAACCTTTTAAGTGTGGCACTCCTCTTGGCCGACCGGTGGTACGTCGAGCCACTGAAGTGGTCCCGGTAATCACTCGAAGACCCTCAGCGTACTGTCGAGGTTCCTCTTAGGCATTCAGGCCTGGGTATCAGTTTGGGGGGAGGCCACCTATGGCGTCGTCGTTGCAGAATACACCTCGGGTTCATCGGGACTACAATCCTGTGTTCTTCGTAGGAATGTGTGTTGGCGAACTTCCAGACCAATCTCGTATTAGTAGTCCCCTCAACCTCCCCCGCCGAGACAGGTGACCATGTCCCACCAGCCGGCTGGCCTGTCGATCCCTCCATCGCCTCAAGTCGAGACCAGGACCAACAGGTGGCCTTTCTACTCTGCAGGGACTGAGGGCAAGGGGAATATGTTGTTTCCATCTGCCGGGGCTACGGCCGTTTCACGGGAGGCTACCGCGCCGGGCCGACAGGCAAGTCGAGGCTTTTTGGTGTGCCTGGCAGCTCTCCAATGTTCAGTTCTTCACGGCGCCTCTGGCCCCGAATACGCAGTTCCCGGGGTTCGGCCCACCCCCGAAAGAGCTTGAGGGTCGTGTTGTCAGAAGGATCAGAATTGGCATTGACGGGACGGTGAAGTCTATCGAGGATCTGTGAGTTCAATATAGCTCTCTGTTCTTCGTCTCAAGTGTAAACTTTGGGTTAGCACCGACCGTGACGATACCCGACCGGCCGACGTTGCTGAGGCTCCAGCAGTCACCAGGACTGTCACAGCTAGTGTCACGAGGTGGGGCCGGACCAGCCTTGGTCGGTACGGATTTCGTTGTGGTTGTTAGTACTCCACAAGATAACGGCGTGAGCGCCTCCGCCCAGGTTGAGTCGGTTGTTGTTACTTCGGTGGATGTGGGAAGCAAGCCTCCCCTGGCGCCGAGGTTCCAACCACAGACCAAACAGCTCCGGACCAGTCTTACGACCACTACCGTCAACAGGGCAGCCTCGGCCCACCGCACTCGAGTCCAGGCGAGGATTTGGGGGCCGGTAGCGGGTGAGTAGCCTACCGTATGCAGTTGGAGGAGCTCAACTTTAGCAGGGGGGAAGGTCGACTCGACATTCCAGGCCGGAGCCTCCCGAGGGTATGCTCATGAGGAGGCTTAGCATAGGCAAAAGCCACCACTACTACTACTGCAGTGTAGGTTGTATGTGCCATGTAAAGGCCGTCTCATTCACACCTAAAGCGTTATACGACCGCAACGCCTTTCATAGTAATTACTTTGCTCATGCATCCACATTTAGAAGAGGCGACTTCGTGTTTGGTGGGGGCATTGCGGTCTTCATCGGCTCCATTAGTCTTCTGATTCGTATGCCCCTCCTTCCATACTTTCACACGGCGGCACAGCTACTGCGACCGTTACTCGTGTGTTTGATCACGGGTTGTTTTAGTTGGTTTATAGTTCTCATGGTAGCCACCAGTGGTCGCTGTTCCTCAGTGAGGAATCCTTACAGACGGCCAGGGTTCTTCTGGTCGATCTCGTCTGTAGATGAATCATACTAACCGTCTTAGTGGGTCTTGGGCCCTGATTCTCGCGGTCGTTGACTCGCCTGGAAATTCCCATACCACACTGATTTCATCTCGAAAGTCTCTGTCACCGGATGCGATGTCGTGTAATGGATGAATTAAAAATGGTGAGCGTAGGCGGCGGCTCAGAAGGAGGGTGACTGTCGTGCCCTCTTCCCATAAAAGATCCCCTTGTGCGGGCCGCGCGTTGTTCGTGAATACTGGGTTATTCATAAAGTAACTAGTCAGTGTACTAGCGCGATGTATTTTCGATATAAGAGGGTTCGAATGACTCGCTCTGAGTATAACAATAGATGATGAGATTATTAACGACTGGAAAATAGCTGAAGGCATTAGCTGGCGACTCAGCGCTTCTGTACACGCGTACATGAAATGTGAGCTCGTTGCACGCATGCACATTGACATCAGTAGCTAGTCCTTATCTCGCGCTAGGGTTCCCTCGTGCTCACAGAGGTGTGTGGTATGGACCGGTCTGCCTTGTTCTGTCCGCCTTGGGTGAAGTCCTGGATGGTTCGGTCAACCTCCTGCACTCTTAGCTGACTCTATCACATCTTGAGGGCTCTTCGCGGTGGGCCAAGGCACAGCCGAGCTTGACCGGCCTCAGCGGGTCAGTAGTTAACGTTCATTGCGCCCAGTTGAGATGGTCCGCTCACCGGCGACAGGCTCCAAGGTCGACCTCCCGACGGTCGCTGCTGGTCAGAATAAAGTCACCACAGTATGCTCTCAAGGGAGGGGGGGGCAAGCGGCGTTTTATCGAGAGTTGGCTATAGGTTGAGCTAGAAGCTCTCAAGAGGGTTTTCGCGTGGATCGACACCAAGAAGGACGACATCCTCGATTACGAAGAGATCATATCGGCCTTCCACCGAGTCGGATATAAAATTGCCAGAATCGACGTGGAGCAGTTCATCTGGTGAGCCCTGTTCTCTGTCTTCTCTGTCCAGCTGTGCCCTTTATAGGGAAGTGGACGATGACCTCGACGGTACGGTATCATGGGATGAGTTCCTGGTCATGTACCAACGTTGTGTGTTTGACAAGACGGGACTCGAGCCAAGAGGGCTGTTCATTCTCGTTGAGTTCCTCATGTACACCGCTGAGCTGTTGGAGTGATATGGCGCGTTACAAGTCAGGTTTGATAAGACGTTCAAGGGGGCGATCGCTGTCGAGAACACCCTCGAGGTTCTGTTCGTACGTCACGGTCGCGAGAGGTGCCGTTATTCTGACCATTGCCAAGGCTCGGCTGTGTACTCTTAGGTTGGACGATGAGATCAAACAGATCTTCGGCACGACCTCGAGTGATGGTGTGGAGATCGGGCAGGAGAGCACTATCAATTTTACGGAGTTCCATGATAAAATGAACGAGAGGATTAGAATGCTGCGCAGTAGCCAGGGGAAGATGGCCCAACAGGGCACCTCAGAGACTGTCGCACCCAGTGTATGTCCGAACGGTTCGCCATTGTCGCCTCAGAGTTATGTGTAGGGGGGAAGGCCGACCCGAGCTGCCGCCAAGAGTGGCAGAAAGAATCTCACTAAGTGACATGCGTTATGGTTATCACGTGTTATCTCTGCCGCAGTCGAGCTTATGTGTTCCTGTCACTATCCTGTCGACTCAGTGTTGTTTCATAATATCTCAATGGCGCCATTACTACTGGGTATGCAAGGTGCCTCGTCATAGCATAGAGAGGTAACCCAGTTGATATTGATACTTCATCTCCTTTGTAGATGCTGAATAGGTAGATTCGTACCCCTGCAGAAGTTGCCGTACTCGTCGTGGTTGAGGCTATCGGAGCGAACTTCGATCAAGCTGGAATTTCCCCTGCTCGAGAACACCACCAAGTGGAGGTGGCATGTGAGCTTGACTTTAGTAGGGATGCATCATCAGCCAGGCGTAATCCTCTCCACTCCGCAAGCTAATGAGCCGGGCTGAGCTCATAGACCGTCGGACCAGTCGAGAATTCGACCCTGGGCAGGAGTCGCTTTACTTGGACGGTTATGAGCCTCGAGAACCCTGCCCTCGACCACATCGCTGTAGTTGGTCGAACTTATGTTGCGCGATGTGTATCATTTAGCATGCTAGTAGTAGCAGGAGAAGTGATGTCCGCACTCTAGTCTTCTTTGGTTGCAGTTATGTCGAGTCGTTCTTTTGAGGCAGTTGAGTTAACCTGATGGATTTTCATTGGCCTTCCGACAGACCAGGCCTCCAGAATAGTACTCCATTACAGATAGACCGCAGTAGGAGTCTTCCTTATTATGATCATCAATTTCCTGGTCTCCAACAACGTGCTCACCCGTATCATCAAGGACCACTTGGTGGTACGTTTCAACAACAGCTTCATCATCACTATCGAGCTCCGTCACATATCCAGTACGGGCAGGTGCACACGGTATCTCATCAACAGGGTCAACCATTGTATTATCCGTCCGTCGGCTCGACTCTTTCGAACCACACCATGCCTTTGGTCGCTCACCCAGTGGGTCCTCTGCCAACCTTGCGACCACACAGTGTGAGTGACTCGGGAATGTTCGGTGGTCCTGTGGGTCCATCGGATGGCTCGTCTAAGCTTGGTCGGAAGAAGGGCTATGCAGCACCACCTGGGGTGTGGAAAAACTCTGGTGGCTATGTCTCGACCGTGTACGTCAATAAGAGGCGTTTCTATGGTCCTCTCAGGCGTACCGTCACAGAGGCGACAGAGGACCGTCGACGGCTACTCAGGGCCAAGAGCAATCACGCGACCGAAGCTGAGGTCCGTGACCTTATTCACTCGATGAGGGAGTCTTTGAAATCTAAGACTTCATCATCCCAAACGCATCAAGCGTGTGACCTATCTATGGGCGATATAACTCCGTACGTGACGAATCATCCTCAAAGTAGGATGCATACTTGGGACCTGCCGGGAGTGAATTGCCATCAATCACTTCCCAGGGTTATCGATAATGGGAACAATCATTTGCCGACTTTTCATCAAAGTCGACCGCTCGGATCTGTCTCACAACCCTCTGACTTTCCTCGTTCGTCTCAGTATGGATCGGTTTTTTTCGAGACGGGAGTGGACGATGGCCAGCCGTCCACATTTGTCGGTGCCGCTGGGCACAATGGGTTCTGGCAGTCGAGTGCTCAACATCATTCAAGCCTCATCCCGGGAAAGTATAATTTCTATTAAAGAGTATTAATCTCCAATTGTGAGGTTCAACATAGTCGTAGCATTGTTAGAGTTGAATCATTTATGAATGGTTAATGTGTTCGACCTCTCTCTGGACAGTTCATCGTCCTTACTACATCTCTACGGGTTGTTCCGTCATGGTCGTTATGACCGTCATCAGCCTCTACAGTGGTATTGCGTTGATGATGGTAGTCTACAGTAGCTGCTGGCAAGTTGGCCGTAACAATGTCATCGAGTAGCAGTGCGATCCGTCGGGCCTCAGCGGCGGTTGAATACCATCTGTGCCCTGAGATGCAGCTCCCTATGGGCCATGTGAAGGAAGCATTATCAGCGGTGATGGCCGTATCATCTGTTCGGCTGCCGACTATATCGCTCAGGTTCTCCATACAATTCTGCTGGGGCGTAGTATAGGAGGCCAGAGCTGTGTAGAACCTATTACCGTTTCGAGTGAGGTTATCGATATTCACTACGTAGTCCGTGGCCCTGCTCGTCCGTTGTAAACCATTCCATTTCAGTCTAAGTCTGACGATCCGCATGTTGACAAGACCGTGAGAGTAGCCTTGCAAGAATTCTGTCGGTTTCTGGAGAGGCGCCCCGAGCGGAAGGCCTCTATAGTGCTCTCCTTCTTCGTACCAAAGCATCGTAGTCCCATGGGCGGGGCTGCCACGGCGGCCCCTGCCGGCTCTTGGACGTTCAACGTCATCGCTGACTTCCTCTCGGGAGTATCAGACAACCGCGAACTATTCGAGCAGTGGACGATTCCGGTTCAAGTGGTGGCACCGAGTCACCCCAGCCAAGGGGTGACCAGAGAGGTTAAGGCGGCGATCAGAAGCGGCGATGTGGCCTCAAGCGTTGTATGGTACATCTGTCAGAGGATGCTAAAGTCCAGTCGAGTGCAGCTGCCCAAGCCAGGTGTGGCCGGCAGTCGGAGTTGTTACGATTTTGAAATTAATAATAAAGTTACGGAAGACTCCTCTGCACGGCACCGGAGTCCATCGGGTAGGGACATATCGTTGTGGAATGATCGAATACTCTTCCTCTTCCTCCTTTCAGGAGGATGGTCACCGAGGGCCATCTTAGCCCAGCAAGTTCGACACCTTCCTAGCATAGTATGATGATGAGTACGTCTTGGCTGTATCATCACGTTGTAACCGACATAGTTGACATCTGACCAAGTGAACGTGATTGTTGCGTTGTGATGCTCGGGCGGGGAGTGTTTAGCTGTAGTAGGTCATTTACTATAGGAACTATAGTATAGATGGGCATCAAGGGACTCTATGACTTTCTGAAGGCTCAGGCCCCGTCGGCGATCCGGGAGTGTCGACCAGAAGAGTTTGCGGGGAAGAGGCTGGCCATAGATGCCTCCATTTGGATGTATCAGGTGACCTCATTGAGTCGCCACTGGGAATGACAGCAGAGTTGGTCGTCGTCAGTTCAAGACCAAGATCCGTTATGAAGATAAGATGCTCACCAACAGCGAAGGTGTGTGCACTTCCGGAGTCCATGGCTTCCTACACCGAACCATCAAAATGCTCGAGCTGGGTGAGGCGAGTACAGCGGGGAGTGGTATCAATATTGGGCTCAGGTATCCGGCCCATCTTCGTGTTTGACGGCCACCCCCCTGCTATGAAATACGACTGCCTCAAGGAGAGGCGCGTACAGGCCATGAAGTATAAGAAAACTGCGTCGACTCCCGCGGAAACGTCCATGCCGGCTTCAGAGGCTCCCTCCAGGTCGGTCTCAATGGAGATTGACATCGATCGTAGATTGAAACGCCTGGTAGTTCACCCGCCTCTACTAACCCATCGAGCCAGCAGTGTCCAGTGTACCCGAGTATAGTCAGGAGACTGGACTTCGGCGGCTCGGACTCTCCTGCGACTACCAAGGCGATGGCTACCCCAGCGTACGATCATGTAGGGTGGCGATTGCAGCGCTGAGATTTTCAATGCTTAGGAGTTTGCCATTGTTGGGGGTCTCGCGGCCACTACCGCAATTGCTGTCTCCTCCGGTCCGATGCTTCCGTCGCCTTAGTCAGGAGGAGGAATATGTTGTTGACGTTGTGAAGCATCTCGGCTGTGAATACGTCTTAGCACCAGCAGAAGTAGCGGTTCTCCCTCGCTGAGCTCTCATTGCCGCACCTCAGGCGGAGGCGACCTGTGTCCGTTTGTGTAAGGAAGGCAAGGCCGATGCCGTCTCAACAGAGGACATCGATGCAGTCGTGTTCGGTGCTCCGATAGTCCTCAAAAATCTGTCCAACACATTGCATCGTCTCGAGCAGAACAGTAGTAGTAGACCATGTAAGTCTATCACCCACTTGCATGCTCTGTAGATTCTCGATCGAAGGAGGTCCCCAATAACTACGTTCGAGAGATATCACGAGACGTGGTTCTTGACAGTCTGAGTCTGACCGCTGAGGGCTTGGCTGAGCTGGCCATTCTCTGTGGCTGTGACTACTGCCCGAGCATCCCCAAGATCGGTCCCACTCGAGCCTATGGCCTCCTCCTTAAGCACGGCAGCATCACGTCCATTATCACCGCTATAGAGGGTTCGAAGACCTACAAAGCACCATCCGGTTGGGCGTACCGAGAAGCGAAAGAACTTTTCCTCAATCCGCTCACCACTGATGAAATTTTTCCCCGATCAAAGATGAACGTGGATGCTCTCGCTGACCTCCTTGTGCATCGGTTGGACTACAACCCGGCTCGCGTCGATAACATTAAAAACAGACTCGATCGCATCGGAGGCACCGCCACCCAGACGGCCGAACGTGGGAAACGGCAAGCGACACTGTTGGAATTCCCTTGGACACCCGGCCCGAAGCGAGCGAGGAAGAGTATGGGGGAGTCCTCTACTCCATCGACCGCTGCTCCCTCCCCTCGACGGCATCATTGTGACACTACCGTGATTGACTTGGATGAGATACCTTCCTCATCAGACGAGTCCCGTAATATGTACAGTGAATCATTCATCATCTAGAGTGTGCTGTCTTTGATTTGCATGTTTTACGGAAGTATGGTGGTAGAGTTGTACAAGTGTTGAACATATAACGAGAACAATGGTGAATATTAACATGCTCTTTTCTATCGTCGCGAGAAGTACACTTCTATCAACTAGTAATAACACAACTCTTACTTTTAAGAGATACATATATGTACGTAGCAATAGCAGCGTTAGTCAGTCAGTCATTTTGTCATTATTAGTAGAACCGGTTACCGGACTGGGCCGTCATCCGGCCCTCTACCGAAATTGTCAACCTTAAACCGCCAAGTCTCCAAATCATACGACAGGAATGTAGCGGCGTTAAGCTCCTCAGTCAATTGGCGCATACGATTAATGTACTGAAAACGAAGACCAATCTAGTGACACACATGGAAGGAGTCCACCAACCTTCTCAGGCTGTTGCCGCGCTCTCTTGGCATTCTTCGGCTTCACGTACAACTCTACTATAGCCGGCTTATTGAGGCCCTTACCAATCGGGGGGCGAGCTACAGACACGACCAAATTACGGACGCTCAGAGTACTTCGAGACGCCTACCCGAATCGTCTAGAAAGACAGCAACGCCTGATAATGTAAACTTTACAGTGTCGTCTACCGACAAGTAGCGAACATCAGTGAGGCCTGTCATTTATGAAAACACTGTGATAATAAGTGCTGTAGTGAGGACTCACCAGGCCACGTTATCTTGCCGTAGGAGTAGTGGCCAATAGTCAAGTTGTCGACACGGGCAAGTTCAGCTTCGCTCATCATCGAGAGGGCGTCGAGGGACGGCCGGATCCTGAGATCGAGTAATCTCGGATGGTTGATGGTCTGGTCTCGTCACGTACCACATATTGGGGTCATCAAGCTTGGGCACCATATTCCGGGGCGCTGGTTCTCGTAGCCTCGCCGAAGCCGCACTCGAGGACCGCCGACGATCAGCCGACAAGGAGCGTCGTTCACAAGACGAGTATCTGCTGAGCCAACGGAGTGCCATGTCCTCTGTAATGGGCACACTTACATGACGCCGGGGCGCGTGATGACGACGTCCAGCTCGTGATCAACCGAGGATGAGACGAGCTCGGATGGTGGGGATCTCCTAGGGGACGTCATAGAGCCGTATTCTAGGCTCGGACTGCCGAGCAGTGTAGAGGGACGGTGGTGGTGCCTGAATAGGAGGGAATCGGCAGTAGTTGTGACAAGTGACACTTACTCAGCCAAGGCCACGAAGCTAGAACCAAGAGCGTCGGGGTTCCGTAGGGGAAGGGTACCGTCGTCGAGCAGGAGGTTGGTGCTGCCACCACCTGACCGAGAGGACCAATACAAAGGGGGCATCTACATGACAGAACCCACCACTGATCGTGCTGGCGCGACCAGTAGCCGCTCTGGGAGTCATGGCACTACGTGGAGTGAGCACATGGTCCGCACTGGGGGATGAGGGATTGCCACTTCCCCGGAGATAGAGGTGTCTCATCGACGATGGATTCACAGGTGATGGCGGGACACCACCGAACGCTGCGCCAGGAAGCGAGAGTCTGAACCAAACAACAGCAGTTTATGCCATATCAAAGGGGACTAAAATAGTACCTGTCACTGCGAGGGGACAGACCGGGCGACCTTGAGGACGTTGGTGGGGTCTGGGGACTGCCGCCGTTAGTCATAGGAGGGGGCGGGGCATGGCTCCTGGGCTCCTCCTTCCAAAGATACGCTGCTAGGCTCTTATCGACTTCCTTTGGTAGGAGCAATCCGCTGGGCCGGGGAGGGGCGGGCAGGGACGCTGGTGTGGACAGCGGCTGTACGCTAGCCTGTTGTTGTTGCTGACCGCCACCGAAGAGGCCACCACCCCCTTGGGGTTGAGAGGAGCCAAATAGGCCTCCACCAGTGCTCGTACTGCCACCAAAGAGACCACCTCCAGCGGCACCACCGAAGAGGCCACCGCCAGACGATGAAGTTGAACTACCAAAGAGACCGCCTCCACCACCACCACCACCACCGAAAAGACCACCACCGCTAGAGGACTGACCAAACAAGCCTCCTCCTGAGGACGCCGTATTGCCGAAAAGGCCGCCCCCAGAGGCTGGTTTGTTGCCGAAGAGGCCGCCACCGCCACCTCCACCAAAGAGGCCTCCACCACTGCTACTCTGTTGCCCACCAAAAAGGCCTCCTCCTCCGCCGCCGAAGAGGCCACCGCCTGAAGACGACTGTTGACCTCCACCGAAGAGTCCACCCCCCGAGGACTGTCCGCCGCCGAATAGGCCACCACCACCGCCTCCGAATAGGCCACCACCACTGCTACTCTGAGCGCTGCCAAAAAGACCACCACCACCAGCTGACTGCTGTTGGCCTCCGCCGAAGAGACCTCCGCCGGCTGACTGCTGCCCACCACCGAAGAGGCCACCACCAGAGGACTGTTGGCCGCCACCTCCGAAGAGACCTCCTCCTGGATTAGGTGAAGACCCAAATAGGCCTCCACCGCCACTAGACTGGGTACTTCCGAATAGACCACCACCCGAGGACTGTTGTCCAAAGAGACCACCACCACCACCGAAGAGGCCACCTCCCTGGCTCGACTGCTGCTGACCAAAGAGACCACCACCTTGTGAGGACTGCTGTTGGCCAAACAAGCCTCCGCCTCCACCCCCTCCGAAGAGGCCTCCTTGACTACTCTGTTGCTGCTGACCACCGAAGAGGCCGCTGCCACCACCACCAAAGAGACCTCCTTGAGATGAGGACTGTTGTTGACCAAAGAGACCACCACCACCGCCGCCGCCGAAGAGACCGCCTTGGCTCGAACTTTGCTGACCTCCACCGAAGAGGCCACCACCACCACCACCACCACCACCAAAGAGACCACCTCCGGTGTTCTGCTGTGTTTGTCCAAAGAGACCTCCTTGGCTTTGTTGCTGCATACCACCACCGAAGAGGCCACCACCTAAAAACGGCAATATGAAAATCATAGCCCCTATACGGACCCGAGAGTTACTACCACTCTGCTGTTGGGGTTGCCCAAAGGCTCCTCCTCCCCCTCCTCCAAAGAGGCCGCCACTAGATTGCTGCTGCTGCTGTTGACCACCGAACAAGCCACCTGCCATACGGTTTGCCTACAGAGCAATGAGGGCCAAGCATTACCACTTGTAGGCTGCTGCTGCATGCCAGTAGCAGCCCCAGCGGCCCCGGCTGGCCCTCGACCCTGGGCATAGTCCTCATACCGTAACTCTTCGAACGACTTGCCCTTGTAGGCGTCCATTGCGGTTATCGACACGAGCTGGCCAAAGGTTCGAATCGAATAACAGCAGTGGTAGTAGTATTACTAGTACTACCTTCAGACGTGAGTCGTGGTCGATGACCTGTTGGTACTTGACTTGAGAGGTGCCCGCTGCTTGGCCCCCTCCTCCTCCGAAGGCGGTACCACCACCACCGAAGAGGCCACCACCAGCGCTGCTCTGTTGAATTAGACGGTAGTTACTCAGGGAATGGTATGGTGCATGTCACCTGTTGCTGGCCGAACATGCCGCCACCTGCTGCTGCTAGTTGTTGTTGTCCGAAGAGACCTCCACCAGTGTTCTGCTGCTGCTGCTGCTGCCCAAAGGCCCCTCCTCCTCCTCCGAAGAGACCACCCCCAGAGGACTACGGTTACGAGTATCATCCCACAATACAGTGGCAGAGTCGTGACCCACCTGTTGGCCGAAAGCACCACTTCCGAAAAGACCACCAGCTGGTCGTTGCTGTTGTTGGCCAAAGCCGCCGCCTCCACCAAATAGGCCGCCCCCCTGTGCTGTCTGCTGAGGACTGCTACCAAAGAGACCTCCACCCTGAGAACCCAGGACATACCGCACGGTATCGCGAATCTGCCACACTACCTGTTGTTGCTGCTGTTGACCACCAAAGAGGCCACCTCCAGCTGGCTGACCGCCACCGCCGAAGAGACCACCGGCTTGTGAGCTCTGCTGTTGTCCAAATAGTCCGCCTCCTCCCCCTCCGAACATGCTAGGGAAGGGGAATGCAGGGAATACAAAACGCTGCATGGTAGTGGCAACACTGGAACGCAATCCAATAGGAGGCTCGAGAGGATAGGAGATATCATGTGCAAGAGCAAGGTAACAAAATGTGTCGCATGGGGGGCTTACTCGTATCTTACTCGATTGAACCTAAGATACGCCAGGATACGCGAACTGGCTGGAGACTGGATCCAGAAGGGGAAGTAAGCTCATGGAAAACTACATATGTTGCCGACAGTAAAAATATTCGAGGAAATTCTGGGAATTACGGTTGGTTTTTTTGAAGATTTTTACCCAAAATCGAGTGAAAGTTTTCATAATGCGGTGAAAAAACTGCCAAGTTCAACTGGGGAAGTGAAACATGTAATGTTCCGACACGGCCTGGAACAGAATCAGTTGTGGTGGCTTTGCTCGGTGTGTCATGGCCTCAAATTCAACCCGGCCAGTATGGGCGGTTATTACAGCAAGTTGAGGGAAGAGGTTAAAGCTACGGGTCAACATGTCGGATGCGGCCTTGGGCCTTAGGCTGGAATCGTCTGACTCAGTCTGCCGCTTCCCCACAGAGACTTGCTTCTCTACAATATCACCGGGCATTTTGGCGGCCTAGATAGAGGTCTCGGGTCGTATGCAACTGACCCGAGTTCAATACCCAGCTCTTCTATTATCTCCTGCCTCCAGCAATCCGAATTGGCCTCCCAATCAGTAAGATGGTGCAACGACTCAGTGACGGTGTGCATAGCAGTGCCACCTTAGACACCTCCCACTCCCAGGACTTCTTCGATGGCCATCTCCTCAGCAGAGGACAAAGACCAAATGGCAAGAAGTTCTACTAGCGGGTCCGAGAGGAGTCCACGCGAATGCGTGAAAAACCCAAGTTGAAATTAAGGGTTGAGATTTTTTACCTGTCAAAAGTATCTTCCGTTGAAATCAGTCAACCGAGCCACATTAGATCCCCGGCATGGACGAACTCGCGAGGTTGGGCGCGCGCGTAACTAGTAGAACTGACCGAAATTAGCAAAATTGTGGTGTTCATCACGAGCAGAAAGATACGACTAGGTTCAGGTAGGGTGGACCTATAGCAGAGGTGGGCTAGTCTTAATACAGCTAGATTAGCCCTATGGTCCTTGGCTGGCATTCTCTGTATGGTATAATATCGGACCTAATCCGTATCTTTCCCTGTCGTACTTGTTCTAGGATAGTTCAAGATACTAAATGCCATCACTGGAATCACCTCTATTAGGCAGTCGAGACCAGATGGACCACCCCGCGGCTATCAAGGGTCAAGGTAGTGCCACCAACCCCAATCTTACCGTAGTGGCAATACCGAAGGAGAGGATAGTACCGGCTCCTACGGGCCATGGGTCCAACACTGGTGAGGCCGTGGAACCAGCCAAGGACGTAGTGTGGGTGAAAGTTCAAATTGGTGTGGTAACGGTAGTGTGGCAGGTTCAACGACGGTTGAGGAAGGCTATATGTTTATCCATGTTTTTCATGATTTTGGAAATAGTTGGAGGCATCTTGGCACACTCTTTGGCCATCGTAAGATAACTATGATTTAATAAATCTCATACCACTCCTCTGCCAACTCAGGTGACAGATGCAGCGCATATCATGTCGGACGTGTCTGGTTTCGCTGTATCACTATTTGCCGTAGTGCTAGCAGGCAAGACCCCTACTTCCCAATACACGTAACCCATCAGCCTCCTCCACCGTCCCACTATGGTCTTGTCGTCCAGATACGGCTACCGTCAAGCTGAGATCCTGGGCGCACTGTTCTCAGTGATGATAGTCTGGTTCATGACCGGCGTCCTCCTTTGGGAGGCTATCCAAAGATTCATTACTCTTGAGGAGGTCAACGGTGGCCTTATGAGCATCATGGCTGTAGGTTCACAGATGGTCTCGGGTGGGGTATCTGTTCAACTCAGTTGGTCGGCCTGTTGGTGAACTTCTGTCTTATGGCCACTCTTGGTCACAACCACAGTCACGGTGCTCCTGCTGCTGGTGCTGGTCACGGCCACTCCCATGGGGCCCAGGATGACATTGAGGATGGTGCTCATACGCATTCCCATTCACATGGTAATGTTGGTAATACTCCAGTACTAGTTCTGGAGAACTATCTCATGCATCTGTCTTTGGAAGCTACTTATGTAATCTCAGCTGTGGTAACTGCTCTCTACCTTTTCAGAGAGCCATAACCTCGCCCTGGATGCCGCAGTTGTCCACGTACTCGGGGACATTGTAGGTTCAACCTACATCTGAACTACGATGCTCCTCACGCTTGTCCACGGCATCAGATACAGTCTCTGGGTGTACTGCTAGCCGCTGTGCTCATCTATTGGAAACCATTCGACGTTGGTTACATCCATGGCATATCAAAATGGAAGTATTCTGAGTAACTCCTCGTAAACTCAGTTGTCAATTCTCAGCTATGCGGATCCGGCTTGTACCATTCTGTTCTCGATCCTGGTCATGTTCACTACCTTCAGTGAGGCCCCTCTCGATTTGCTCGTGGAGTGGTATGCTATCTTTCCCCTTTAGAAACAGTGAAGCAGTCAGTGCATATCCTCATGCAAAGGGTGCCTGATAGTGTGGACGTGGACCTACTGCAGACGAAGCTGAGACACGTTGAGCATGTGCAATGCGTAGTGTCCATCTCCCCTCCTCCCCAGAACGGCTCTGTAGCGCTCCCTCAGGTCCATGATGTCCATGTATGGAGTGTTGGTTCGACTGGTAACATTTGTACGGCTCACATAGTCGTGGCTGGATGCAGCAACTGCAGTAGGTCACTGTGTGGAGGGGGCTTGCGTGCACTGGTATTCTTTGAAATCATAGGAGGTGAACTGAACGATTAGGTTGTGAGTTACAGTGGCTGGGTTTACTTGGGTCTTCTTGGGCGAGGAAAGGGACATGTCTACTGTCAATTCGAACAGGAAACATTTTTATGCATTTTTCTGTAGCGTTTTGCCGAACACGTTTTTAGGAGAATCGTGAAATATTTTCGCGATATCAAATACTCAGCTTATGGCGCACTTTTTCCGCAAAACTTTTTACTACTGGTGCCTTTGCATGAACCTACCATTTGTGAAGTGGTCGAATACACTCTACCAATGTCAGGTCGTGTTCTGGATGAGGCCACTAGGGTTGCCAACGACATGGGTATAAGCCACACCACTTTTCAGCTTGAGGCCAGGGCCGAGGACGTTGATGTCAGTGCCCTGCAGGTGGGGGAGAAGGGTCGAGGCCTGATTGGAGCTGTATTGGTCGTCTTAGAATTCCTGTTGTCATAACCAAGCCTGTAATAAGGGGGACGATACATGTGGTGCACCATCGGAGGCTATATCAGCACCGGTAGTGATAGTGTCCCCTAGGGACACATCACCGTTGTTGAAGGTAAGCCACGAACTCCACCTACCTACCTAGTTTGCCCTATTGCTAGGCTCAGCCACGGTCGTGAGGTCCCAGCCTGTAACTATTTGATTTTGCTGGAGGATCATCATTACATTATCTTATCTGAACTATGTGGATTCTCTACTGTCTTATTCTCCCACGATTTCGTTTGAGGTTTGCGTTCTATCGGCCACGCTGAATGGCTCCCTTTGGTCTTGCTATTTTTATGAGCTCCCCATCCCCATCGTCATCTCATCATCATCACTATAGCAGCCACGTGAGGAGGAGGCTCGGGATCGTCCTTGTGATAGCGGTCGTCTTCATGGTGGCTGAGGTGGTCGGTGGTATCATAGCCAAGTCCCTGGCCATCGTAATGCATGCTCTTTGGTATGTGGTGCATCACTAGAGTTGCCTTTTAGATCGTGGATGCAGCTCATATTTTATCCGACGTGTCAGGCTTCATAGTTTCACTGGTTGCTATCACGTTGGGCACGCGGAAACCTACTTCGGAATATACGTAAGTGGCTGTGGTGGCGTTGTTACATCGTTGTTGATTAGCAGTAAGTATATAACTGAACAAATAGTATACAGTTATGAATAGGTATACATAGAAAATAATATGTTTATTATACTCATCACTGATTTATACCTCTGATGAGTCCTCAGAGATATAAATCCATGCGCCCTATTGGCGTGCAGGTATGGTTACTGGCAAGCTGAGGTTGTTGGTGCACTGTTGTCGATTATGATTATCTGGACCACGACCATCATCTTATTCATTGAGGCCATTCAGCGCTTCATCACCCCCGCGGATGTAGACGGTGTTATGATGTTCAGTCTGGGGGTAGGTAGCATTCGAGAAGTACTACCTTTTTCTTGGACCAGCACTGCTGTGCTATAGGTAGCTGGCCTCGTAGTCAACGTTATCATGATGCTAGTGCTTGGTCATCACCATCATCATCATCATCATCATCATGACAACCATGGTAGTCATGCTGACGGACACCATGATCACAATGCTCGTACAGTTGAGCCTGGCCACTCGGCAACGGGAGAGGGTAAGATGGGTGTCTCTTTGTGGTCTGTATGTGGCCGACAGGTACTCCTTCTCCTACTCCTCGTCGTCTTCGTAATCTCGCACTAGATGCAGCATTCATTCACGTACTAGGAGATCTGGTATGGTACACAACGAATGTAGTATAAATAGTCTTCCTTGATAGATCCAATCTGTCGGGGTTGTTGTAGCTGCCGTTGTAATTTGGTGGGAACCATTCAATATTGGTTCCACTACGGACGGCGTATCTCGATGGAAGTAGGCCCCACAGACAACGGTGACGACGGCCACAGCTCGGTCCTTGTTCAGCTATTTCGACCCAATTTGCACTATTATTTTTTCTGTATTGGTCCTTCTGACAACTTCTCGTAAGTGATGCTTGGTCGGCTCCATATGGCAGGCTTCACATAGGCACTCTAAAGCGATCTCTGCATGCCCTCATGCAAAAGGCACCTGACCATGTCGATGTTCGCGCACTCTATAAGGAGCTCAAAGATATACCATACGTGGATTGTGTAGATCCTTTTCGTGCTGCTGTTGTTGTTTTGATGAAGGTAGTAGGTTCATGACGTGCATGTCTAGAATCTAACAATGCTATGTGTACAGCTCACGATGGCCTGAAGGGCTGTGAGAACTGCAGTGAGTCATCATAGCGTTGTTGTCCATCGTTGTGATAGTTGTTGCTGGTGTTGTAGGTACAGTGTTGGCCAAAGCTAAGACCGTGGCTAGGGGCATGGGCATTTACCATGCGACTTTTCAGCTGGAGGTATGCGCGGAGGACATGGGCGATCAAAATAGGAGGGTAGGTGGCAATTGCGTTTCCTGCATACCACTCCTTGAGTTCCTCTCAGGACACATGTTGCCATAGGGAGTCCTGCTATGCTGGGGACTCTACCTGTGATGGCGAATCTAATGTTTGATGATGTACTCTTATTCTCTCATCATTTGACGAGTATTACGAGTATTACTCCTGCTTCAACTGCTTCTGTAGTTTTCAGCATGTTGTACCAACACCAGCTTTGACACTGCGCGCGACTTCCTTGACAGTCGCCTTGGATTTCACCGTGTAAAAAATCCAGTGTACTCGCGCTGCATATGGGGCCTCTCATAGTTCCCTTGACTTTGTTGTTTGTCGGGTAGTAGTGATTTCCAACCTTCGAATGAGGAGTAGTGTTGTGCCAGGAAGTGGGAGGGGGCGGCAGGAATCTCAGGTGAAACTTTGAATGGCTCTGGAAAACAATAAGGAACTCCTCAAGCAAGCCCGTCTGGGGAATATGGACGGCGAAAAAGGTGTAAAGTTCTTGGCTGGTGAAGTACTTCGAATACAGGGTCCAGAAGGGTTGAACTACTGCGAGAAACCGTATTTTAGGAGGTAAGTTTCCGTATCGGTCCGCACTGTAATTTCCGGTCACAGCGCTCTGTGGGAGGGCACATGGAAGAACCACGAAGCTACAGTGAGATATCTCATTGACAAAGGAGCTGATGTTAACTTCAAAGATAAGGCCGGACGGTAATAGCAGTGGATCATTTCAGCCGGAGTGGTTTAATGGTAGTACACCGTTACACGAAGCATCGCGATATGGTCATACTACTCTAGTGGAGCTCCTAGTGGACCACAGAGCCGACATAGACTCCTTGGATGGGTGAGTTCAGCGGTTTATGGTCCTCTCAGTTGCCCCTTAGGGCCGGCGAGTCCCCATTGGCACAAGCAGTGAGCTGTTGTCGGCATGATGTAGTGGCGCTGTTGACGGCCAGGGGCGCTAAGTGAGTGCGGGTAGGGTTGGCTTTGGATAGTTGCTCGTGTAGGTTGCATATCACAGACTCGCAGGGCATCACAGTGCAGCACTTGGCGGCTTTTACTGGGGAGCCCCAAATGGCCGACTGGCTCTACTATAGAGGAGCTTGGAAGAATAGGTAGAGTACTTTGATAACGCTGAGGGAAGGCAGTAGTAGGTACGCTGTAGAGCACACCGATAACAAGGAGGAGAAGGACGCGAATGCCGAGGAGGGAAATATGGTGGCGGCTATCGTTCCCTATACACAAGGCTCTGAGGCTGTCCAGGGTAAGTGGTTTTGCATGGAAACTTTGAGATTGCTCTCAGGAGGAGATCACGAAGAACTGAATGAGGGCGATGGAGAGGCTGAGGATTAGTGACGACGAATTTGTCATGCATCAACGCTTATCAACGATGTTCATTGAAAGCAGTCTTGAGTTAGATTCCCCAGGTGGCGAGATATAGTCAGTGTTGAAATATATGTTCGCTTTCCTCAGCTGAGTTCAGGAGTTTCCTCACTTATTATAGAAGTTTGCATACGAATTCGGGTAGGAGTGTACAGAAACCAATGAAAATTTCCTCAAAATTTCATGCGCATTTTCACACACCAGATATAGTTGATAAATTTGTAATGGCAGACGACGCAGTGGATCTCGACTACTCCTTCCTGTCGTATCTTACAGGGGCCCTTATAATGCTGGTGTTTGTAGTGGCCCCCATAGCAGCTATGGTGAGCTCAGTAGTTTCCGCCGTTGCAAGAGCTCCGTCTCAGGCGATGAAGAACAAGAACACAGTGCTAGCTTTGTGGCGGAGGCGATCATAGACACACTATTGTTATGGGATGTATGATTTCCTCGGAGCCCATATCTTCTTTGGTTGTCAACATGATGTTGTCCTCGGTGACCTTAGATAAGTCTACCTCACCATCAAAACTGCATGCAATTTTGAATAGCAGTTCATGGAAATGGTCCTAACGTAAACTAAAAACGATAAGGATTGGGAGTACTTACAGAGAATACCTCTACATCTTGTACCCTTTATAGTATTCTAGAGTACCTATACAGTCAGATCTAGAAGAAATTGGAAAGAAAGAATCCATTCGGGAGCGTTGTGAACGGATATTTCCTCGTTATGTCCCACATGGTTGTTATTCAATGCTTTTCGCGATAGCTACACAGTCACTTTGAATGACCTCCTCGATCCAATGTGAATACATCATAACGCAATGCCAGGGGTACCATACAAACTGGCTACTAGGCTGCCAAACCATAGAAACGCATTAAATATTTTAGTGACGATGAGGAACGCTTCGTCATCATGATCTGTCCACACCTTGCTGCACACTATTCACAATTCGGCCGAACTTAGCAGCGTTGAGGCTAGCGCCTCCAACTAGGAAACCGTCCACGTCCGGGAGCTCTGCCAGATTGTCGCAATTAGCATCATTGACACTGCCACCGTAAATTATCCTGACAAGTCAAGAACAGTGGAGAAGTGCTGGGACAGGGGAGCCCACCTCAAACTGTCAGCGGTTGCCCGTCCGAGCTTGCCAGCAAGCCACTGACGGAGACTTGCATGGACAGCCTCTACGTCCTCAGGGGAGGCGCTGTGGCCTGTGCCGATCGCCCAGACAGGTTCGTATGCGATAACCATGGACCTGCACGAGTTGACCACGACGACCACAATAGGACCAACACTCACCTCCAGTTCGCCGGGGAGGTACCAACTTGGTTGATAATCGCCTGGAGTTGGTGTTGGAGGATATCAAGGGTCACACCACCTTCCCTCTGCTCAAGTGTCTCACCCACGCAAGCTATGACTTTGAGACCTGACCAGGGCTTATAGTGTGGTCGCGTACAAGCAGGAGGCACGACCTTTTTCGATGGCCCTCGCTGTCTTCTGACCCACAACCTCGTCTGTTTCGCCGCAGTGCTGCCTCCGCTCACTGTGGCCCACTATAGTCCATTCGATACCAGAATCGACCAACTGTAACATGAAGGCGTCACGACCAGAGATACTGGAGCAGTCCAGAAGCGTACCATCTCCGCCGGAGTGTCGCCAGTATGAGCGCCGTAGCCATACTGTGAAACGTCTTGGGCGGCTATGAAAAAGTCCTATCGAAAAAACTGACTCAATAACAACAGCCTCAACTCACTGGTCGGAGGGTTCGGCTGACATCCACCAGGTGAAGCGTTGGCGGGGCGCAAACGACGTCCACGTCCCCAACAGAGTCCATCGCATTGAGGCCATTCACGAGGTCCGAAAGTCTGGCATAATACACTCACGTTGTAGAGCTGATTCCATGAGCTACTCAGTAGTCCTCCCGTTGGCTTTCCAGTTGCCTCCGACGACGAAACGGCGGTCGGGAGAGGCTCCAACTTGGACTCTTGCTGGCAACTGAAGTGACTTGGGTTGTACTCGCGTGGCTTAGTTTAGTAGTACTTCGAGGAATCTGGAGGATCCTTGGAAACGGGCAGCTATGAACTTGAGGCCACCAATAGCCATGACGGCAAGGGCGATGATGGTTACCAGTGGTCGGGTCCTCCTTATCTCACGGCGGGACATCGCTGAACGGGAAGCTGACGAGTTTACAGTGTTTGACCCACTACGTTAACAGAAGTGACGCAAGCACACACATGATAGTGGAAATGACAAGTATTAAGAGCTCATAGTACATGAAGATCGAATCACAGTGGGTACTCGTTGAGCAGGGGGATGGTCCTGGCCATACACAACGAGTCGGTTGAAGTGGGTTCGCCTCTGTTTCGAAGTTCCTTCTCCGGTGGCTGCTTGGGCTGCAGTTGAAGGAAGCTGATGATGTAGGATGACCGGGGGTTTCCGTACTTCCTTTTTGGTGATGCTTCGTGCGACGATTCGAGTGGTGGTCACCACACAAGAGTACCGAACTCTACGGCAAGACCCTGGAGAGTCTCCATTGGAGACGACACCCACATAGTCATGGCACGTGTTGGGATCAGAGGGCTGAGTAACGACAGGCAGAAACGCCGGAGGATAGATATATGATGCTGAGATTAGGTGTTTGAGTTATCATTGTTGGTAATTAATTGAGATGATGAGCATGTGAGATAGCTCCGTAGCCATCTGGCTCAGGTCTGTAAAGGGTGTTTCAAAACTTCGTGGAAAACTTGGAGACCCTGGAATTTTTAACCCACGTAGTTTTTGACAATGACAATTTGTGTGAACATCAAGCATATCACAAGGAACAAGC